AGAATCATGATACGGGAGTTTCCAGCCCCCTTCACTCTCAGGCGTAGAGACCCACAGTCGCAGGAGATGGCGACGGGGAGCGGGTGGCTCATGGTCAGTGTAGGCCTGACGAGAATGGTAGAGATGGTTGTTCGTCATGAAGTGGACATCTCCGACCTCGAGGACATTGCCGATGGATTCTCTATAGCAGGTTTGGTCAAAGAACTCGATCGCCTCTGCTTGTGCATCGGATAGAGGAGGGATGATGCCTTTGTCAGAGAATCGCTTCAGAGACCTGACATAGTTTGGATCAAACCTACAGAAATTGTCAGTTTCATCAGTTCATGTTTTGATTGCGCAGAAGTGACAAACTTGGAGTAGACTCTGCCATTTCCCTTCTCAATGTAGTAGATGGCACATCGGATGTAATCCTCTTGTCCATCGCTGACTTCTCCCTTTCGGTCAAAGTACCAAATGGGCTGAGTGAGGAGCTCCGCGATATCAGGCCGCTCCTCTTGCATAACGTTCCAGACCCGATGGCCCGAAACGATGTTGTTCTCACCTCCCTTGAGCGGAGTATTGAGGCAGAGAAGGCCAACGATATCTGCCGGGTCAGCATGGAAGGTTTGCCTAGAATACGAGTCAGATCAACTGCCGAGCAGGGTCTCGAGTCACATACCTTGCCGTGGTTCGATACAGCCGGACCTTGTGGAAGTCCGCCGGGTTCTCACCCAGGTCCTTGATATGCCCCAGCACATGGCCCCTACCGTTCTGACTCACAATGTGCCCAAAGTGAGCGCCCAAGCCCATGTATGCGGTGGACGACTTGCGCATTCCCCATTCCTTGACAGGCATACCTTGGAACAAGATGAACCCATAGCCATTGATCATATCATCTCGGACCTCTTCAAGATACTTCTCCATGCGAGGAAGAGGAAACAGCTCCTGAATAGCTATGTCAGTATGCATATTCATGCGATGCTTGACTCATACCTTGCACATCTCGTTCAGGTCCCGACCACTGTTGATGTAATTCTCAGCAGCGGTGCTCAGGTCTTCGAGCTCCTCCGGAGTAAAGGGATGCTTCCAGATAGCTTCCTTTTCAGGAGAGCCAGCCAGATCATCTTTAGTCCAGGCCGTGATGCCAGTGATCTTCTTGGGAAAGTCTGAGTATGGGTGTATTTCCTCGTAGAGAGGAGGCTGCTGGCCAGTAGTCTTGTAGCCATCTGGGAAGAGTGCTGATTTGGCCTTCACCTCTAACTTGGTGCGGTACTCAGTTTTGGGGAGATGCGAAAAGTCGCTGACTGTTTCGATAAGACCGGGAGCCATCTTGGAAGCTTCAAGTTCAAAGTGTTAAAGTGTTTTTGGTAGTTATGGTAGTTATGGCTGTGTGTATTTCTTTATCTTAGTCGGCCTGCACGGTTCTTTCAAGACACCAACATGCCTTTATAATTTGGACTACTTTCAGCATCCATCTTGGCATCAGTATGCTTGAACTAGAAATATCACTGTTACTCAAAGCATCCCGGAGTCTTACTCATCAATCACGCCACGTCTACAGATCCATTCAGTTTGTGCCGCTCCAAATGTGTCGTTACATATCGAGAGTCACAAGTGTGACGCAGCCAACCTAGGGACCCTCACACCTCCATATGCCGATGATCCGTGCGGTTAATGTTGACAATCTGAAGTCAGCTTGACCATATATGCAGTACTACCCAACACCTACCTATTATGCAAGTGCATGAAACGCGAGATGGCGCAACTCAAGATAACATTACGCAAGATACCAGAATGCAAGCTGCCCAATCCAGGATAGAGCCCTGTCTTTCTGCGAGGGTACAAAACCCGAAATATGAGATGTGCAAGGTTAATGGCCCCGAGAGATTTCCTCACATGTACACGTGTTTCTTGAATAACAGATACAGCGTACAATATATCTTAGGAATCTCAATTATGTGTACGTAACATTATTGTTTATCTCTCACGTCACAGGCACCTGGATGCTAAAATTACATGGATGTGTAGGACTATTGTAACAACATGCATGAAGATTTACGGCGAGGCTCGCTGAAAGATAAGACAGTCAATAAACAGTGAAATAAGCTTAACCTAATCTAGTAAACATCTACCTGGGTGACAAGCTCCGCAACAGGAACCACCTGCTTCGCATTGATCTTGAGAAGTTCCTTGACGCTGACAATGCGTGTGTCTGCCTCGCACCCGGCCAGCTTCCCCTCTAGCAAGTCGATCACAGTAGCCTGAATGTTCTCCGAGGCCGTCGCTTCCGCAACAATTCTGTACATCCTGGCCTCATTGCTCTCCTCACCCCAGACACTACGGTTCCGAAGCTTTCTAAGAAGGCAGCCGTAGTTACGAGCCTGAATCATTGCTCGTATCTCAGCATCATTGTAGAACAGGTCCAGGTTCTTGGCTAGGATCTTGTCAGAGATAGAACCGACGGCGCTGATCTTGGCGCGCATCAGGTGGTTTGCGTAGATGATAACGTTGGCGCCAGCTTCGTACAGAGCATCCTTGGGTATCTCCGAGTACGTAGTGGGAACGACAACAAGAGGTGTCTGGGGGTCATATTCACGGTACTCGCGCAAGAACCGAGTCACCTCATGAGGAGATTTACTCTTGGAGTGGATCATGATAGCGTCGACACCCGCCTCGTGATAGATCTTGGCTCGCTTCAGGGCATCTTGGTGTGCAGCCTCGTAAGACCTGCTTTCCTCTTCTGCATCTGCCTTGGAGACACGGCAGCAGAAGGATTCAATACGAGCGGTGATCATGGGACCGCCCTTTGTCTTTGCATTCACCTCTTTGAAAGCGCGGATTACTTGCGCGAATTCGTGAGGATCAGCCAAGGCCTGTGAAGCAGATGACGCCGCAAGCGAGTTGACCTTTTGGCCTGGGGCTAAAACGGCCTTGTCCTCGATGACAACCATGCCGACGCCGACAAGGTTCATGAGTGCCACCAGGGCAGGGATGTCTGCAATATCACCACCACTATCTGCGTCAAAAGCAGCGCAGAGGGAACGGTTGCTTGTTTTTCGCTTAAGCTCCCCGTCAAGAGCGAGGAGTGATGCCCGTTGAAGAGGGGAGAGCGTCTCACTGTCTGGAATACCTAGGTAGGTAGTCTGACAGAGACCGCTGTACCAGATGCCGTCGAACTTCTGGCCATTCTTGCCAACGGTTGCTCTGATGATCTCTGTTGAGGTGCCATCGTGAGTTTCACAGAGGATGATTTTGTTGTTGTTCTGGGCCAGTGCTGAGCGCACAGAAGAGAATGCAGGTGAGGGCGAAGGTTCAATATGAAGAGAGCCCATCTTGTTGGTTTGGTGGCCTTTGTGCGACTTTAACACGGATAGTGCTTTTATCAAGCGAGAAGAGGGTTGTGAACGATGAAGGTGAGTTCAATTAAGATATTGATTTTATGGTCTAAATCCAGCCAAGAGCCGGCCATTTTCACCCATTATTATACTTCTTCACTATCTCAGCCATGGCCTCTGAAACAGCAAGAACCCTTGTCCACAGTCAGTGGGACATATTCTCATAAGCTACGCTTATTGTCAATACTGGTCTTCACTTCCCACTCGAGTCTTGTATCTTGTGAGTTATTGCCTAGTTTGTCTGTTCCCTATTGTCACCTCGTTCACCGTGGTCAGATGGGTAGGGGGTCCCAATGCGGCTTCTGTCAGCTTCCCCGAGATATCTTGGTCCATGATGATGTTACACACCCTCACTGCTCACCGTATCTGGCTATCATGAACCAGGTAGGGTGCAGAAAGAGTAGATTCTGGTAGTCTGTGTGTTTCTTGGCTTTCGGTAAAGATGCCGATGAACCCCACGTAATTACAGATAAGAACAGGTAACGATTCCGTGCCAGCAATTGCATCATCCGGGTCTCGTGCCTTGTTTCCGTATTTGCTCTAGAATGAACAAGATGCATTATCACGCAGCATGACATCGCCGATCTTTACAGATTAAGCTTTGTGGAGGTGGGGAATAAGGCCACGTCGTCAATCTCCAGAGACAACAACAGAGACGTGGCGTCCCTGGCGAGTCAAGATAGAGGAACTTTGTGCAGCGGCAGTTATAGGATCGAATTAATGGTGTCCACACTGCACCTCAACTCCCCGTCTCAAGACTGAGATTCGTAACTGCAAGGACGAGGTTACAGAACCCCGAAATTCACCGAATGGAGGATTTTGGTGCGTAGATCCCTGCGTAAGCGGATCCGAGGTTGTATGCACAAGGACGGCACATGCCATGATAAGCGCATTGCGGGGAGAACAAGCTCAGATCATGACCGTTAGTCTACCAATTTATTCAACTAAACATGTTTACTGTGTGGAGATACCTCGTCCGGAGACTCCGTCTTGACTAACCCCGGCCCGGGCCGAATCGCCAAGCTGGCTTGTCCATCTTGCAGGGCTCATGCCAAGGAACTTGCGTCGCACTAACGCTCAGGGACTATTGCGGATGATCCATCTCGCGTAATGAGACTGTTCCGGGTAGTCAGCAATGATCTCTAGTGTTGCAACCTGGTGCATGGGTAGTGTTGCAATCTCAGCCGCAAGCTGGCGGGCGGCACGGGATGCACTGACTCAGGTATCGACAATGCGACACTGGCACTTCCTTGCCGTATCGTCTTATCTTACGAAAGTCTTTCAATTAAGCAACTGGGATTGAAAAAGCTTTCGTGATGATTGGTAGATCCTCAGGTCAGCATGTTGATTGTAGATGCCGAATATCCTGTCTTTGCTATTATACTTCTACCCCGAATACGCGTAGCCCTGGTCCTCGCTTGCGTGAGGGGAAATACGAACAGATGAAAGCATAGAAGCAGCGATATCGGGTGACTTGGGTCAATACGCCAAGATGGATGAATTGAGGTTGCGAAGCTTAGTACCCTAGAGAGTATTCCCAGCCTAAGTGATCTTTTTCTGTATAAATTCGCAGAGTGTATGTGGGCTTCGCATAGCATTAACAAAAGGAGTACCAAATACGCCGTCATGCATATTCTTCCTGTTTTTTGTTCTCTTTTTGTGTCAGCACTCGCTGAAGAGGTACCCCCTCAGTTTGATGATGGGCAACTGACTGGCAATGGCTTTGGTATACCTGGTATCAATGCCACATATGACTATGTAATCGTTGGCGGTGGTACAGCAGGTGCCCTTGCAGCAGCGCGCCTTACTGAGCACAGTAACGCGACTGTTGCTTTGGTTGAAGCCGGAGGATTCTATGAACTTAGCAACGGCAACGTCAGCCAGTTGCCATTTAGTAGGTCACACAATACGTTTGCGACTCTCGCCACCCAGCATATTGATATTACTTAGGGATCAATGATTGGAAAGGATCGGGGGGCGCGTCTAGCTGGCAGCCACTCATTGATTGGGGCTACTTCACTCAACCCCAAAACGTAAGTACCTTCAGGATCTCAACGTATACATCTTTTTACTAACGTCAGATAGAACGGCAAGAAGATCCATTATGCCCAGGGAAGAACATTTGGCGGCAGCAGTGCCAGAAACCTGATGATGTTCAATCGCCCTACCAAAGGGGCGTACAAGCACTGGGCCGAGAAAGTGGGCGATGATGCCTATACGTGGGAGAACATGCTCAAGTTCAACACAAGAACTATGAAGTTCTCAGACAACAGTCAACACCGCCCTCAGAATGCCACGGCTCTTTATGACACTGCAGCTTTCTCAGGGAAAGGGGGTCCTCTACACCTCACCTTTCCAGGCTACGTCTTCCCAGTTTCGTGGGACGCCATCAAAGCCTTTGAAGCACTGGGATTTAAAGAGATTCCAAGCTTCACTGCTGGTGTCTTGCAAGGTTGGGGCTGGTGGCAATTCTCCATCAACCCTGATACTGGTCTTCGAGACTCTTCAGAGAGTTCATTTTTGCAGCAAAGCCTGGGCCGGTCTGGCTTGACAACATACATCAACACCATGGCCCGCAAGATTCTCTTCTCTGGCAAAAAGGCCGTTGGTGTCACTGTTGATAACTATGGCCAACAATCTTTCAATCTGACCGCCCGAAAGGAAGTCATCGTTGCTGCCGGGCTCTGGAGTAGCCCTCAGTTGCTCATGGTTTCTGGCATTGGGCCTGAAGAAACTCTCAAAAAGTTCGACATCCCAGTCCTATCAAATCTGCCGGGAGTCGGCCAAGGCACACATGATTCAGCTGCTGTCCATGGGCCTATCTGGGAGATTGAAGGAATTTCAACGGGCGGTTGGAAACAGCCCTCCAAGATGAAAGAAGCAATCACTGAGTTCAATCAACACAAGAAGGGCCCTCTTACCAATGGCGGCGTTGATGTCGGGGCATTCGAGAAGATTCCTCTGGCAAATCTTAGCAAGAAGGCCCAAGAGGATCTCGCTCAGTACCCTGACGACTGGCCTGAGGTAGAGTTCATCATGCAGATGGTTGATCCTCCAGCTGGTGCGACTGGCAAGAACTACGCTGCCATGACCATCAGGATGGTTGGGACGGTCAGTCGTGGCAACATGACTATCTCATCTGCGAGCAACCTTGACCCTCCTATCATTGATCCAAACTGGCTACGAGCTGATACAGATAAGGAGGTAGCTCTGTATGCTCTTCGAAGAGCCCGACAGCTTTGGGAGCATATTCCTTCCAAAATTGGTAAGGAAATATACCCTGGCGCCAACATCACCAGTGACGAACATTTGCTGGATCTCACCTACGACAACCTCGACCCGACGCATCATGGAACTGCTTCTTGTGAGTTCACGTCTCTTTGATACAAAATAAGCTCATACTAATTCATTACAGGTAGCATGGGCAAAGCTAGTGATTCATCAGCAGTGGTCGACTCTAAGGGTCGCGTTTTTGGCATCAAGAATTTGCGTGTTATCGATTCCTCTACCATGCCACTAACGCCACCTGGACACACAATGGGTCCAACATATGGCAATGCTGAGAAATTGGTACAGGATATTTTGAATGCCTACCATGGTTTAGAGTAGCTGCGATCAGCCTGTTCGCGCAGTATCATAGCAGAGAGATATTTCGCTGTCAATTCTCGTAGACAATGGCTTCAATTCATCTTTGGTAATTTTGCTTGGGCATTGTCTCGATGATTTGATGACAACGCTTCACTCAAACCTTCTGACTCTATCATGCGCCCCAATTCGCTGTCGCAAACTTGTAAATTGTTGTATCAGCCATGAATCACGCCATTATTCCGTCCCGTGGGGTATCATGTTCCGATCAGAACTGGAATTTGGTCGGCGGTATCGGAGGAGCCTTCGTGCTGTCAAAACGCTGAGGGTACGATGCCCGGTCATTGGATGTGCACGGTTGACGGCCGTGTAAAGTTCCTCTCATGTACACCGCCATTTACTCCACGGCATTGCAGCGTGTCAGTGCAGGTGTGTGTGAGTGCAACAAGAGACAACATCTGCACGGTTTTGGGAGGGTGTGCTATGATAATAAGTGGACACAAAATAATTGGGTGTTTACGCCGATCAATTCGGGGCTGCTTATCACCCCGAAGCCGGCTAGAAGCGTTCAGTGTTCTCTGCGGTGGCACTTCGAAGCCGAAGCCGCATTTCTCCCCACCTGCGAAAGCAAAACACTGCTGCCTTATCTTTCTTCTACTTCGCAAAGCTGGCTCTAGCTTGACTTTATCAACGGTATCGCAACAGAACATTTCCTCCTCATGGCGGAAACAGAGAAACAAGAAGGGTCTCAAGATGGGCCTATTCTGCAAAGCAGTTTTCAGGAGGATGATAACTCCGCTGAACAAGCCTCTCACTCAACTGACCAGACGAACACAAATCTAGCAATTGGTGGTGATCACAAAAAGAAGCTCGGTGTGCTTTTGGGCTCAGCACTTATGCAGCTCCCGCTCTGGGGTAAGCAACTACGGTTTACCATTATGCCTTATCTAACAATACCATTCTAGGCTTCAATCTGAGTTACGGTATTTTTGAAGAATACTGGACAAGCAACTGGACTCTCGATGGCGATCTCTCCATCACTGGCACAGTCGGCACTACCTCCAACGGAGTCATGTATATCTCCATGCCGTTCTTGTTTGCCATATTCACCCGCTACTGGGCTCATCACCGGATCAAAGCAGAGCTCGGAGGCCTCATCATAGCATTCCTCGGGTTCATTCTCTCCTCCTTCAGTACCCATGTGTGGCATCTCATGGTGACACAAGGCGTCATGGCTGCTTTTGGATGTACCCTCGTGTACAGCCCAGCAACATGTTCTCTCGGGGAGTGGTATGCCACTGGAAATCGAGCTATTGCCTATGGTATCATTCTCTCGTGTAGGAATATTGTTGGCTCGGTTTGTCCTTTTCTTCTGCGGTATCTTCTTGACCAATACGGCTTTCGATGGACAATTCGGATATGGGCGTTCATTCTAGCTGGGTCAGGTCTTTTGTCCATCGTTCTCGTGCCAACGCATCCTTCCAAAATGGTGGCACGAGAGGGAAAGCCTCCCCGCATACCATGGACATTCCTAAAACACCGTGGCATTTACACCTACTTCGTTGCAGTCATGGTTCAGAGTTCAGGGTACTGTCTGCCGCAGACATATCTCCCAACATTTGCAAGAGAGTTCAACGGCGCCAGTCAAGCTATTTCTACTCTATTGCTTACGCTGCACAACATTCCGGGCATCCTCTCGTGCTTCTTCTTCGGTTGGCTCACTGACAATAAGTATCATCAATTCTCAGCCACTACTATTACTTGCCTCTCGGCGTTCGCATCCTCAGCGTCTGTCCTTTTGCTCTGGGGACTGTCAGTAGATGGAAGTCCGGCCCTTACACTTGTATTTGCCATCGTCTTTGGCTTCTTTGCCGGCGGCTACAGTGCGACATGGGGAGGCATTACTAAGGAACTTGAGATTGAAGCAGAGGAGCATGACGAGACTATTGACTCCAGTCTTACATATGGACTTCTCAATGGAGCTCGAGGTATTGGGTTTGTCAGTGGTGGGCTTGTAAGTATCCCATTGCTGAGCGCAGGAGACACAGGCTGGGGAGGGAGGTTTGGCTACGGAACCAAGTATGGTCCACTTATGGTCTTCACCGGCATTGCAGTCGCTTTTGGTGGCCTTGGGTTGATCAGGGCTGCAAGAATAAGACCACACAAGACTTCAACATCAGGCTGAAACTATGATTGCATAGAAATTCATGTTTAAAATCTGGTAGCTTGACTGACCTACTGGAGGTTGATGAGCCGGGCTGCCTCAATCATAGGTTATTCTGATCATGCAAACTAATCCTAACATGTTGCTACTACACCTAAGAACACTTCGTTCTTCCATAGATCTTTACCAAAGATATAGTCTTTGGATTCTGTAGAATGGCAATAGCCCTTGTGCATTCAAACTTTCTCACGAACAACCTCTTTGAGTTTGATAGGCAGTCCGCCCTTCTCCCATAGGAAGAAGATCTTCTGATCGTACCAGTCCTTTTCAGTCGGTACAGCCTCGAGGTCAAACTTCCAGAGCATACGAGCCAACAAGAGTCGCATCTCGGTATACGCTAGACTATTTCTCATTGTCAGCTATGCCTTAAGCCAGCGATAGCAGCATACTTACTTCTTGCCAATACAGTCACGAGGTCCTAGGGAGAATGGCGATAGGATAGCCCGGTTATCGCTCGCATATCGAGGATCATCCAGCCAGCGTTCTGGAACAAACTTCTTGGGGTCCCTGAAGTTCAGCTCTGAGTAATATGCAGGCCAGTGAGGCATCGAAACCGCAGTCTATAGGTAACAGTCAGAGTTTAGTGAGTGCAATTGGAAGCTCTTTAGTTCAACTCACGTTCTCAGGAATCCAGTAGCCATCGATGAACTCGCCACCGGTTGGGGAAAGTCTTGAAAGTCCAACAGCCACTGGCGGGTCTAAAATAACGATCAGTACACAGACCAGTGTGAAAGGCCTCATGATAGGTGATCTTACACATGCGAAAGCCTTCGTTAAAGACAGCCAACATATACTTCAGTTGGTCAACCTGGGTAACGGTGATCTCGCCCTCAGAGCTAAAGGCAGACCGTATCTCATTTGTCAACTTCTCAAGCTTATCAGGATTCTTGAGAAGGAAATAGGTGGTTCCACTCAGAAGGGTAGCTGTTGTCTCGCTACCAGCGATGATCATGACGCCCGAGTTCTCGATGATCTCAAGCTGCGACATACCCTTCTCATCATTATGACGAAGGACATATGACATAAAGTCTTGGCTCTCAGTATCCTTGGACTCAATGCGGGCAAGAGCCGCATGCTCTGCGAACTGCATGTGCTCTTCATAGCTCTTCCTCAAGCTTGGGGGACTCAATAGGGAGATCCAATTCTGAAGTCCAAGGCGCACGTAGATCTGAGTATAGGAAAGAACCTTGAGGCCCTTAAAGACTCTGCTGACCCAGGGATGATACTTTCCGTTCTCAAGACATCCGAATGGCTGACCAAGGGCGAGATGGCCAATGAGATCGAATGAAGCAAAGTTGTACCAAGCTACAATGTCGATTTCCTCTCCTCGCTGTGCTCGCTCTGTGAGGCCTTTCATGAACAGTTCGACGTAGTGATCCACAACATCGCCTTGACCGCGAAGTGCCTTGGACGAAAAAGCATGTGCAAGTAGGCGGCGCATACGTCTGTGGTCTTCCTGGTCGGAACGAACGATGCTTGAGCAAGGGCGGTTTTGACGATACATACGGAAGTCTTTCTCAAATGACTTTTGACCAGCTGCTTTGTGGCCGTAGATTTTCTTAGAAGCTTCCGCAGTGATGAAGGAGACATCTTTAGGCGTGAATCTGACAGCTGGCCCATATCGTTCGTGCAGCTTTGCGAGGTGAAAGACCCAGTCGCCTTTGCTGAGATAGTACAGATAAGGGATCTGAGTTATGGCATATAGCTTCGGTCCGGGGACTTTGGCCAGTGGGTGAAAGAAAGCGTAGTATGCAGAACTGACAACGAGATAAAGAATCTTTGCGATACGATTAGAAGAATGAAGCGAGCTCTATGATGCTTGGACTCACCAGAGAAATACCTAAAAGAGAAAACACGGAGCCGAGGCTGAGCTCAGCCAGTGCCTCCGTATGTAGTACACCCATGCTGGCGGGTTGACAGAAGAGCAGTGCAGAATAGCTTAGATGACTGACTTGATGATTGAGATGTGGTATTTACCTTGGTAGATTCTGATTTTAATAGGCAGAATTGTTCCAACTTTTATAACCCCTCGTTCCAAGAGAGTAGAGGCAACACGAAAGTGCTCAGCGTACAAACCTGTTTGATGCACGTCGATCATTCATCTTTTTCGCATACATCTGCATCGGGATACGACCTCGGGATCAACCGAAATTCTCTCCGCAACCAATCAATGTGGACATCATGTGAGGAGCCAATACTTTCACCGCGTTAATGCCTGCTGAGTGCCGAGTTGAAATGAAGATGTATCCACTGATCCGCGTTCCACTGCCTTCGTGTTCAACATGATGTTGTTTTTATGTCCGCGGGGTTTGCAAAAGTGCCAGCTAAAAGCGATGTTCGGGATTTCGGGCTTAATGAGTTTCACCCTTTTCTTTCCAACGCCGTTCGCCCAGATATTGATGATCTTCTTTTTCTATTTTGGCTGAGTTGAAGCATATTCTGATCTGCCGAAGCAGGATTCATATCCCAGCAAAGGAATTGCTTATGAATGGATGACATGGTCAATAATCATCCAGTTAGGGTAAGCACTAGATGAAAAGTACCGATTGGTTTGATAAGCCTTATCTACTATCGACTTGAGTCTTCGTAGTATACATCCGGAGGTTAGAGACGCATGGAAGCGACACTTTATTCCACGTGCAATAGTGGCCGATGTTACACACGGCAATATTGTCATGGCTCTTAAACACTACATTGGGACTAATAGCCTCGTCATCGCTTAAACCTACCACTGCAACATCACTTAAATTTGAACGTTCCGTGCCGTAGTATCCGAAAGAGGTGGCATAGCTTGACCCTGTAAGCGGGGAATTATATGCAGACATTAAATGGAGAATAGCCCTCCAGAGCCATGGGCGCAACAGCGATCATCAAGTGTTAAGAACATCGTTACTTGCAGCTATTCAGAAGGTATTTTCAACTCGTATGACGCCAGTGTCCAGACCTGCCTAGAGACAACTGCGGTGAGAGTTGCTTGAGAACTGTTTCCAGTGGGTATGTTAAAATAACATCCTCTCACAGCCAAGCAAGAAAACAGCCAGAATGACATCATTTATGACTTTGACTCCACAGAGATTCGCAACTGTTGAGCATCTGATATACTGGGCCCAAAACTTGGTCTGGACCATTTGTGAGACAACGGTCAATCGCAGTCAAAATCCCGAGACATATTGTGACACCAGAAATCACCATGACGAGTCAATTATTAGAAGAGTACCTAGTTATAAGCACGTCGCCAATGGCCTGAGACCCCGCAATGATCGCCTCTATGGCGGTAGTATCCGTGCCTATCTGCCGAGAAGCCGGACTCAGACACGGCTCCAGTCCACCATCTGGGGCTTCTCACGAAGCTAGTGACCGGTCCTGAAGAAGGTCCTTTTGGAATACAAAGTGTGATTTGTCGAATACGTTCACATGCTTCTCAAACTTTCCGCGGAATTATTGAACTGTACATGGCTATTGTCTTGAGAAAGGTGGGGATTTGTGGAAGCCCATGGAGGCTATATTCAGACGAGATTGAGAAGCTAAAAGCAGTTTATACAGCACAGTAAGACTATCTTCAGCACCCCCCAGATATCATTCTTCCCCTTTCTCAATGTGACTCATACTAAGAGCTCTGCGCTCACGAAAGCTACTCCCATCAAATTCCAGATATTTCTCCTTGCGCTTTTCAGTAATGGCTTGCGTACCCGTCAGAGGCTCGTCGCCGTCAAAGATCTGGCCAATCTCCTCCAGACCTTTGATACCTGTTGCCTTAGCCCTCTTACTTTCCATCTTTTCTCTTCCTTTTTATATCCTCCTCCCTATATACTTAAGTCTATTATGTCTTCCCAAATTCCCCTATCAGTTCTTCCTTCTAGGTTTCACCTCGTCCTCCGCAACAGGATGTAACATCGTTTTATTCGGATAATCCGTCGTGTTTTTCGCATAGCCCATGGACCAGTCATAGCCCACGGCGTACGCAAAGAGACTCCCATCGTAGCTAAAATCAGTTGATGTGATAGCTCCGCCAACGAACGGGAAGCTTCTCAGACGACAGCGAGCCATACGATCCCAGAAGTTGAACGTTCCGTCAGATCCAGCAGTACTAAATGTAGTTTGATGCTTCGGATGAAAACGCACGTCGTTGACGGCATAGATTTTGGTGACTTTCGGATCATCGGACGTGTCTCGGTGACATCGGAAAGTGAACTTAGTCCTAGCACCCTGTTAGCTACCAGAGTCGGTCATCAAGAGAAAGACACCCCATACTTTTCATCCTTGCCATCCAAACCGTTCATTGCACACCTTCCTTCGATGGAGGCTGTAGCCCAGCCTTGGCCATCAGGAAAAGCTGCTACAGCCTTGGTCTGGTGCGATAGTGGCGATGTCGTGTTTCGCGCAAAGGACGTCAGGTCGGAGCGCAAGTCGACAAGATGGATGTGTTTCTCAGCAGTTGCAATGACAAGCAGATGCGCTGCTGAATCCACACAGTAGATGCGGTCGGCGCACTGGAGAGTTGCGAGAGGCTTTCCCGTCTGTCGTAAATCCCAATACTGAACAGTCTTGTCCCAAGACCCACTCGCGAAAACAGGAGCAGGGGATGAAGGGATGTCGACAAAGTTGACGCAGCGCACAGGCGCAGAATGCTCCCCAACTACAATAGTTTGTCCAGTAGGAGGATGAAGAAGTCGTACATTTTTATCCGCACCACAAGCCGCAACCATTGTTCCATCCTGGGTTTATATGTATGTGAGATGACTATCGTCAAGAACGAAGCTAAGGAGTGTGCTCACCTAGACGCATGGAATGCTCGTATCGCTTATATGCTGCTTGGGTTAGAAACTTACCTTAGCCCAGTCGCAGCTAAAGACGGGGCCGTCAGCGCTGAGGAGAGCGACGCCAGCGGCCGAGCCATCAGCCTTGACGTCATAGACGCGCATTTTGCCGTCCCAGGACCCAGCAGCCAGATAATGAGCTGTTGGAGACCAGCGGATAGCCGAGATGGTGTCGCTAGCGTCGGCAGGAAGAGTGAGATCCTTCAACGCCATAGTGCAGGATAAATAATAGGTAAAAAAGAAGTCGCTTCGATAATATGTCAGATGAAAATAAGAAAGAGAGAGAAGCTAAAAAAAAAAAATTAAATAAATAATTGATGGCTTAGAAATAATCCTTATGTCATGTGATACAGATCGGGGTTAAGATGTATATCCGGCGGTTATCTACGGAGTAGGTTGTACGGCATTCACCGATTCGGTTAAGCCTAGCTCACCAGCTGCACTTGCTTCTAGCCAGAGACCGCATACGGTCTAACCAGACTTGATGTATATATCTGCCAAATTCTCCTGACTGGAGGGCAGAAAGGGGCCAAGCGATGTAACAGCCATGAATTTTAAGAAACAGTCCTCGCAGGAGGGCACCTCAGGATAGCCCCACCAGGTCAGGATGAGTATTCTAGGGTGCACGACATATGTTTCCAGGAGTATATGAGTACGCTGTATACCCGGTAGCCTATGAAGCTTAGTACCACGAAGCATATTATGAAAGACATGGTAAATAGACAGAGCGTTCGGTGTGAAAGTCATTGTTTATCACTATCGCGAATAGACTATGAGATTTAGAGAAGGGTCGTGTCGCCAGAGCACCCTTTTTACACTGCCACGTTCATCGACACCGAACTCTATCTTCCAGAACAACGGATCGTTATCATTTCCCAATACCCATCTACCCCGGCGTGACAAGTCGTTCCGTGGTTGCAACCACGTAAAAGTATCGCCATCATAATGCGTCAGCTTGTACCTTTCCGAATCCATTCCCTGGAATGCCCAAAAGAGCACTCCCTCTTTCGCAGTGACCACAACGCTGAAAACGCGACTTTCGTCTAGATATTTTCCTATGTAAGACTCCAAAGATCTGTGAGGTTTGATGGTCTGTGGTTGGACTTGCATGAGACCTTGGGCAATCCGGTCATACCAACCCAAGTTGATAGCGATAGACGTCTTTGCGTATGTTGCAAAATCGGTGTGGTCTTCGATCGGAATATCCATGATCTCTTCGAGTACCATTTGTGAGACCCAGTCAGGCACATCCGTAAGTGAGAGGCTGTTGCTCATGACCAACACGACGGTTTCCGTACGCGGAATCAGTATAACAACCACAAGAGCGCCTGGGAGCGTGCCTTGATGGTATAGTATCAGCTCGTCAGCTACTCCTTTCACAATAACCGGCATGCCATGTGGCATTAACCTGCCATTCAATCCGATGTGTCCCATGGTGTTGGGCAGTTGCACACGCGCCCATCCCAGTCCATAAGACACCTCGCCCCTCTCGGTTGAGAGCATTGGCACATGAGGAGACATGATCGCCGATACCTGCTTCAGAGGGGAGCCTGGTGTAGAGGTTTGGCCTGTATGACACTCATGGTTGAAGCTCTGGATAAAGCAGGTATAGACTTTGATCAAGTCAGCAGCGCAAGACCGTAGTCTGCCGGAACCGCACCCGATACCATCCATACCAAGCTTAGGTCTCGGTATAGACCACGGCGTGCCATCATCCAAGGCGTTATAGGACTTTGTCACATCATCTGCGTCGCTGGGCGGGGGTCTCATGAAGGTTCTTCGCAAGCCGAGCTCAGTGAAGACGTGCTGCTGGAGGAAGTCGTCAAGAGGAGTGCCGCTGAGGCTTTTGAAACCCTCATCGCAGGCGTCATAAGCAGTGCTATTGTATGCAAACGAACCGAGGTTCGTGGGGACCAGAGTCTGGTGATTAACGACCCGCATGCAGTCGTCTTTGCTAATCAAGAGGTTGCCCTCACAACCACCAACCAGGTTTCCGCAGGATGACATACCACTACGGTGACTGTAGAGGTCCGCTAGTGTTGTGTTGTTATACAGATCAGTGTCGTTTGGATGAAAAGAGGGTGTCGCGTCTTTAACAAGCATCTCCCACGATGCAATGCCGTCGTCAACCAATATGCCCATGGCCGCGGCCGACAGGCCTTTGGCGAGTGAACATACTGGAAATATGGTCTCTTCTGTAACTTTAAGTCTGTTCTGGAGGTCTCGAAAGCCGTAGTTGGCGTGATAGACAGGCTGATTCTTGGTCGCGACCGAGAGGCTCAAGCCTGGCGTGCCACTGAGCTTCATCAACTCTTGAATAGCAGGGCCAAAGGCATCAAGCTTGCGAGGTAAGTCGTCCATGGCACTTGTAGGCGCTGAATTTAGCTTCAATACAGCCAATCTCGATCGGTAACTGGAGTGCTCATTGAACTCTATATCATTGAGTCTATAGAAAATGGGTGGAGGTAGATTTCGGGGTCAGCCCGACAGCTTGACCGACGGGGTTAGTCACGAAAGCCCGCACGCAGAGGGTAGACCCCGCTTCCAGCCTTCAGCCCTAATGTCTTTTTGTTTTCTAGAAAGTATAGAAGCTGATGAGGCCAGTAGGTTATCCGACTTTATTTCCTCGCCAAATAGTTACCGGCCAGGGTTAGACCTCTAACCCAAGCAGTTCGCGTATGAAATGATATCTACACGATTAGGAAGATGGTACATCATGACTACATCAGTCTCCAATATACGACCGACTCAACATACTGACGCGTTCGGACGGAAGAAAAGTCTGTTCCGAGAGATCATAAAAGTCGAGACAATTCCCCGCCATATTCATATCCGTACCGACCACTTCTCCCATGTCATTGCCCGCCTTTGCCTGCGCGGCGAACATTGAATCATGAGTTGCGTTGCCCATCTGGAATGACAGCGGAAGTGGAGGGAAAGCCAAAGAAATGCTCTCGGGCGACTCTGTCTGAGTACCATTAATGCCGATTTCTCCTTCTAATGCGCCTGGTACTGTTACTTCAGTCGAAGTGCTCATCCTTTGAAGCCCGGTATTACGAAAGCTGACATCTGCATTTCTTGATGAGGGAATAGTATCTTGCTTCTCGGCAAAGGCTTCCCGAATGTCGACCGAGCCAGAACCTTCAATGCGAGCCTTCTTGAGACGCGAGCAAAACTTGGAAGCCAGATTGGCTCGTGCTGGAGGCTGCTCCCCGTTCCACCTACGAGATATCTCCTCGAGGCTCGATAAAACGGAGTCAAAAGATGAGGTCAGAGCGGACTGGTAATATGCGGCATGGGTCAGCAGCATCTTGCCGCACACGAAGAGGCAAAAGGAAAACTGTGGACTAATAAGCACATTTGAGTGACCAAGGAATTGCTCTGCGATCGTGGTAACCTCGTCAGCCGCGACATGGCAAGTCTCTGCACTGGAAGCAGAAGGCAGCCTGACAGGAAGAGACTGCCATTCTGCTGGTGGATAAGCTAAGCCCTGGTGTAGGAGGACAACGGCAGTGTTGTGCGCTATATGCGCAAGTACCAGATTGGGATCCAAGTTGCCGTCATTGTTGAATTGGCAAGCCTTGCGCCATTTCTCGGGGAGAAAGAACTTCCATCTTGTCTGGTCAGCCCAATGTCTTCATCACCTGTATGGAAAGGGAGCACATACTGTACGAGTCGCAAGTCCAACTGCTTAAATCTCATAAGCCACCTCTGAACTTCTTGGACCTCCTTGAAATCAACGCGGTATTGGAGAAAGAACGACGTGACAAGACTCAGACTCTCCGTTGCCTCTATGCAAAAGGCAAAGCCTCCGAGAGAAGCCTGCCCATCTTCGGTTTCGCGAGTAGCTGGCAGATAATCCTTCTCGCGGTCGTGGGACCGAGTTGAGATTCCAAAGTACGGAGTAGGAGTCTGGCTTGGTTCCCCAGTCTCCCATATAGCGCCTTCGCAAGGAAGCCTCCTCGTGACATCAGCACTGGTCAACGATAGGTTCCAGCCAGTACAGATACTACAGAAGCGGTCCATGAGAAAGACATTCCAGAAGATGCGGCGCCGCTCTTCTACTTCGGCCCATGTTGGCGCTGGGGGGAGGAAGGCCACTCTCTCGATTAGAGCCTTTGACCTAGACTGATGTGACTGGGTCTCCTCCTCCTCAGTGCTCAGACGTAGTTGTTCAACGGTTCTAGACATGCTGCCGACTATGGACCATGCCGAGGGACCTCTGCCGCTTCCAATAATGTCAAATGCACAAATTGTCATTGCTTGCAAGTTCTCGACCGAAAAGGACTCCATACTCGCAAGTATGACTGTCTGCCTACAGATAGTGGAATATTGAGTACGGAGTTCTGGAGCATTCTGTAGCCGTGGGTCATCTGAGAATCGTATACACAGAGACACTATAGCATGCAGTATTGTCGATACTCGCACTCTTCCTGCGGGATTAGACAGTAACCCTCGGAATGTTGTCTGATGTAACATCGGTATCCAAGGATGGATCTGGTTGAAGTATATGTTGACCATGGAGTCTACTAGGTCGTCTGGAGGGAGTGTACCCAGGCTAACGTGGTGTTGAAGACTTGGGGTATTTTTCGGCGGGTGTGTATGTGTCCCATCGAAAGTGCTTCCTGGTTGAAGTCCTTCCACGACCGAATCGACTTGTTGACCGATTTCCGATAATGGTAATTCAGTGAGATGTCTTCGGACATCAGATGCCATCTGCTGGATCGAGATTTCTGGATGGGAGTCTGGGGTTTGCCCGTACTGCTGGTTATTTGGCTGCTTGATGCTGTTCCAGATCTGCTGCCAGAGAACACCCTGACCAAGAAACATATTTTCCAGCGTCGCTACCAGCAAGTAGGTCAGCTACAAGGATTGAGTAGGTAGATTTGCTTTGCTGCCTACCTACACGCTGAGTCAATGTCTCAATAGCCCCGGCCCGCATGCCCGGCTTTGACTTTTCCTGGTCGTATATGCATTCGGCGCCTTCGACATATCAGTCGGGTAAGGTCTGAGGGATAGATTGAGATTTACCGAGCTTGATACAAGTGCCGCATGGTTGATCTCTCGAGCACTTTGCCTTTCGCCTGCGACATAATGAACACGACGGTCCTTGGGGGTCGTCTTTGCTGGTGCGCTTCCGTTTCTCAGGCCGAGGCTCGTCTGAACGGACTCCATTGACGCAGGGAGGTGACTCTTCATCGTTGTCTTGCTCTGAGTAGGGTTGAAAGGTCATGCTTGTAATCGACTGGTCGCGATAAAGCAACGTTGATAAGCTTTCATGTGCACGCGGCGTTTTGCAAACATGCGAGAGGACAGAGCCAGAGGAATTGGACCCGTAGGACAATCAACAAGAGTGACGTGACGTGACTTGTCCCATGGGGCCCCACCGCTCGTTAAGATCGATTGAGTTTAGTTTTCGTGGAGAGGAGTCTGTCTAATCTCATTGGGTATCGGAAGCGGGATAAGTCTCGGAAGTGAGCCCGACAGCCGTTTAATCTCCAGTCAGAGGATGTCGCATTTCACAGATCTATAACAGTAAAATACTCCTAATGCTTGATTTATAAATGCGAGTTACTGGTCATCTTAGACCTGTAGTCACTATTACCTACCCTTTATCTCTATAATGTATCTGTTTATATATCTGCTTTACTGTTTCTCTCGGCGCTAAACTGAATGGGCTTCATGATCCATGTCTCAAGCGGAGGCTGTCGCTAAATACGATTGGGCCGCTTAGTTGCGGAAAAAACGGAAAAGCGGGCTCGTCGGAGTAGGTCCGTTATTTAATCCGTCGTCAGTCAATCTTCAGAGTGTAGGGTATTGTCGCAATTAGATTTCTCTTTACTGAAATTATATATCTGAGCCAGTTCTTTTAAAGGGTAATGTATAAAAATGATATAATAGATAGAATTGTCTTATAAAAACTTCTAATATTATTATTAAATTAGGTAACTAAACTCCTTATCTCTGTTGTATCTATTGTAAGACTAGCTTGTTCCTTCAATACTGCAGCTGACTTGATTCCAATAGCTCTATTCATACGTGCAAGAAAGGATTCGCAGACAAGTAACTGCTGGGATGTCGCGCGCTGGCAAGATATAATGACTTTCAAGGGTTGAAGAATAATTAGAGCCCCAGCGCCATCATTGGGCGTGGGTACAGGCCGACCACTTGTGTCCACCTCGTCTAAGGCGTAGGGAACACATGACAGCATATCGTCAATTGTTACGCGAACATCATGCTCTAGAGCGGGAAGGTAGTCGGCCCATCCACCGCCAACAGCGCATTCACGTCTAACGTGCTGTTGTACCCTTGCTTCGAGATATTCCAGCACACTTATCAAAAGAATCAGACGCGAAAGCCGAATTAAGATGATCGTGCAGGCAGTCTCGGGGTCGTAGTAATGCGACCCCGTGGCAACCCTTCCTAGAGCAATAGGTACTGTGCGACCCTCAAACGTGTTTCTCCAGTAGACTGGGGCCTCTTCATCCCAGTCGTCAAACTTATAGAGGGTCTGGAAGCTTTCTTCCAGTAGTCGAGCGTCTAGCCCGTCTTCGTGGGTACACGGTGATAAAGTCTCTGTAAATTGCTGCATACCACGCGTGGATCTAACCAGAGCATGGCGTAAGTGCAGCATCTCCGTCGTCAAGGACATAGCGCGCATCAGCGGATCGAAGAGGCCAAGAAAGTGCTCCATTCCACCAGGGTCGCTATAGGTGTCGTCGTCATGCAAAAATGAGTATACGTGCTGCAGAGTTTAGTGAAGGCCCTAGACTAAGGGAAGACAGGAGCCTACAAGTCGCAGAAGCGAAAGGACATAGAGCTCGAAGCCACGACCGGTTGCAAGCTGCTCAAGCCCTCTCGTCTCTAGAAGAAAATAAAGCCCGGATGCATGCTCGCTGGGGTCACCAAACCCTTCGCCGCTAATATCCTTGAACGTGCAGAGCAAAAGGACTGCAGCAAGGACTTTGTCATCGGTGACGCCCTGCCCAGAGGATATGGTATCCTGCAGCATACCAATAGCTCGACCGTAATTACGATATGATTGCACACGAAGCCTGTCGCATCCAAGCTGGTTGTAGGCAGCCATCTGGGCTACACTCAGGGTAGTGACCTCCAAAAGGCCGTGGCCATCGTGGGTCAATATACTGGGGAGGCAGGTCATGTTGCTCGGATAACTATCCGCCCTATTGCGGGCTACAAAACGATGGATAAAGTAACTTAGGGAGGCGCGGTCATCATCGCAGAGATCCATGATAGGAAACCTAATCAGCCTTGTGTTTTGAGAGTGCACAAGTCTGGCCAGTTCCCAGGCACGTCCATTGCCGTTATCGTTAGTCTTTCCGTGTTGCGGCGAATTTGATGATTTGGACCGGGATAGACCTGGGGAGGCTGCCTTGGAGCTTTTGAAACTAGAACCTTTTAATGGCTGGCGAAATGAAAACTGGTCAGTATACCCCGGGCAAGGTAAACCGTGGACATAGCAGCGATTGCAGGTGGGCTTTGTCTCATCGCACTTGAATCTGTCAGCGATAGTGGAAACGTCAAGCACAGTCGAACGGCTCCGCACCTTGATCTTGCGCTGCCGACAGCGGATGCAGCCTGTGCTGAAACGGCCGGGAAATACCATGATGGTTGGATAGAGCTGGATAACAGCTGTAGCTTTGTAGATGGATGCGAAGGATATGAGAAGGACGAAACTGAAGGCGAAGGTATTGGAAACGCGCCTTGAAAAGTGGAGGCTGTGAGAGGAATGTTGTTTTGTGGGGACCCCGGTTTCTCTACCGAGGAAAAGACATTAAAGACCCACTTTCTAAATTAGACTAAAAGGTACAGAGTAGATTCAGGATAGTGAATCCGGCGTCTAGCCTGACTGCTTCCCTGCTTTTTGGGCTCCTGGAGTATGCCCCTCCTACATGGAGCTTGTTACTGTTCTGTAACTTGTTCGGTAAGTTTCCGACATCTTGTTTGAAACGAAGTGTAGAGTCTTGATTTCCCCTCTTATATGCGCATGAAATACTACCTAGTCTAACACTAACGGGAGTTCAGGAATGTAGTAGCAGGAGTGATGTGCGGGGACCCCAGATTCTCTGCCGAGGGAAAGGACATTATAGACCCACTGTCTAACTGTCCGTAGACTAACAGGTAGATCCATTGTGCAGGGACAGCTAGTCCATATTTAGATCCCCTTTGCGACCCTGTCATCGCTATCCAATAAGCAAGCCTAGCTAATCCCTACATGGGAATTCGGGGGCCGCAATGACCTCCAAGCTCATATATTGCCGGCCTGATATCCTGGCTTAGCTCATGATTCTACAGCAAGATAAAGTTTCTCACGACCTTACTATTGACTTCTTGTTCTTAATCAAGTAAATAATATTGGAAAGGCCTACTGCAATACTCGGCATTCCTCGTCAACTGAGACATACACATTCACCGCGTCGTACTTCTGTCCGCTTCATGTGATTTCGGTTCAGTCGGAGGTATCCAGCACTTAGTAGGCGTCGACGGAGTATATAAATCACCAGCTCGCTCTCTGCTTTCTACACGACTTCAAGCTCTCAACTTCTATCTCTCAATCCTTCCAACTCACCATCTTCATTCACCATCCATCATGCTGTCTACAGTATTCACTTTCGCATTCCTCCTTCCTCTAGCAGTAGGGGGCCTTGCGGCTCCTTCAGTCCAGGAACTCGCGCGGCGCGCAGTCACGCCTCCCTCAGAGGATCCCTTCTACAAGGCTCCGGCCGGGTATGAAGATGCCTCTCCGGGAGATATCTTGGCATACCGCAAGGCACCAGCCAAACTTGCTGCCTTCCAGGCCATTCCTTTGAACGTGAAGGACGTATGGCAAGTCTCATACAGAAGCACCGATGTTTTTGGAAACCCACAGGCTTCTGTTAGCACTATTATCATTCCTTACAACGCCGACTATTCCAAGGTCATCTCCTACCAGATCGCCGAGGATGCTGCGTACATTAACTGCTCTCCTTCTTACGTCTTGCAGCAAGGCACCAACACGACTTATGCCGGTACTAGCAGCATAGAGGTTCTCCTCATGGCTGGAGCCCTCAGACAAGGCTGGGTCATTAGCTCTCCTGACTGGGAGGGTCCTCAGTCAAGCTTTATCGAAGGAGTGCAAGCTGGACAATCCACTCTAGACTCCATCCGTGCCGCCTTGAAATCTAACAAGTTCACGGGCATCAAGCCAAGCGCGGCCGTGCAAATGTGGGGTTATTCTGGAGGTCAGTGCTGCATCGCAACTTGTGTGTGATTGTGCGAGAGACTGTAATTAACACTGGGATAGGTGCTCTTGCTTCAGAATTTGCTGCAGAGCTGCAGGCCTCTTATGCCCCGGAGCTCAACATTATTGGAATGGCAATTGGTGGCACTACGCCAAATGTTCAGAGCGTCTACAAGACCATCAATAACGGTCTTTTTGTCGGCCTTAGCTTCGCCGCTCTCGGAAGCCTCACCAAGATTTTCCCAGATGTCAAGGTTGCCATTGATGCTCAACTTGTCCCTGCTAGGAAAGACGCTTTCTATTCATCTCTTGAACGTTGCTTCTATGATGACGTGGTGAGCTACGCGTTCCAGAACTCAACTACCTACTTCAAGACGGACATCCTCAAGGATCCAACTGTTTCTCGCTACTTGAACAGCAACTGCAACCAAGGCACTCATGGCACCCCAGGCATGCCGATCTTCTGGTACAAGGCGCAGAATGATGAAATCTCTCCCGTTGCTGACACAGATGCGGTTGTGAAGACATACTGTGACGCTGGCGTGTCTATCACCTATGTTCGGGAGGCAGCTGGTGAGCACTTCACTGAGGCAGCCCTTAGCATTGGCGATGTCCTCAATTTTCTCAAGGCTCGTTTTACCGGTACACCTATCTCTGGGTGCACCACCAGAGACGTGTTCTTGAGCCCCTTATCATCCCCCGAAACTGCTGCGACGGCTGGCACCTTTATTGTCGGTACACTACTTAGTCTGCTCAGTATTCCTATTGGCCTGGGTAACCTTTAAGCTGACTAGGTTAGTAAAGCCATGGTCTTTAAGTTCAGTAGCCTAGAACTTGGCTATTCAAAGTTGGGGGAACATGTCAATTAGTAGCTAGAAGTGCTAGGTTCTGCTATAGCCAACTATATCACAGCATAGTGGACCTTCAAGCAAGGCCCTCACTTTCACTATAATTCTGCCTCCAGGTCGCCCCCAACTTCATGAGATGATTAGCGTAGCCCCAGGCCAAGATTGAGATTGTATGCCATGACATTTTTTAGTTGGCCAAGCGGCGGATGAAAGCTCTGAGGTAAGCTCTGTCGGAGAATATACAGTTGGTATGAGCGGAGCCGAGCTTACTTTAGCGCAGCTGTCTTATCACCCTCAAGCTCGCTGGTGAAATTAGCTGGTTGGCATATATATTAGCCATGATCAGATGCCAGAACCTAAGTCCAAGGTAAAGATATTTAATTATAAGGAGACAAAAGCGAGTTGAATCACATAGAGATTTATCAACACCAGCTTTGGCCTATCACCTCTGCCACCGATCGTAGTCAGGAATGTTCTCCTCGTGAAAAGTCTCCGTGACCTTGTTGAATCCAACTCGCGGTCCATTGTGCGGCCAGGGCTCTCCGTCTCCAGTCGCAAATATCGCCCAAGATGCGCCCGGAAACACAAACCAATTTGGCGGAGCAAAAGCTTGCCAGGATGACGCTATTGACGTCACGTAGACCGGTGCTTCCTTTCCGAAACTGTAACCAAGTCGGTATTCGAGGGGTTCAGCTTTGATGTGTAACCTGAGACCACCAGCAAGACCGTTTGATTGGTTGAGTGGAGTTTGCCAATACTGTCGCAATTAGCAATGGACTTGCGTATAACTTAAAAGTGGCAACTCACCTCCTGGGTGCCATTCTTGTTGAGTTCAGTATAGAGACAAATACCGGTAGCATTGACGCATCCCCGAATCCCGATATCTTGATGCTGGAACTCGGAGAGATATGAAGAGATTCCGATATTGTTTCTTGGACCTAGACCCCCTTTGAAGCTGGAGAGCTCGGCTGAAAACGTCATGTTGAGCGACTTCTGCTTGCGTAGCAACGCTGCTGGGGTATCACGGTCACTGAGGCCAAAGACATTGGGATTCAGTACCAGATTCCCCCTTTCTAACTTGTAGTTCTTGGTATATGGTACCCGAAGTTGATACCACGACGAGTCGAGTTTAGAGAGAGAAAAGCTGTCGGCCCATTGGCGAGGAACCTGCCTTGGGCCAACCTCTGGTTTTATTTGCTTACTGAGTAGAACAGGATCGCCTTGGTTGAAGACTGGTCACTCATCCTTCCAATAGACATTCACCATAAATGTCTCTCGGCCTTGAAATGATTAGAAATAGATTAACCTATAATTGACGGGGTGAACGTACCAAGAGGAGATGATCCGTTGATGTTGCGGCGAGCTAAAAAAGTCGCATACCATTGTCCGTCTTTCGTCTTTGTTAGAGTGGCATGCCCAGTAGACTGCACAGTGAGATTGTCAAAACCCCATTGTCCATTATATAGTAGAGGGTTGTAAGGCCCAGCGATAAATGGACCATATGGGGTCTTGCTTCTTGCAATGGTTGATCGATGCAGTTGATCCGTACCACCTAGGGAGCATTAACGCTTACGATTGTTCAAGACAGGATCAAACATACGTACCTTCAGCAATCAAGAGATAATACCACCCATCCTTATGATACATCTTGGGTCCTTCAGGTCTGGCTGTCGAATTGTGAGGCAAAGTCCCGTTCCACAGACTGACATAAGGCCCCACGCAATCTCCAGATGTCAGAGACACTTCGCACTGCGCGATACCCCAGAGTCGACCTTTGTTGTTGTTTGGGGCCATCAGGTTGAGATATGTCTTCTTGGTCACAGGGTCTTGGAAAAGCTCAGGATCGATACCCCATGGCTCAGCCCAGACAGGATCAGACCAGGTGACGAAGTCTTCTGAAGAGATGAACCAGACACGAGGCCAGACACGGGCTATGGGATCATAGGTCCAACGTGTCATTGCTGAAAGCCAGAACTTGCCATCGATAAAAGAGAGACTTGGCGCCCAGGCACCTGTCTGTCGAGTCAGATATTTTGCATCGCAAAAGGGAATTGGATCGTGATGTTTACCTGCTCCGGTGGGCGTCCCATAGAGCTGTAGTTGCTCTGGTCGTGTCAAAACATGAGATTTAAGCGTCCAATTTGATAGATCCTTGCCTTGGAATTAATTAGAAAATCTGGCTAGATTAAGAGATACATTAAACTTACTATGGTAAATGGGTATACCTGGCCAGTACTCGAAAGAAGAAGTGGCGATGTAGTAATCGTCGCCTACAGTCAGGATCGCAGGATCTGGATTCCACCCACTGATGATCGGATTCCAGATGGCTTGAGCCACTGGTTGGAATAAGACAATCCAACTGCAAAGAATACGAATTAAGGCATACATGGTAGGTACTCAGAGTTGTTCTAAAAGAATGTAGGGTCTGATGCCTTGAAATAATCAGCGTAGGCTTGGGCTGAGATGAGAACTGCTTATCACGACTGGACTCAATCAGCCAAGTGGCGGGCGCTGGTTCCGAGGTGGGCTTATGGTATCTTTTCCCCACCGTTTACGCATGGTAGTAAAACGGTGGTCTTGGTATACACGATAGGGCTGGCATCCGTCTTCGCAGGTTGATGTATTCGCTAACGGGATAATCCCGAGACCTTTTCCGACAGCACGTCAGACCTTAAGCCTGGGCTCCGCTGGATACTGAAAGGCCTGTAATGAAAACAAGAAAGTTAAGCAAGAGCTTTAGTGGGTCCTGTGGGCAATGGCATATTCATAGAGTCTCATCCACGCTTACGGGATATCATCCGACATCTTCTCCGGTCCAAGTTAGAATATCATGCTTATCCAGCTATCAACCGAGTAGGCATTCTTTAACACCAAATCAGTTGCTCTCCTGAAATAACGACCTTCTCTGTAATAAGCGACTTATTGTTTTCCTCAATAGCTGTCATTTTGATCCCCACGCCCTATTGCTCGCAACGATGAAGCTCTCGGAAACGATGCAGCCTGATGAGATATTAGCGACGAAGCGGAAGCTTCCTGTGCGTATCCCTACATAATTGGGAATTGAGTGAATCACTAATCGATAACCAGATGTCGGAGAGCCAATACATGAACAGAGCGAAGAGAAATGGGGCGGAGAGAACAAAAGCCGACGCGAAGAAATCGTTGTCTAGTGAATTCAAGCATCTTGAACTTCTGTTCTCTCCGTCCGTTGAGATGAAGATATGGGCCGTCGCTGAGAGAAGCCTCAACATGGTATGTCCATGCAGATTAAAGTGAAGTAAAAATTTAACACTCAAACCAGCCAGAGCCGCCGACTTGGTTTCCGGAGTACACCAAACCAGGAAGCACCGAGTACGTCTACATAGATGCTTCGTTCTGGACCTCGGGCTTCTTTCCGGGCTTACTCTACCTGATCATGGAGCGTAGGAAGAAATTCCAAACTGAATTACGACTTCTTGGGCTTTCGCGACCAGAGCCAGACTTTCCTCATATGCTTCAACTCGAGTACTTCTCTCATACCTATCTATGGTCAACAAATTTTGCTGATAAGTGATTGTTAGATATGTCTCTAAGTGGTGGACGGAGAGTCTTCACCAGAACGGGTCTCTTATGGGCACGCACGATCTGGGATTCATGATCTGCCCCTGGACCCGCTTACAGTGGGATCTCCATCGCGACCCAAGGGCGTTCGGTACATTAATGACGGCCGCCAACACCCTAGCAGACCGTTTCTCGGAGAAGGTCGGCTGCATACGATCATGGGATGTGTGTCGAACAAAAGTCTATTCGTTTACAGACCCAAGCAAGGACTTTCTTGTTATTATTGTAAGTTTTATGTCCAAGCAATCACTTCTCTTGATCCGACCAGCATTGTTGACTGGACAGGACAATATGATGAACCTCGACCTCCTCTTCTGGGCGGCATCCGAGGCCAGTTCCCAAGCTGACTCAACTCGCTTCTTCGACATCGCCATGGCCCATGCTCGCACATCGAAAGAATACCTTATTCGCGCCGACTGGTCAAGCTATCACGTTGCCAACTTCGATCCTTCGACCGGCGCTCTCAAAGAGCGTCTCACAAACCAGGGCTACAGCCATACATCGTGTTGGTCGCGAGGTCAGGCGTGGGCCATTGCGGGATTTGCAAAGTCTTATGAATGGAGTGGCGAGACATCTTTTCTTGAAACGGCCAAGAACTGTGCCGATCACTTCCTGAGGAGATTACCTGACACGCATATTCCGCCCTGGGACTTTGACGCACAAGACGAGGCTGGTGCTACTGCGCAACCCCCAGATACAAGCGCAGCCATGGTCGCTGCTTATGGCATGCTGCTCATCCATCAATCCCTCCAGAATCGCTCCGAGCCATCCCCGTATCTCGGCCATGCCCTACGGATAGTAGATGCTGTTTGCGAGAGGCACTTGAACCCTGCCGCCAGTCAGAAACAGGACCTGGGGACGATTCCTACAGTAGAAAATGGCCGCGCTACTGTTGTCAAGTGTGTCGAGACAGCTGCTAGGCTCGGAGATACCATCCTTAATGGAGCAACTATCAACAATTTCGAGTTTGCTCCTCGTCGCTGGGCTGACCACGGGCTTGTGTATGCTGATTACTTTTTCGTCCTGGTTGGAAACAAGCTTTTGGAAATGAATGCATTAAGGTCATTAGCATAGATTGACCATTAGTAGAGATCTCTTGATTTATTGAAGTCTATCAAAAGACCATTAAGTTGATGTATCTAGGGGAGGTTACCAATGTTCGCAACAGTAATGCTTTTGCTTTAATCAACGAACTAAGGCAAAAAGACCATCTTGTTTGTAACCTTCGAAAACCCATCTATCTCCACCTCCACAGTATCACCGTCTTTGAGAAAGCTATTCCTGAAATACCCTACCCCAGAAGGTGTACCTGTCATAATAACTGTTCCACGACGAATAGTAGTACCACGGCTTAAGTGAGCAATAAGCTCTCGAACAGACCAGATCATGTCGCTCGTGCTTGTTTCTTGCACAACCTCTCCGTTGACTATCGTTTTCAGATATAGAGACTGAGGGTCAGGGATTAATTCCGGACTGCAAATAGCTGGGCCGATAGGTGCAAATCCATCGAACGACTTTGCGTAGCAAAATTGACCCCCAGAAGCTTCGGGAAGTTGGAAATTCCTGGCTGAGATGTCATTGCCTGACGTATAGCCAAGAACGTATTCAAGAGCATGGTCCGCAGATACGTCCTTGGCGTCGCGACCGATAACAACGCACAGCTCCCCTTCATAATCCAGATGCGACTGGCAGTCTTTATGTACATGCACATCGTCGAATGGCCCACTCAAAGCATCGGAAGGCTTGGTGAAAATCACAGGATATTTTGGAACAGTCAACTATCAGTGTGAGGGTAAGCCAAGTTGCCGGATATAAAAGTTTGGCTGGGTATTCAAACTTACGTTTGCTTCGGTTGCATGCTTCTGGTAATTCAATCCCACACAAAGTACAATGGGTGTGGACTCAAGAGGGCAGAGCAGCTACAAGACTGAGTTAGTTACATATCTATAAACGAATGATGTGGTTACCTTTGAGACTTTTACAACCTGCTCTGTCGATTGGAAACCCAGTTCTAGGTTGCCAGAAAGCCTTTCAACCTCATAGTTGCCTTGAACGAATTTGATGAGGTTTCCATAATGTTTAGAACCGTCTTGTTCAAAGCGTACAAGCTTTTGAAATACCATTTTAAAAGTATATAATATATAAAAAGATAACACTTGAATATTGTTAATAATAAACGATAAAGAAGTAGGGTTGGTGATTAAATGGGATTTTTCAGTGTATTAGCTTGATATATCTCGCTGAGGCGTCATAAGCTTTAAGTATTACTCAAGTTGATCTGCTGATGTTGAAGGACAAAATAAGCTTTAGTACCTCCCTGTGAAGCTGCAATATGGCGGACCACGGCCTTGAACGGCGAAGCCGTTTTCACCGGCCAAACCCGAGCTTTCCGAAGCCACTAAAATGGCACCAACGTCTTGCTCTTACCACAGATAAAATACCGTAGGTTTCTGAATATTGGCAGTCAATATCCTAGAATCTAATCTCTATTTACTTCCGGAATCAATCCATATCATTACCGTCATAAAATGGCTGACTCCGAGAAAATACAAGTTGTGCGTCTTACTGCAGTGCACTACCAGCACCCAGACCTTGACAGAGCTTCCACATTCCTGCGCGACTTTGGACTAGTCGAGGTTCTTCGCGAGGACAAGCGAATTTATTTTGGTGGGTACGGCTCTGATCCGTATCTGTACATTGCAGAACAGTCCCCCAACGCACGTCGCGCCTTTTTAGGAGGCATTTGGGCTGTTGGTTCCTTTGACGATCTCATCAAAGCTGCCGCCAAACCAAATGCATCCGCAATTCTGGATGCCGAAGGACCGGGCGGGGGAAAAAAAGTCGTGATCATTGATCCAAACGGATTCCCCATAACCTTCATCCACGGTCAAGCTCTGAATGATTTTCAGGGTGATCTGGCGACGCGAGCCCTGGACAAGGTGGCGCCAGTAGCTAACCAAGCAATGGAAAAGCCAAGACAGGGTCGGTTTCTTCGATTCAGCAAGGGGCCAAGCCCAGTTCATAAACTGGGCCACTACGGATACATTGTGCCCAAGGATGACTTTGAAGAGACCTACAGATGGTACACCAGCCTGATCAACATAGTGCCATCTGACTCTGTATACAACCCTGAGACTGGCGAAGATTCCACTTGCTTCATGCATATTGATCTGGGTGAAACCTTTACCGACCACCACGCAAGTACTTTCATTCCCCAAGATTGCCTTGATATACTAACAATCGTCAAGAGCCTGTTCCTTGGTGCAAATCCTACCAACCAGAAAGCTTTTGTCCACCACTCAAGCTTTGAGGTAAATGATCTCGACACGCAAGCTCTCGGGCACAATTGGCTTGCCGAGAAGGGTTATACCAACTGTTGGGGCATCGGTCGGCATGTCTTGGGTAGTCAGATCTTCGATTATTGGTAAGCACTTGTGGTTCTTGTTACTCGCCTCGCTAAGTTAATGTGTTCTGTAAACAGGTTCGATACTTCGGGCAATATTCTTGAGCATTATTCTGATGGTGATCTTGTCAATAACAAAGTACCTCCCACGCGAAGTCCTGAAGCCCCTGACTCGCTTCACATTTGGGGTCCTAATGTTCCTCTTAGCTTTATTACAGGGCAGGCAGATAATTAAAGTCAAAGAATAGAGATAAATTGAAACAAAAAGATAAGCTTTAGTTATTGTAAACTTGTTTATTCTATTAATGATATAGCTATGGATGAAGGCGGCCTATAAGGTTAAGCTTTAGGCTGCAAACACAGATAATGAATGACAACAAGATATTTTTTTCCCTGATATGATATAGAGGCCATTACTGAGTTTGCAATTCTAAAACCTTGTAAATATATTACTTATTGCCTCGTGTCAGAACTTCAGCAAACCTCCAGAGCTTGCGGGGTAATTGTCATTCTACGCAATGGTTATTACTAAACCAGCTTGAGGGATTGGCAGCTAACTAAGGCCTACATCATACTCCTCCTCCCCCGAGGCATCAGCAGACTAAAGCCCGGTCTGCCAAAACAATGTAGTTCACCACGGCAAAGGTCGGCAAACCGGTATTCCGTCTTCTTGATCCTTCTAGCTTATCTCAATCAATGTATTTCCATATTTACGCATCTCACGTCCTTTCAGAATAGGACAGTTCCTTGACAAACTTAATCCGCGAATTAAGATTATTAATCATTTACGACTCGCAAAGTGTAGTATATACAAGATGAAGGTAGTTATCATTGGAGCCGGAATTGGTGGATTAGCGCTTGCTATTGCCTGTCGACAGGAGAATTTAGACGTGGTAGTACTCGAGCGAGCACCAGCCTTAGAGCCTGTAAGTAACTACACTACGAGACCCCGGCATCCTTGCACAGTTTGGCTACTTTGTTACTAAGATATAAAAGATTGGGGCAGGAATTCAAATACCACCTAATGCTGCACGAGTAGCTCGCCAGCTAGGGGTTATTCCCGCTTTGAAAGACAAGGGAGTCATAGTAGATTCTATCGAGTATGTGAGATACTCGAATGGAAAGCCTCTTTTCGGAATGGACCAGAATGATATAATTGAATCCTTTGGTGACACCTGGCTGTGAGTTGAATAATACATAAGCGGTATGCCTATAACCATGACAACGATACTAAACGTTCCCACGCAGTGTCATTGCTAGACCAGATTATCATCAAGTGTTGTGGGAAGCCGCAAAAAATGCAGGCGCAGAGCTACGACTCGGTTCTGAAATGGAAACGATTGACTTCCAAGCATCATGCGTCTATTTGGTGGGTGGTGAGAAGGTGGCTGGCGATGTCATCGTTGGCGCAGACGGTATGACCAGGGATACTGTTCCTAGTATGACTTGTGCACCGCTGACATTGTGACAGGTCTGTGGTCTCAGGCCCGTAATCAACTGCTTGAAAAGGATTCTCCTGCTGTAGAAACCGGAGACTTGGCATATCGATGCACTATTCCCGCGGAAGACTTACAAGCACTCAACGACCAAGCGCTTAATGAGCTTATGCAAAAGAAAACTGCTACTTGTTGGATGGGACCAGGCCGGCACTGCGTTCTTTATCCGTTGAAGGGCGGCAAAGCCTTCAACCTTGTTCTCCTCGGGCCCGATAACCTTCCAAAGGATGTGCGACGAGCACCTGGAAACTTGGATGAGATGAGACGCAGCTTCGAGGGCTGGGATCCACGGTATGTGTAGATGAAATACAATTGATGAAGATCATTGACTCTCTAACATGGCAAAAGGTTGACCAAGATGCTTTCTGCCGTAACATCTGTGCTCAGGTGGAAGTTGTGCCACCACGAGGAGCTTGAGAGCTGGACACGAGTGAGTATTGAGAATATTCCCAAGGTTGTTATTACTTCATAGCATTCTGACCAGTTTTTTCCAGGAGTCTGTCGTGCTGCTGGGTGACGCTTGCCATCCAACCCTTCCATATCAAGCACAGGGTGCTGCAATGGCAGTCGAGGACGGGGCTGTGCTCGGCAAGCTCCTTGGCTTGCTAGACAAGTCCCAGCCACGTATGACTGAGCTTAGAAACCGAGTGCCAGAGATACTCAAGGTCTATGAGAGTTTACGAAAGGCGCGGACTTCGGCCAATGTACAGGGGGCAGCCTCGAATCGGCAGACTTATCACTTCCCAGACGGCCCTGATCAAGAGGCCAGAGATGCTTGGATTTCATCCTCGAAAAGTTCCCCTTCGACATATACATACGCCTTTGCTGATCCCGAGTATCTGAGGACTATGCTAGCTTTTGATTGTATCGCGGACAGCATCCGTGCATTCAAGACTTGGGAAAGCAAGCAACGAGATCTCCTAGTTGGGAAATTATAGGTAGTTGTCGCCAACACAATCTGCATGTACCAAGAAGATCATCACGTTTGCAAGAATTTAGCTATGAATTAAGATATCTAAATGAACCTCTGGCGGAGATTTGAAGCTGAAAGTACTCAAGACCGCATATTGATAAACTAGCTGCTTGACTTCAAAATCACTTAAATGACACAAGACATCAGTGCTGAGCTTAAATCAGCACATAGAACCTAGTACTTCAAGGTTCAATCTGTTCAGTATTCACTTCTGAAACAACAATCAACAAAACCGACAGCTGTCCATGCTGTCATCCAGTGTTCAGGTACCAACCTACTCAACCTTTCACAATGTCAATCAATTCAACGTACTTTGATTCGTCGTTCCTTTAGTGGGGACGGCAAAACCGTGTTTTACCGCCCTGTCTGTTTATGTTATGACAGGGGATCCAGACGCTAACCTTAAAACTTAGCACTACGCTAAGGATCATATGGCGGAGTGGCCGGGAAATCAGACTGGGCAAGCGGACTGGACTACGGACGACGGCATAAGCGTGTTGAAACACGAGGCGAACAGATCTGAACAAGAGGTAATCATCTCAATGGGGAATAGTTCCGATTGTGGGAAAAGGCACTAATGTAATTATTTTGATATGCAAGATTGAGGTTGAATATTCGAGGCATGCTCTCATTCAACTTTTTACCCCTTAAGCAGAAATCTTCCTTCACACCTAGTATTCCATCACTCTTCTCGACAATTCAATGAGCATTACAATGACAGATATCATGCGCAAAAACACAAGCTGCTCGATGCCAAGAGGCCTCATCTTTAAACCCTACAACAAGAGGCCTCGCGCTCCCCGGGCATGTCTGACATGTAGATCACGCAAGGTCAGATGTGATGTGGTCCGGGGTTGGCCATGCGGAAATTGTAAATGGAGTCAATGTGAATGCAAAGTCCCAAGCCGAAGTAAACGCTCAGGTACAAGCTCTTGGTAAGACACTCGTCCTGCCTTTCCACTGCCTCGGCAGTATGAAGCTCTCACTTACATATTCTTGGCCACAATAGGGACACCATCGCACCCATCAAAATCGCATCCATCAAAGGCTTTAAATCTGATGGGATAAGTACAACTTCAAAGTCTGAAAATCGGGCTCGAGACGTAGGCAATGATGCATTTATCTGTTCATCCAGCCAACATCAAATGAACGTTTCGAGCCCGCGGCTATCACCCGAAAAGTCCTGTGCACAAGATATGACCTCTATTTGTTAGTTCAACACCTCAAAACTCAACTTCACTTCTGATCATTTTAGCTTCGGGTTGTGAGGCATCTCTGTCTGCAGCAAAATGCGCCGATCCATCCATTCTAAGCTTTTTACCTACACCATCCTCTGTTATATCTGGAAAAAGCACAGAATTACCATCTACCATCAATTTGGAACCTTTTATTGTTCCAATACATAGCAGCATGCGAATAAACGACATTCAATTTCTTATGTCCAGGGGTGCTCTTACGCTCCCTGATCCGCAAGTGAGAGACGCTCTCCTCCGCTCATTCTTTACACATATCCATCCGTTTATGCCTATCATCGACATAGATGAGTTTCTTAAGGCTATAAGAAGTGATGGAGGGCATTTAAAAATTAGCCTACTTCTATTCCAGGCCGTCATGTTTGCTGGGGCGGCGTGCATCCCGATGTGCTATTTGCAAAAGCTTGGATTCGATTCTCGTAAGGATGCACGCGAAGAGCTCTTCACGCGAGTTCGAGTAAGCTTAGATCTTCTATTTCTCCGAGGCAATCTATAACTCTCATTTACAGTTGATATACGATTTTGATTATGAGACAGACCGGCTTGTACTTGTTCAATCCCTCCTGCTAATGACTCTATGGTACAAGTCTCCGAATGAGCATCGAAATACCTGGCACTGGGTTGATGTTGCTGTGTCCCAAGCCTTTGCCGCCGGTCTCCATGTAGAGCCAGACAAAGCCAAATTATCTCGTCAACAGTACAACTTGCGCCGAAAGATCTGGTGGTCATGTTATTCGACTGACAGACTCATATCTCTCACATTAAAACGACCTCCAAAGATTCGAGCCGGCGACTTCCAAGTCTCGATGCCGGAAGAAAGCGACTTTCAAACCGTAACACAGCCAAAGGGTGGCTACGATCTATTACTAACTTTGTGTCCTTACGTTTCAGACGACGGTTTACGTTCAACACTGGCCAGATTGTTCATTGATCATGTGTGCCTTTGTCACCTCATGGACCCCTTTCTTCGATCTTATCGATCCCCATGGGTGGACAAGGACAACATACTACTCTATTGCGACCCTCAGACAACTGAAACCCTCAGCTGTCAAGCCAATAGCATTGAAAAGCTTTTAGCCTTGAGGAAGCAGTTGACAGAATGGAAAGCTTCATTGCTACAAGTCTACCACTACAACGCATATGCTAGTAATGATTTTGCTTCTACGATCTACTTGCATTACATTACTCTGCAATTTATGTTTCAAACCCTGATGCTGTATACTCATAGATCGGCATTGATCGTTGCTGAGCATGATCAAGACTACGCGGAAATTCAGAAGGCAAAGACGGGTATGGTCGACGCGACAAGAGAGATCTCTAACCTGGCGGGCGAGGTTGTCGAGAGGGGACTTTGTCGATTTCTTCCCGCCTCCGTCTTGGCAGGTGTTGTGCATGCAGCAGTTATAAATCTTCAGAATGCCAGGGACCAAGAAGAATCTCATAAGCGAGACTCGGAAGAAGGACTTATGCAATGCCTCGAAGTCATCAGGATAATGGAAGAAATACATGAGCCTGCCACATTAGCAAAGAACGCTATCGCATGGGCAGCATCGAGGTCTCGAGATGACAGGGAGCTGTCGAATATGGGCGTAAGTCCAGATCAAGACATACTTGCAGATGATCTAGAAACTACTTACTCGTTGCACGGGTCTTCCAGTCTAAATGACTACACCAGCGATGGTCTTGAAACCAACTCCTCCACAATAGCAACAAGCCTGCGGTCTGCAGATCTTGAGCATGTGGAAGAGCTGTACCCGTTGATGATGGCCTGGGGGCTGATAGCTGAGACAGAACCGCCGAAACCGGCAATGAACGCAGAGCTTTGCGAACACAGTACCACATCGATTGAAGGTTTAGGGATTCTTAACGACTTTTCCTTGGCAATTGAGTTTAGAAACAGGTCTTCAGAGACATGCAGCATATAGAATCCCACTTAGGCTACAGTAGTTATATCTTGCCGTGACATGAACGGTCTATTACTACGCTGCGTTACTCTTGTGATGTGACCATGCTATTGTATCATTCAGTCAGTTAGCCGCACGTATCTATACCATGTAGAGTGAAACGATTTGGCTTAGCAAGAATGCTTGTGAGTCTGGCTTGACGGGGTTATAGATAGATTGGCGGTACGGCTGATCTCTCGGCGTTGAGTAGGTAACTGTCCTTGGCTCCTTGCCGTTTTCACGAGCCATAAGTCTACAGTGCACGAGGGGTGGATTATTCGCATGAACGAGCGGGTTAGGGATGATCAAACGAGGATGAATATGGGTGTGCGGCAGTGACACGAGTTTTGTTAGGTTCACTCTACTTAAGTCCCCAGAAATCACATTGCAGTGTTCACAACTCCAACCGACCCATGTGTCTGATGATACTATCGTACCAATTTTCTTTGATCATACCCGCTAGTTCTGCTTAAGCTAGTAGCCTGAAGTTTGGATGATCATGGCCCAGATCTGCTTGCTCGGCTTCATTGAGCCCTGCCAACTTGTGGTCTCTAGCCCTGCGTCTCTAGCCTTATTATCCCACCTGCAGTACAAAGTTCCAAAAGTCGTTACAACTAATGCAGCAATCTGCCCACATGCGTTGACGGTATGACCCGTATGAAAACCTGGCGCATCTCGGGCTAAGTAAGTCCACCTAAATACTCAATTAGCTCGAGGAAACATAACAATGATTCTACTCGAAGGACTCACGTTGCGATTAGCCCGCCCAGAGTCCCGATGGTAACGATGTAGGCACTAGTGACAGCTCGTACTGAAGAAGGGGCCGAATTGTTGATAGCCCAGCTCAGGTAGGCTGGACCCGAAGCCCCAGCACCACAAACGACGAGATTGACACCAACATACTTGACAGCGGCCTTCGTTTCCCAGCGTAAAATGACCATACATATCGTCGAGACTGTCGTCAGCAAGATGATGAATGGCCCACGCTTCCTGGTTCTGTCGCTGAGATAGGCGATCGAGATCGTCACCAAGAATGCAAGAAAGTTTGGTGGAACTGTCATCAGTTGAGCCTTGGTAGCGGTCCAGTTAAGGTCTAGCAGGATGGTTGGTAGGAATACTGCAAGTCCCTGAACCACAATATTGATCAAGAGGAATCCCAAGCCACAGGTAATGTTCATTATCGATGACAAGGCTCGTTTAACATATTTTCGGGTGACCTTTGATGGGGCTGATTCATTCTGATCTCTTAACAGCCGGCGGATGGCGATCTGTCGTTCTCTCTGGGTTAAAAAAGATGCCGTTCCAGGAGATCCGGGCATGAACATCGGAGCCAGCAAGCCGATCAAGACTGTAAGGAGTCCCTCAAAGAAAAAGATATTTCTCCAGGTGTGGATTCTCAGGGATGATACACCCCAAGGCTCAATTCGAGACAAGACTGTGGCGAGGAGGCCCCCAAAGGCCCTAGAAAGACCAACCGATGAAACGAAGAGCCCGATCCGTAGCATGAGCTCGTGTCTCTTGTAGAAGCAGCTGAGCAGGAAGGCTATACCGAGCATAGTCCCACCTTCGAACACGCCAAGCAGCGCTCTGATGACAAGAAGCTGTGCAAACGAACGTACAAACGCTGTGCAGAGAGACACGAGTCCAAAGCCCACAACAAGCAATGGGATATAGAATTTGGGGCCGATCTTCTGTAGAATGATGTTGCTGGGTATCTCGACAAGGATGTTCGTCATGTAGAATATGGACAAAGCCCAGTTGAATCTGTACCCGACGAGGTCGAGATCGAGAGCCATACCCTGGATGCGGGCGTTTCCGATGCTGGATCGATCTCAGAACTTTTACGAGATAAGGATGTCAGTAGATATACATCTTAGTGAAGCATGATACAATTACACAAAAAAGGTACGGAACGATTGACAGCGGGACAAGACGAAGATAAATCTTGAAGCGAACAGCACCTTCTTCAGCTTCTGTCCATTCGAAAGTTTCAGTAGTTTCGGAGTTTTCGTTGCCTGTATTCGAAACATGTATGGCAATTATATCGTTCTTGGCCCCCTCAAAGAGACCTGGCAAGATTGGCTAGTAACTGTCCCGACCTGAAGTTTCACCATGAGGGAGATGGAAACCAGCCAGTTTCTGTAGTTGGAGGCATATTTCGAATATCGCAAGTTGGCGTCGGTTCAAGACAATTCTTTTCAGCATATGTTCTGTCTCGGGCTGAAACTGAAAGTCAACTTGTGAAGCGTGGCAATAGATAATGGCTTTCTTAGCTTCTACCATAGCGTATACTATCTTCCTCAACGCCACGCTCTAGAGTACATCCCAGACATTTGAAGGCCATATTCAGTCATTCCATCTATTACTCCTGTAGTGTCTTGGAATGCAGCTAATTGTTGAACTGCTTACCATTTTTGGGAATTTAGTGGCTGCATCTAACACAACAAAATTAGCCTTTTCGAAAGATGCGGGGTAGTAATAAACTAACGGTTATAAATCACGGTTCTGCCGACTTTTGCCGGGACAAGGGTGGAGTATTTCTCAACCCGAGTCCCGAATTCCGATACGACCTTCTCTGGCAGGCCCCCAGGTTAGAGCTAGCTCGGCAAGATGTGTACGGTGAACGAAGATTTAATATACAAGCATTCATCTCCGGGAGCTACGGAGTTCCGTCTTCCACCGTGAAGAACGGTGAGTAGCGATGTTCCACACCCTTATCAGCATTGGGAGAGGCCAGAAATCAGGAATCTATTGCCATACACATCGACAAGATATCTTGGTGTAATCAGATAATCTTTTCGTAACAGCTGCAGAGCATACATAGCGCCATGAGAAGGTGGAGACGGTGAAATGCGACATTTCGGGAGCTCCGTGCACTGGACTAGGATTAGAAAACATGCCTCAATAAGATAAGGCTCTACCTGAGCGTGCTGGGTAGAATCAACTATCAAAAATAGAGGATACGTTACGTGACTTGATCGATCCATTAATAAACTTTCTCAACGAACCAGTCGTCTTACATAGCCAACAAGGTCTGTTTCCACTTGACAAAGCATTATCACCCACCGCTTCACTACTCGTAATCATCATGGCGCAAGATTCACCCGTTGTAGCATCTTACAGATCTGGCACAAGCTGGCGCCACCCCCATCCTGAATTATCACGACTAGACGCATTTCGAAGACACGTCAATCGAGCATACAAACTCGACCTAAGGACCTATGCGCAGCTGCACAAATGGTCTGTGGATAATGTCCACGACTTTTGCAAGGAGGTTTGGATGTATTGCGGAGTCGTTTATAGTCAACCACCGGAAAGAGTCGCAAATGGCATCGACGTCATGTGGCCTCGTCCAGAATGGTTCCCAGGCGCTCGGATGAATTACACAGAAAACCTTCTGTCACCAGGACTAGCCCAGCATCCAGATGCAATTGCTATATCAGCTTGCCTGGAAGGAGGGGTTAAATGGCGTCACTTGAGCTGGGTACAACTCCGCAATCGAGTTGCGCAGTACGCCAGCGCTCTCCAGGCTCTTAATGTGACGACCGGCGACCGCGTTGCAGGTTGGTGAGGCATCCTGAGCGGCCAAGATCCGAGCTAACTATCATTCGCACAGCCGTCTTGACCAACTCAATTGAAGCAGTAGTTCTTCTCCTTGCGGCTGGGGCGATTGGTGCTATTTTTTCCTCCACTGCTCCCGACATGGGAGCGGATGGTATCATCAACCGATATGCCCAAGTCAGACCCAAGGTTCTTTTCGTCGACACCGAGGTCGTCTATACGGGCAGACGCCGTGTAATGGAGGACAAGATGAAGGCCGCGGCAACTAGACTGAAGCAAGAGGTCCCAGAGCTTAGTAAAGTTGTCGTGGTCAGTGGCCCTTCTTGGACCGATGGCTTGTGGTAAGTCAGAATCACCAGCGAAATAGGAAACGAAAAGCTGATCCAAAGGCGTTGCCTTATAATAGCATGCGTTTGGAAGAATTCCTTCAAGTCAAAACCCAACCCTTACGATTCAAGCAGTTACCTTTTGATCATCCGATATACATTCTCTACTCGTATGTTTAGCAATACATCGATACTCAAGGCGGCTTACTGACACCCACAAGCTCCGGCACGACAGGGGTACCAAAGTGTACTGTCCCAGAATCCCACAGTTTTCCATGAAAAGGCATGCTCTAACATTTGGTCCAGGCATCTGCCACTCGGCGGGAGGAGCCCTCCTGCAGCAAAAGAAGGAGTATATCCTCTGTGGCAACATTACCTCCGAGTCTGTCTTTTACCAGTACACTACTGTGAGTGAAGCCAGATAATCGATACGTGTAAGACAGAGTATTAATGGCATTGGGTATACAGACTGGCTGGATGATGTGGAATTATCTGGTCGGAGCGCTTAGCGTTGGTGCCAGGATCGTTCTTTACGACGGGAGCCCGCTGTACCCAAGCCCAGCTCATCAGATTCACCTGATTGAGCAGCAAGGGTAAGTTATCTGGAGGCACCTGTTAACTTGAGAAGCTCGTAATAACCAGAGATACAGGGTGACTCACTGGGGCACGAGTCCCAAGCTACTCACAGCATTGAAACAGTCAGCTTACAAGCAAGTCTTCCCCCTGGACAGTCTCCAGATTGTCATGTCTGCTGGATCTCCCCTATCGCCTGAGATCTTCAGGTGGTTCTACGATACCTTCCCGAACTCTGTCGGCCTCTTTAGCGGATCTGGTGGTACAGACCTTGTCGGTAGTAGTAAGTACACAGGAGCAATTCTCTTTGACTAGGCTTGCTTAACCATACTGGCAGTTTTGGGCGGTACAATGATCTCCACTGCCCATGAAGGAGAGCTCGCTGTTCCCCAACTAGGTATGAGAGTCGAGATCTGGGACCAGGATGGTAAAAGTATTGAGAATACTGGCGACGCTGGAGAGCTCATAATCTCGACACCCTTTTTTAGCATGCCAACAACATTCTGGGGCGAGAATGGCGACTCGAAGTATTTCAAGGCCTACTTCGAACAGTTTCCCGGCGTATGGTGCCATGGAGACTTTGTGAAAAAGAATCCAGAGACTGGGGGTTATGTCATTCTGGGACGCAGCGACGGAGTTCTCAACCCTGGAGGTATGACCATCTCGACGCCATGAGGCATCTACATCACTGACAGTCTCGCAGGTGTTCGCTTCGGAACTTCAGAGCTCTACAATGCAGTGGACAAGTTCACCGACGTCGAAGATTGTATCGCGGTGGGACGGCGTCTCCCTGGAGAAGCCGACGAACAGGTGGTCATGTTCCTGAAAATGAAGGCTCCCACCTTCAAGGAAACCGTGGAGAAGATTCGTGATGCCATAAGACAGGATTTGAGTCCCCGTCATGTTCCTGCGTTGATCCTCGAAGCTCAGGATATCCCATACACGCTCAACGGCAAGAAGATGGAAACACTTGTCAGGGATATTCTTTGCAAGCGCAAGATTGCGAATCTCGGCTCCGTTGGGAATCCAGAATGCCTGGTTGAGTATGAGAGGTTTGCCAATATGCCGCTTGAGCCTACGTCTTCAAGACTGTGATGGATGATGGATAGATAGCAAGATAGTTAGGAGATGACCGTGACAAGGAGCTGAGAGTAGTGATAGCAAATCCAGATATATTAAGAGAGTATGCCTATTGTCCCGTTCAAGATATCTAACTGAGGCAACGATTAAAGTGAACAATGATTATATTCGTCTCGTCAAGCAGACTTACACGAACCTCCTGTCCCAAGATCCCAACCGGGCAAGTTTCTACCAATCGACATAGTGTTACAGCTGAAGATAGTTAAAGTTCTGATTGCCATTGTACACGTCGTCAAGCGGGAGTCCTACACTCCAATCCCCAAGAAGGTCCAACTGGAAGTTCGATATATCCTCTAACGTGGCTGGACCAAAATCATGCGTATTAACAAGTTCGCCAGTTGTTTCATGAAAATGCTGCGGGAGCTCTGTTGCCTCAGGTGGCTTTTCCAGAGACATACCACCATCTGTGCTGGTTGTAGCTTTCCTGCAACCCTGTGAAGTTCTGCAATGCAGTGATCTTTGTCGTCGTGCTAAATTTGGAAAGAAAACTAGAAACCGTTTCGCAAGCACCACTTCTTCTTCTGAAAGAGTGTCAGGATGGCTGAGCAGATTTGCAACATCTGTCCTAGTGTCAGCATGAAACCTGCATATAGTTGAGATGCTGTACGTACCAGTCAATAACGAGCCCAGCTTCCATACCGATCCAAACTGGCCAAGCATTAAGAGCGTCATTTCGTGATTAGAACTCAAGGTATTCATAGCACCCATCGAGGACATGAGGCCAAGGTTTGCCTGGGGCAACAATAGAATACATGCCAAAAACGGATGGCAAAGTACGACTGTTTCTGGATGCCAATGGTGCATGATTCGGCAAAACTCCTGTGCATACGATGAGCAGCTTGGTTGGGAGGTCTTGTTAAGTGTGGAGACGCATATCCGTGAAGCATTGATCATCAAATGGATACCAAGTATCCAGTGATATGCAGGATTGTTGACACTGAATAGACCGGGATGACTTCCTAAACTAAACCGTTGCATCGCCAGCAGGCTGAAGCAAGTAATGGCGTTGACGATTTCTTCTTGGTCTTCCGGTCGATCAAACGTGCTGGTTGTTGTCTCATACGCTAAAGCCATGATGTAGTTCGCTATGAGAAACCAGGCTCTTTCATCTTGATTAGATGAATTTATAAGGCATTTCCATACCTCTGATGGCCTTGTTGCAAAAAGTGATGATTCCACAGGTTCCTGGGCGAACCAGGCCGCATCACTTGCAGGAAGCAGGACCGCCATTCTTCGGTGGTCTATGGCACGAGGGCGTCTGGAAATAGTCGATAGAAATGCATCTATCTCCCATATAGCCCAGAAGAGCCTACGCCGTTCCTCCATGGCGGTCCACTCCTCTGGGTCGCTGCATGTATCCTCGACGTCGTCCATATTACACAGATCAAGGTCATATGCCATACGGACGCTCACTCCAGTAAGAATCCAGGTCCGATAACAGGGGCCATCCACGGCCAAACCGTTAGCCAGGAGGACACATCCTTGGAGGTACTTGACGTTTGGAAGTTCATCAGCGTCCCGTAACTGTCCATATAGAGTGCATGCCTCTTTCAACAACCCATTACCTCTTTCAGGCGCAGGGACGTTGGCAAAATACTCATTTGTCGAGTGGCGTGCTGCAAGAGCAAGCATTCCATATATCAGAAGCTTGTCGTGATCAACCAGGCTACATGGATCACAGAAACTGGACGCGTCGCTGTGTATATAGGAGGCGAAGAACCTGGGCTTATGAAGTAATGGGAGCCAGGGTTGAATCTTCTCAAAGAAAAGATGGATAAGCTCGATAGCTACTGGCTCTGGAATAGAAAGCCAACTTGGTGTTTGATCAAAGGCCCCAGAACAGCTCATTGGCGTCTGGCCAATCTCAGCACTGTAGTCGGGGGTTCCTGAAGGTGATTTGTTAGCAAAGCCGACTGCTTCCCGGTTCCTCTCTTCTGAGCTTGGTGTGTAAGCTGGATGAGAGTTTGCTGGCGTATTCATGAGATCCATATCGGATGCTGGCCTATCAGAAGATTGAGGAGACAGGTCTTGTGGTGCTCCGTTTTCGGAAGTCAATCTGGATTCGAGCAGATCAACAAGACGCTCTGCTAAAGCATTTAGTTGAGATTGGCCTCCAAGAGTATTGCTAAACTTGCGTACCCAACTTCTGTGTGTCCACACTTGGCCTCTTTCGATTATTTGGCTTTTTAAAAGTAGGAGACTTTCTCTTTGTTGGAAAGGTACAAGAACCCCCAGTCCTCTGGCAAAGTCCGCACGTTGGCAAGCGCATGTCGCCTATTCAATCAGTAAGCATCCATCAATCGGCTTACTGCTAAAGGTGCTTTGGTACATTTTGTCTTTTTCCTGTATGCATGAATACATCCGTATTAGCCACAGAATTATCCATAAGTCAGAACCTGTCTGCTCCGAAAGACGTACCGCCGACATTCCAGACAAGCTCTGTGGCCTGTAAATGGGATGTAATGCTGCATCCAACCATTTTGTGCTGGATGTTGCCGTGTAAATACTGCTTCCGGATGGTCCGGCTCAGCGCTCATTGTCTTGACGCGAGGCGGGTTCGCAAATTGAATGAATTCCGACCCAGTCAGCGGAAGACCACGGTAACGGATGAACAACCTGAATTGGTGCCAGCTTTACTGAACTCCTAAGGCGATTATTATGCGCGGCATGCGCAACTCTATGCTCGTGCTCGGTGTTGTCTTGATAACAACTGGCTTGATGATGGCGGTCTGTGAAAGGGAGGTATTAATCTGATCTGTGGAGAAGCGGGCCTGTAACCCCGGAATCACTTAGTTGCGGGGTAAAAGCCACTAAGTCTCAAAACAGTCACGAGCCTCTGTCTACAGTACAGAGTAGCATTACCCCATAGCATTATATCAGTACAGTAACCTAGTAGGAATTAAATTCTTATTATCTTATTAAAAAACTTTTAAATTAACTTTTAATTTAGTATTTTATATATATTTTTTATTATTCTCTAGTTCTTACTTATATCAAAATATATTTATCTCGCTTTAACTATAGTTATATAGAATATTTTAGTAGGCCTCTTCTGTAACCTTATAATGTCAATAGCTGTGTCTTATGCTTGTGTCTCTTTCTTTATTATAAGTGGCTGCTGTTGACATTAAGTGGGGACGGCATAGAACGGTATTCCGATCCATCTAGTGGGCGGTATTACCCGGTAGTTGATGAATTAGTCTTTACAACATGGTCAGGTCAGCCATTCCTGTCCTATAGAGAGAAGGAAAATTACATACAATATCTATAAGTTGGGAACTCTTAGCTGGGCGCTAATTACATATACATAATCAACAAGTATTACGCCAGATTCCAAAATCAAGACTTCTATATCGTGATACCGATTAACAAAAGTGCATTATTGCATCTACGCCTTCACAAGAATACGCTGACCGATTCTCTCTGCAGATGCAGTCTACTATGCCCAAATTTCCCGTTTTAATCGCTGGAGCTGGTCCGGCTGGCATGCTCCTTGCTATGCAGCTGGCGAGAAATGGTGTCCGGAGCATGCTTATTGAGCGCAATTCCACAACTACAAAATGGCCCAAGATGGATGTCACTAACTGCAGGAGTATGGAGCTTTATCGAAGGCTGCGTATTGCGGATGGCTTCCGAGAACAAGGTAAGAAAGACTGAATCCCTTGGTAAATAAGTCCTCGATACATTTGTTGTATAGGTGTCAATCAAGACTATTCTCTCAATGTCTTGTTCAGTACCGGCCTATCTGATGGCGGGGAGTTAGTAAGCAGATGGGTGAGTTACAACGCCCAAGAAAGCCAACAATAGTCAGAGACTAGTGTGTACTGACTTCCACGCAGGATCTTGCATCTCCAAATGAGTGGAGAGACCGTATCAACTCTCAGAACGACGGGTCCATGCCAAGAGAGCCTTACCAGCGATGCAGCCAAAGTATCTTCGAGGCTTGGCTGAAGGAGCAAATCGAGTCAGAGCCCTTGGTTTCTATGCATTTCGGCCTTCGATTTGAGAGCTTTCAAGAGACGCAAGGTGGTATTGAATCAATTGCAATCGCTGCAGAAGACGGCAAAAAGCACACCATCTTGAGTGACTATCTTGTGGGATGCGATGGAGCAGGTAGTAAGGTACGCAGATGTCTGGGAATTGAGATGATTGGTGGTCCGACGTCAGTATCTACCCTTCCGATACCCTGATTCCTCTAACACATCGAAAACAGGCCGGCAGCTATGTTCCTCGTACATTTCAAGTCTCGAGATCTCTCCAAGCTTCACAAGCAAGGCCAATTTTGGCACATCTTCTTTACCACCGGAGCCGTCATCATATCTCAAGACGAAGTTGACACTTGGACCGTGCATCTTCCAATCTCTCTAGACACGGACTGGAAATCACTTGATCCTGAAAAGGTCATCGCCCAAGTGCTCGGCGGTTCTGGAGATCCCTACCCTATTAAAGTGGACGAGGTACTTGTATCTAGTTCTTGGCGCCCAAGTATCGCTGTTGCAGATTGCTTTGCTTCGGAGTCCCTGCGGGTCTTCCTAGCCGGTGACTCGGCACATCAGAACATTCCTACTGGGGGCTACGGTATGAACACTGCTGTGGGCGACAGCTTCGACCTTGGTTGGAAACTCGCTGCCGTCATCAATGGTGGTGGTGGAAGCCATCTGCTACGGTCATATGAGATGGAGAGAAAGCCCATAGCCATTCAAAACATCGAACGCTCTGGAGTACATCTCAAGGTTCATCAGGACTATGTTGGCTGGGTCGCAGAAGCTGGTCCAGGTGTGATCCTTTCACAGTCAACAGAGGCCAAGGAGCTCAAAGAAAAGATCCATCGCCATGTTCAAGAGCATCCAAACGAGAATCAAGACCACGGAATTGAGATGGGGTACCGGTACAACAACTCACCTATCATTGTGAGATCAAAAGACGCAAGCAAAGAGCCCGAATGGAACCATCGGAACTACTTCCCCTCCACGTGGCCAGGTGCACGCGCTCCGCACGTGTTTCTAAGTGATGGAAACACCAGCATCTTCGATCTTTTCGGACAAGGCTTCACTTTGGTTGACTTCACTCAGGATGGTAAATGGGCTGCACAGTTTGCGGAGTCTGCAAAGCGCCTCGGTATTCAGCTAAAGCCAGTTCATCTCCCGCAAGAAACGACTGCGCGAAAGATTTGGGGCAGAGATGCTGTGCTCATCCGTCCTGATGACTTTGTTGCTTGGAGAGCGACAGAAGAAGGATACGAGGAAGACATTGAATCCATACTGAATGTCGCAGCAGGATATAAGGCCGCTGATGTTGGTGCAACGATGCATATACCTAAGGACATCAAAACTGAGGGTTTTACATCTACTGTAGGAAACGTAAAGCAGGATGGTATCAAGCTCACAGCAGCATTTCAAAAGTAGGGATTAGTCAAAGAGATAGCTAGGTAGTTGATTCACTCACACAAATTGATCTGTTCATTGCAATCATTTCAGAGAACCATGCTATGAGCGTGCAAGTCCCTCAACTCTCAGTTCATAATAGAGAACTCGCCTATCCACGATATGTTTATGGTGCTTTGAGAATGTGAGCCCCGAACACACCATTGGGTCCCCTGAACGGCGGCGGGCCATTTGTGACGCCATGTCTGTCAGTGGCGTGTCCGCTAATTCGAGAACTCTTAGCGGGTTAAAAGACGGTATCGCCTGTGGGGGTATCGGGCGTAGGCCCGACAGATCCCCCGTCTTCCGCCTCAAGGTTTCCCCGTAGCAGCTCTCTTATTCGTGACTTGTGGTTTACTGAATCTGTATCGGATATGCAACAGTCCCGAGATGGAGTAATTATATGAAGCCTTCTTGTCGCCGTCGATCACTTTCGCTCATCACTCGGGATTTAGAGTAGCCACACGTCAACTAGATCAATTCTCAACATACCTATCATACAATCTATCGAAGTCCAAAAACCCACTATGGCCAAATCAGTCGAGGTACAGCATAGGGATTCAATCACTCCTGCTGAGGCAACTGCCAGTTACAGTCAAAAGACCGCCGCCGCAGATCTTGAGGTACGATTGAATATCCCCGAGGCCAACTTGATCAATTTACTGACGTCTCAATGCTAGACTGCCAACTATGCCCAAGGTGCTCCGATCAACATTGACGACAAGACGAACAAGGAGCTATTCTGGACTGTCAACAGGCGAATCCTGGCTTGCATGCTCGGAACATACTTTTGTCAGTCCCTGGACAAGGGCACGCTTGGCTTTTCGTCTGTCATGGGTATCCAAGAAGATGCTAATCTCCACGGCCAGCAGTCCTCGTAAGTTGAGCCGTCCGATCTACGTGGCAATGCACGAAATGGCCTTTTCAATGTACTGACGACTTGGCATTCAGATGGCTAGGAACAATCCTCTACATGGGAGTTCTTGTCGGCGAATACCCCACCAATTTCCTGCTCCAAAAGATGCCGGTTGCCAAGTACTTGGCGACCAATGTCTTCTGCTGGGGCGTTGTGATTGCCTGTTCTGCGGCTGCCAAGAACTTTGCAAGCCTCATGGTAGTTCGATTCCTTTTGGGTGTGTTTGAGTCATGTGTTCAGCCGGCTTTCATCATCATGTGAGTCATGTCATCCTCTCCCCTTCTTGTCCCTTCTGATCTAATGATATGGCGCGATAGGACGAGTATGTGGTACACGAAGCGAGAACAAAGTATCTTGACATCGCTCTGGTACTGCATGACTGGAGTTCAACTCATGGTGAGAAGCCCTTCTAAGTATAACAACAAGGTATCATGAACTGACGAGAGCACTTCTAGGTTGGTGGCATCATTGCATGGGGAGTGTCTCACTACAAAGATGGAGTCATCTTTCCGTGGCAACTACTGTTCCTCGTTCTTGGACTGCTTACCTGTGTCTGGGGCTTGTTTATCGGCTGGTGGTTGCCCGATTCTCCAATGAAGGCAAAGTGCTTCAACGAAGACCAGAAGCGACTAATGGTTGAGAGAGTTCGCGCCAACGAGACCGGTATCCAGAACAAGTCTTACAAAAGGTATCAAGCCATCGAAGCAGCCACTGATCCTATTGTTTGGTGCTACGTCATGCTCCAACTCACCTCTACTCTGATCATTGGCGGCCTTGGTGTCTTCTCTAACCTCATCATTTCCTCCTTCGGATTCACCTATCTCCAGACACAGCTTCTCAATATCGCCCAGGGTGCTGTGACAATCATAGTCATGGTAGGGAGTGCCACACTCGCAACGGCCACGGGACAGACTGCCTGGGTAATGCATGCATGGACCATGTAAGTCGATTAAACGGCCCTGAACAAAAAGCATGAGCACTAACACATTCATCAGTCCTCCTATTATTGGAACTGCTATCATCTACAGCATCCCCCCAACATCTTCGAACCGCGTTGGCCTACTCATCGCATTTTACTGCACACAGTTCTACCTTGCCGAGGGTAACTTGATCTTTTCTCTGATCTCTCGCAACATTGCCGGCCAGACTAAGAAGTCTACCACGCTAGCCATTACCTTCGTTGCTTGGGCTGCTGGTAATATGACCGCTCCACAGGTATGTCAACACCCATACGTGTTCTCGAGATATTTACTGACGTTCTCAAGATCTTCCAAAAGTCCGATTCCCCTCATTATGAGAAAGGGTTTACAGCGCATTTCTGTCTCTACGTTCTCTTCAACATATTCCTCGTCATCCTTCGGCTCTTGCTGGTTCGTCGTAATGCCCACAAGAGAAAGGCGGCTCTGGCAGAGTCTCATGCGGCCGATGACAGTAACAGGCAGACCGAGAATGATCATTTGGGACATTTGAATGCCTTCGCAGACTTGACGGACAAGGAGAACCCTGATTTCAGGTACGACTTCTGACGTACTGGTAAGGAATATCAGGGTAGTTTTGGGAGCAGAACATAAGGAGAGATCATTCGTTGCACATATGGTGTTGTTCTGTAGCCTATACTAGCTGGAGAATAGTAAATACTTATCAGCCGGCTACATTTTGAACATGATAGTTCCCATTAGCATTCAAATTCAGAACCCATTGAGCACATTGTCCGGGCATTTAAGAAATATAAAATGAAAATATCGAGATTTGTCGCATACTTCACTGTGGCTGACTCGAGCTAGGCTATTAGGCTGACACTCAGAAGGATGCTGAGTCCAAATTACTGAGCAACTGCTTGCCTACTGGAGACACTCAGCTTATGCGTCAGGTGACATGTAAAGCTTATTAGACTTCAATTCTCGCTTTATTCATTGACCTAGCCAAGTCTTTATGTTACGCCATCATTCGGGTATGCTATTTGTAGACGAAAACCTATCACTTAGGGCACATATTTGCCAAGCGCAATCTGACACTCAATTCAGTACAAAACATTCCGCAGCAGTCACTTTGTATCTTCGTCCTTCTGCTTCGATATACAGAAATTACCAGCGCGAAACCTCAGACCGAAAGGCGGTAGAGGAGGGTCCCATATCCAAGAACGTCAAAACCTCCACTGTTAGGGCCATAGTTACCGCCGCCGCCTTCAACCCCAGCGGTAGAATTCCCATTGGTTTGATCACGATACGTTTTGGTCCAGGAAGCGTTGGCGTGCTTGATGTCGTTATAGTGTGCATAGACAACCTCAAACCCTGGGCGATAGGTGTATCTGCTGTTCGCTGAGATGACAGTCTGATTGCCCTCATAACTCTCGTACAGAGTATATGGCACGTCGTATCCAACGTTGTACTTTGAGACATATTCGGAGCTGATTCATATTAGAGATTGGTATACAATACTTGGCGTCGCCTCAGATGGGTTTACTCACGCATGAAGCCCAGCGTCTCCCAATGTAGCAAACAAGTCATCTCCTTGGTTAAAGCCTTGTTGCATAATAACCCCGAGTAGAGAGATATCCAGAGTAGCGTGGCCTTGATCTCTCCCAGCCTCTTGGCCCTGGGACAGAATTTTACCACTACCGGACTCGGTGTAGTTCTTTTAAATGAAGTTGTTGATCGCTCCGCGTCCGTCTCCGTTGAGGAAATAGTTTTTGCCATAGTCGTACATCGTTTGGTTGTCAGTAAAGACACCGATTGCCATGATATTTGCAATATTGCAAAAGTCCCAGTTTGCATACTATGAACAAGCAATTAGTTAGATGCTGATAGTCAAGACTCTTCAAAAGGGGACTGACATAATGATACTCGTCTTGTCCATTATGGGTTGTCAAGAATCTGTAGCCCTCCGAAAAAAAGACATCCTGGAGGAACGTCTTCATCTGTGTCTGATCTGAGGTACTCCAGCCGCTGTATGAACGCAAAAGCTCTGCTGCATTAGCAAGCTGATAGCCGTAGATACCAGCGGCAAGGAAGCGATCACTGCTACCACCGATAGCTACCATGGTAGACGACCAAGCATTGAGAATGGCAACAGCAGCGTCGGCGTATTGGACGTCTCCCTGGATATGCCATCGGATAGCAAGCTGATACGCTGCATGTGCGTCGTTATAGAGACGGCCATAATTCTCCGCATGAGTACCGTCTGAGCCGCGGTAAATGGTGGGCTGCGGATCTGCCTTGTATGTTGGTGACGCACGGCTATTGTTCAGCAAAAGCTTCCAGTCTGTCGTCCATGGCTCATCGCCCTTGAGTACGTGATTCTTGGCTCTGTCTAAGTCCTTAGACGTGTGCAAGAGGCCAGGATGGACGAAGCCGGTCACGGAGATGGCCAGTGTAGCGAAGAAAACGAATACTTTAGGTAGCATATTGGGCGAGTTCAAAATGATTGTTTGGTTCCAACTTCAACTGCCTGGGAACTGACAGTTATTATTATAGTAACTCTACAATCGGGCTAAGGGCATAAGTGGTTCCGACACGTTGTGTGAAGACAACAGCCATTGAACCAGGTGATGTCCAAACTTGGCAGAGATCTGATACCATGTATCATGAGACCAAAGATGCGAAAACAATATGCGAAGAGTCAACCCATGATATTTTCCGATAGCATGCTCATAACTGAAAGGATCGTCACAAACCTTGCAGCGTTGTACTTTTCAGTTGCATGCCCCAGTGCTGGATACTCAGGTTTCTTACAAATCGACAAGACTTCGTTTCTGGCTCAACCATGCGACACTCAATTATTGGCAGTCTGCAAGGTACATCTGAAACTGCTTCATCCACCACTTATTCGTCTCTTGGCCATACCGGAATGTGTAGGCATGCGGACCACCTTGGCTTGTTTGCGACAGTTTCGCATACTCCATAATGCGTGTCAGGTGAGTTAACTTAACAGTATGGGATGAGGCTAGCTGCCACCGCTTCATTGGACGGAGAAACAGCTACTGGTCGCCGTTCATACTATGCTCCATGCCACCGCATCTCGTTTAAAATTCCCCACGGCACTGAAACAGCCGGGACCCCGAGGCCTCGCATGTAATAGCATAGGAGCGTAAGTCCCCCGATTAAACCAGCCGCGGGAGGCGACCGATCAATCGACCGATACGTGCCACATGGTCTTCACTCTATCATGCAACTCCCATGATGAAAAGTGCTGCAAGAGATTATCCTCCACTCTTGACCTTGCGATCATTCCCCAGATTCCCCAGACTTTCCCCGCAATGCATGCGCGATTAATTACCCGGCTGGACTTGCTGATCTGGGTCTGTTACGCCGAAAGGTTTCCAGGGTATTGATGAACTTGAGATTATTTATCGGAGCTGGCCCGAGCGATCGCCCGCGATGTGCCACTAAGCCGTATTGACCATCCATCATCAGATACCAATGGCGTCACTATTCTTTGCTTATAATCACACGGCGCATAGTGCCTGCTCTTGATCTCTGCAGTGGTGAAAACCTATCAGATAACTGGTTCAGCATCAGAGCCATTCACCAATCCTCGATCTTGTCGATTTCAACGAGAACTCTTCAACATGAAACTGCTTACTGTATGTGCACCCTTGTATCACATGTATCACTTGGCTAACAAATACTTAGTTCTCATTTTTACTCATATCGGCCGTGGCTGGTCTTGTGCAGGATGTCCCAAGCATCAATGGTAATTCTACCAAGCAGAATATCAACATTAACACCATCCATTATTGACACTCTATGCAGCTGCAATCCCGTATGTTCCTTGGACTGAGGGCATGAAGCGGAAGCCATCCGACTTCAACCATCCGGGCCTCTGGCATTCTCACAACGACCTCGAAGTCATGAGAAACGGCGTTCTCAAAGGACTTGACCCATGGAAGTCAGGCTACGAACAGTTTGCCAACAGCAGCTTTTCTCAGTCCTCCTACCAGATGAGGGGTCCATATGCTGTGATTTCTCGCGGATCCATCAGCAACTACACCTCATTTGCGAATGATGCCCGTGCCGCTTACCATAATGCTATCATGTGTACGAGCCCTTTCTCCTCTCTATAGATTTATGTGAGGTTTCGTAGCTAATTGCGATACAATAGGGTATATCACTAAGGATCAAGGTCATTGGGATCGCTCCACAACCATCTTGGATGCTTGGGGCACAAACCTGACCAACATCATTGGGACCGACCGTTCACTGCTCATCGGCATCGAAGGAACTCTATTTGCAAACGCTGCAGAGATCATGCGATGGGAAGGCGGATGGACAGAGGTAGGAGCAAAGTGGCAGGGAGGCCAAGGATTCAGTATTCAACTCTACTGGCTATTCCTTCGACAGAGCTTGATTATTGGCCAGGCCAACTACGGTATCGCCTCTATCAAAGCCTTGATGGACTATGCTGTATACCTGGAGGACGTATCAGCATACAACTTTGCCCTCTGGTCTTGGAAGAACGATTGGTGCGCTGGTATCGATGCAACCATCAATTCCAAGACGGGCCAGAACTCTGAGTCCGGTCGAGATCAGGGCCACGTCATGTCTGGTCTTGGTTGGCTTGCTCTTGCCGCTAGGACCTCCAAGACTCAAGGCTATGATCTATTTGGGTATGGAAACAACTTGCTTCTCAAGGGAGCAGAGTACGCAGCCAAGTACAACCTGAACGAAACAGTGCCGTACGACTCGAAATGGCGCCGATGCGAATCAGTGTTAGTCAATGGTCCCTGGCAAAATATCTCCGAGTTCAACAGAGGCATTGTTCAAGAGGTTTCAGGTGTAGTCAAGAAAGCGCCGGCGGTGTGGGATCTCCTCTACTATATGTCAGAATCCAAGGGACTGAACAATCCATGGACTACCAAGGCCAAAGAAGCATATGATGCTGCAAGTGGAGAGGTTGTGACTGGAGGTGATATGCCCGGCTTTGGAGATCTGCTGTGGGCTACATCAAAGAAGTAGGCTGGCTTTAGGATAGCCCCAGAGATTAAATAGTTTTAATAGGAGGAGTTTAACACGGAGTGTTGTTCTCTTGCCCAAAATCACGCATGTGGCCCTCTAGCCTGGATGGTAGAATTTCGTAATTTCGTCCCGCGATAGAGTTAAATCTAGACTGCTGGCTACATGTTATGATGTGAAGTATCGCGCGATACCGCCGGAAAATTTAGTCCACTCTGAACTCAACAAAGGAGATAACAATGTGATTCATGGTTGCAGAAACTTGAACAATGTAAAACTCAACATTATATGGGGGAGACATCTATGGTCTATACTTGGGATGGAGCCACATCAAGCGACGTGGAAGGAATGATAGACTCGCTAGAAAGTTCTAGTTTAATTACACTACCTAGTCTAGATACTGCTATAGAACGTCTCGCTCTCTCGAAAGGACCAGGACCTTGGTCTGCGTCGGCTTGATACCCTTCAAGCTGACCTTGCCTCCGGATGCAGTAACTACTTTTCCTGCCCAGACATCTTTGATCTTCAACTGTTTCTGAACAGAAAGACCTGGAATATCCTCCAAGGAAACCTCAACGTCCACGTCGTCGCTATCATAGTTCTGGACCAAGATCACATGTCGCCTCGTCCCGGAACTTAGTGGCCCTGCCCAAACCTGATAACTGCCTTCCTCCGATAGCTTCGGCAGATACACAGCAGCCTTGCCTGCGTCATCCTGGTTCAGAGCGATGATTTCCTTGTTCTTGTAAATGGCGAGCGAGGTGTCGCTGATGTTTTGGAGATTAGCGCCAATGATGAGGGGAGACTTCAGGGCAGCCCAGAAGGAGAAGTGTGTTTGCTCTTCCAGCTCCGTCATGGTCCAAGTTCCAATCTCCAGCATATCCATGTCGGCTAGGTCAGAAATTAGTACAATTTCTTGCAAGCAGAAATAAATACACTTACCCCAAGAGCCTGGTTTCGAGAACGGGCTCATTTCTCTCATCTTGCGTATCATCGTCAGAACGCTAACTCCAGCGTAGCCTTGGTTCATACAATACGCTGTCTTGCATATGCTTGCTCTGTCTTTAGAGAAAGACGAGTAGATGTCACCCGACATTCGGTAAGACTCGCCTATTTGGTCGGCCCAGAGCCAGGGGAACTGATTACCCCATTCGCAAAGCGAATAGAAGATCTGGCGACTCGAGGCGGCCAGAGCGTACGACATCTTGAGAAACCGCTCCTGAACAGAGAGAGTGTTGCTTTGGAAGCCACCACAGTTGTCGTACTTGAGGTAGTCGACACCCCAATCAGCAAAGGTTTGTGCGTCAACTTCCTCATAGCCATAGCTACCAGGATACTTTCCGCACGTAAAGATCCCGGCATCGCTATAAATACCGATTTTGAGTCCCTTGGAGTGAACGTACGCAGCCGTGGCAGAGATACCACCGGGAAACCTGGTATGGTTTGCTGCAAGCTTGCCGTCTGAATCACGCTCACTGTCTTGCCATCCATCATCAATCAGCACGTGGTCATAGCCAAGCTTGGCAAGACCAGTATCGATGAAGGCGTCAACGGTTGACCGGACTAGCTCGTCGCTCACATTGAGCTTGAAGCTGTTCCATGAGTTCCAACCTTTCTCAAGTCAGGACAGTACTTGCAGGGAGATGTTATCAACAGCACTTACCCATCTGCGGTTTCTGGGCCAGGACCTTGGCCGCCAAGCCCAGCTTTGCGGACAGTAAAACGAAGATGATGGATTTCATTGCGATGAACTAATTGAGGTGCCGGGAAAAGTTTGTGTTACATGGAATAGGACCATAAACTTGTTCCGGCCTCAAGTATTCATGGTCAGATGAATTCGATGCTGGTGATTAAGATCCTGTGAAATACCTCCGCTGTTTCTCCCACGCTGCCTGATACAGGATGTTTATTTTTAGGGGCATGACTTAGTGAACGGCGGTTCGGACGAACTACCGGACCAATACCCCATACCCCGGACTCCGCAGTCGGGTCTCCCCAACCTCCCGGAGTCACCCCGCACTTCTAATACCACACTAAGATTAGTGATGAGTGGCGGGCCATCTTTCGGGATTGAGACCTGTTTCCTGGCAGCTGTTTAGTCCTTAGTACCAGGGAGGCTTAGTAATAACCCGGCTTTGATGTTTGGGAAAACAATCTGATATCATCCAGGCAGCGTTTTATATCATCAAAGTTACATCTCCTTCTCTACACATTCCCCGACCTAACTCAAGCACTCCTCAACATGAAGTTTAATTTATCGCTGGCATTGTTCTCTGCCGTTGCATTATGCAATGCGAAAGTCTTTGATAGACAACCACTGTCATACGCGCAGATCCCAGAGGACATCTACCAACCTCCAACCAAGTCGGGAGAAACTACATTACTTGACCTTATCAAGTCCCGTGACGATCTGTCGGAATTATTGAAGCTTGTCGAACAGACGCCAGGTTGGTGACTTCAAACTCTCGACCGTGACAGGTTCAAAGCTAACTGGATAAAGGTTTCGCCCAGGCATTTAGCACAAGCGCTGACTGGCAATACACATTTATCGCGCCGTCCAACGAAGCGTTCAACAATACAGGTGAATACTACAAGACATTTGCTAGTACACCCAAGGGACAATGGTGGTCTGGACAGATGCTTCAACATCACTACATTCCCAATTCGCGTCTATACACAAGCAACTTCACTTCCGAAAAGACTCGATTTCAACTGGGTTCTTACCTCTATGCGTCGGCACAGATCAAAGGCGGAGATCTTATGCTCAACAATATGGCCACCATCATCGAAGGCGATATCCCTGTAACGAATGTAAGTGCACGGGGAGAGAGAAGACCAGACTAGGAGTGATTGGTGACTAATGATTACAGGGCATTGTACACATCAGTGATCGCATTCTGGCCCCCGACGCCATGGTCTACGAGGCTGACATTGGAACAACTAAGCAAGGCTTTATCCCCGGTTCTTGCTCCAATCCGGATCTACCTTATTGCTGAGCATGAAGAGATTGGGAGTATCTAGACTTGTGATTCTGTATACAGATATCTGATAAGTGCATGGTATCATTATCCTAGGCTTATCAGAACCCAGTCTGGCATTCTTGCCAGAAATTATACATCTTTTGCTCCATGACGTTCTCACACCAGATAAACTTCTTCAACCTCATCTCCACTAGCTCCCAGTCTCGCTTGTAGCCAGCTGAGTAGAAGCACCGATAACGTCGCACCAACGCTGCCGCTTGCTTTTCATAGAGTTGACCCTTAGTGAGGCCTCCAGCCATATACAGCAACCAGATTGTGATGTCCGGTGCAAGCTTCCACGGCGACATTTGTCTTGTGAAGTCTGTCATACAATCAAGGATCTTGGTGACACACGTCTCGGGCGCAAAGTACCCTCCCCAAACACCTTCAGAGAGTCGATATGTACAGAGATAAGCCGCAAAGAGGCAAGCTCTGTAAATCAGGGCTTCCTCGCTTTGGGAACTAACGCTTCCTGTTGTACTGAGAAGATCCACGAGTCGGGTCTGCAACTCAGCTTGGCTGTTGCATAATGGGTATCCCTCATCATCAAAGTCCTCCATCAACGGTACTGGATTAGCGAAAGTATCCTCCTTGGCATCATCAACATGACTGATGGACGCTCTTGTCCCTTGGCGTATCGTGTCGACGATGAAACATAGCGCATTGAGGTCCTCGAACACAGCAGATACCTCTGCAGGCCATCCGTGGCTATGCGGAATAAATCCTTGCGGCAAGGTAAAATAGCCGCGGTACGCCTCATCCTCCCGTAGGCGCGTAAATATCCCGCGATTGTCGAACTTCAACAGTCGGGGTGCACCAGTTGCAAGGGAGCAGATGATGTCCTGCCAGAGCAGAGCTCGCTGAACTTGAGTAACGTGAGAGACACTGTATTGACTGGCCAAGATGTTAGGTTGAGATATTATCGTTTGGAGCCCACGCATATGTGTAGCGGCGCAGGCACTACCAGGATATGTATCGCGAACTCGATACTCGTAGCTGATAACCATGAGAATGGCTGTTATGGTATGTAGTATTGCCGAGTCGCCGCCAAAATGGGACAAATCTCGATTGAGAGAACCCAGAACCTGACTGCGGTGGTGCATCGTTTCGTAGTTAGGCTGGAAGTCATTGGCTGCTAAAGCTAGAAGGAGAGATAGAGCATGGAACAAAGACTTGTGGATCAACAAGGGCGCCAGACCATCTCCATTACACAAGCCTTGGAGCACAACACAATGTGTCTGTTGGTCAATTCGGAATAGCGGTTCACCGGCGGTCTTGGCTAATGCTGTGGATGCGGATTAGCTTTATATTGAGCATGAGGATGAGAAGGACCCTGTGCCCTACGGTGTCTCAGTAGCTGTCGCAGTCGCTCAGGACTCTCGCACAGAGTGTCAAACGGATCGAGGAGACTGGGGGAAACTCGAGACAAAGAATTGGCGCACATGCTGTTCACCCAAGTATGTTTAGCTTTAGGAATATTTCCAAGTCCAACTATAGCAACACCCTTCATTTGCACATCGGAGGTGTTGAGATTATTAATAGTCCCGCCGGTTTTACGAATGCGCTCCCGCCTTTGACTGGTGTTATCGCGGGTTTTCTCAAGCCTGATTGCATCATGTTGAGTTAATTGTCGATGCTGACAGTCTCGCTCGCGGTCGGGATGTGAGAAGCACAAGAACTCCGACATGATCTCGAATGTCCATGGGCTCTGTTATATAATTCCAGGTTTTACATATAGCGTGATTTAGTAGACAAGGCGTATATATATGATAGAAAGTGACAAGACTGAATAAGAGAACGAGGTCTAGTCAAGTGGGGGGGTTATATGTGACATGGCTAACTAATTGCCGGACTAAATCCGAAGTCTCACGTCCTGGATATGACGCGTTCTAACAGGGGTGTCTGATTGGTCTCTTTATATAATAGCCTACCCTGCATTGACAACAACGATCTTTCGTATTTATAACAAGGGCTTTGTCTTTACTTCTACTCCAGTCAAGTTACTGGCATTGTCTAATTAATTTAAATCTACTGTTGATTACACTCTATCCTTAAAGCAATATCAGTATGTATTTTACTTCCATGTTGCATTTAATTTATCTATCAGTCGATGCACCGGCCAGCTTATGCTTTTCCCAAAGCCATCCACAAAACCAAGCACTTCTTGTTGTTCTACAGGATCAGTCAATAGGCAACCGCCTCGACTGTCAGTAAACATTTTTATTAGGAGAACTTATTCAAAACTCACAAGTGAAAAGCATATGATGTACAGTGAACCCAGCACCAACTACGGAAGGGTTGTGAATGCCGAGACCGATAGCGATTTGAAGGTCGTGCAAGGCCGCTTTCTTGCATCTCGGTGTTAGCCAGTAAGCGTTCATGTAGATGGAGGACATACATCTGCAGCTATCCGATGCTCAATAGTTTTCAAGCTGGAAACCCAGAGCCTGGGTTCAGAGATATGCAACAGAATGCGAGCTAGACAATAGTGTTGATACCCCATGACTGCAAAAGCGTAAGTTAACTATCTCAGCTATCAGGCATTCAATGCACTCACCCTGAGCAGGATTCATCATCCATACCACAGGGAACGCGGTCTTGACACCAGTAGAGCCACCCTCCATGTCAGAGTGATAAGGATGATAATGCGCTGGTATTGAATCATGCCATAGGGCAACCTCTTTACCAAGATGCGCCCACGTTTCGTAGTCAGGCTGGGCGCCTGGGCCAAAGAAAGTTTCTAATACCTGGCAGCAGATAAGAATAATCCGATTCGCAAAGTCCTCATCAGTCGTCTCTATGAATGATTTCGAGCGTCTGTATTTATTCAGATCTACTTGCATGGGCTCGCCTTTAATCAGAGAGATGTGCAAGTTCTGTCGGAGCAGAATCCAGCTGGCCGCTTCGCTCAAACCGCCTTCAGCTATGAAGTCGGGGATGTTATTCCAAAGTCGTGCGCATCCTATGAGATGAGTTCCAGTATCCACATCTTTGAGATCATTAACGCGCAAGCTGTAGCGAGGACTCTGTTGAGACTACTTACCACACATCTCCTCGTACAGCCTCAGAAGGACTGCTGTTGCTAAAAGGTTCTCGTCCAAAGATGACATCGGGTCATCTAGAATGGGGATCAAAATGCGTAAAGCATGGCTATGATACTCTTCACTTTTTTCGTCTTCAACACCAGTGATCATGACCTGATGGCGTGATGAGAAAGCTTGGATGGAGTATGCCAGAAGGGGAAGTTGGCGAGCCCTCTTCGGCACTTCACGGCCAAAGCGCTTCGAAGGATCGCAGATATCAATCTGGAAACTGAACATTAGCGAGACACTGTTGTTGGGGTGACCATAGCTTAACCTTGATGAGAGATCTTGCACATAATTTAATAAGAGAAACGCTTCCCGTCTAGTTCTTATCGGGGACGTTAATCCACGTGGGCTGCCAATTTGACAGTTGGATGCGAAAGACGCTGGAGAAGACAGCCTTACTATGCATTAACTTGAGACCCATGTTCAATGCTTCCGACATTTCCTATCAGGAAGCTAATTTTATATAGGAAGGACAGTCTGAAGCAGACGTGGGGATGGGTTTAGCTAGGTCACGGTAATATACGTAAACTGTATGATTTTAAGTCTGTGATATATGGGTACTAAGCTCTGCATGTAAGGTTTTAACAGCCGCGCCGATTTTTGGGCTTTATAGAGTGATTATCAATTGGTACCAGCATTAGATTAATGCGTCCGCCAGAGAAGAGTTGGCCAAACACATAATGGATGAATAAATCCAGAACATGGCATGGTTCTCCATGGGGTAGTCCAGCAGATGCGCCACTGATCCCAACTCGCTCCAATGCATGAGACGCTTAAAACGATGCTAACAGCTCTTGACAAATATGGGGTGTTTGTTCCGGGGACAAACAAGACGGTCTCCGCAAGGTTCGGAACAAAAACACCAAAACGAGAAGAACCGCAAATTTCGATGCCAGTTCTCTGCTAACGGAAGTGCCCTGACCACGCAGTAAACTGAACCTTGCCTTGCTAATTACTCAAGGAAACCAGCTCCGACAGACAAGAAGCCCGTTCTTTTACCCCAGACTCTTTCTCACGCTCGGGGATTCCAAAACATGGAGCCGAAGGTAGTCAACACAGACGGGTGGGGTGGTTATCTGGGGAAGCGTGTTTCTTCAATCCAGATGCGATGCAGGAGCCCAACCGCTGCCCCCGCTAATACTCCAAATTTTGAAGCGATCTAACCCCCAGAAAACAAGGTTTCTTGGGATCGCAAGAGGGCGCTAGGCCAATGAATCAACATGTAATTGTCGCATGAATCGTTGGCCTCATGAGAGTATATATATGGCGTTGCGCTCCGATACCTTCCTCACGACAGGCTTGCCCATCTACATCATAACATTCATCTCTATTTTAGTCTTCCATCCTCAACATGTCTTCTCACGATGATCACAAACCCTCAACTGAGGGTGCCGTAGAAAAGTCAACGTCCACCAATGTCGAGCACCTTGAAAAGTCCCACGGCACCGTTGTCGAATTCGACGACTCCATCGAAGATACCAAGCCTTCCAAATCCGTTTGGCTCATCACATTTACCGTTGCAATGGGCGGCTTCTTGTTCGGTAGGTAGTACACTCACTTCACTTCTGAACTCTCCTAACAGGACTTCCTAGGTTATGATACTGGTGTCATCTCAGCTGTTCTGGTTACAATCGGCGACGATCTCGGCCATAATCTCGATTCTCATGAGCAAGAGCTTATCACATCTATTACTTCTGGTGGCGCTCTCATTGGTGCTCTGATGGCAGGCCTTCCAGCTGATAAATACGGCCGTAAGCTTGGAATCTACATTGGTTGCTTCCTCTTTCTCGTTGGGTCTGTGGTCCAAGCTGCTGCCTTCAATATTGCCGCCATGACTGCTGGACGTCTGATAGTTGGATTCGGAGTAGGATCGGCGGCCATGATCATTGTAAGAGCACAATTCTACTAAAAACGGTCTTGAACTGAGCCACTAACGCATTCAGCCTCTTTATATCGGAGAGCTCGCCCCAGCCAAGTACCGCGGTCGTATGATTGCCTTTGACAACCTCAGTGTAACACTGGGTCAATTGGCTTCCTACGGTCTGGGAGCTGCTCTTACTGATGTTCCTCATGGATGGAGATACATGATCGCCATCGGCGGTGTGCCCCCAATCATCCTTGCCGCTCTGCTGCCTCGTTGCCCCGAGTCACCTAGGCAGCTTATTGCGCATGGAAAGAGAGACGAAGCTGAGCAATGCCTGCGACGTGTTTACCCTGCTGCAACCGAGGACCAGCTCAAGTCTAAGCCTGAACGTATCATATGGACTGTTGAGGTTGAGTCTTCGGTTGTGGCCAACAAGTCTCTTTGGTAGCAGTTCAAGCAGCTTCACTGTGTGCCATCCAACCTTCGTGCGCTGATTTCTGCTTGCACCGTCATGGCCAGTAAGTCTTCGACATTGCCTATGGGTCTGAAACTTTGTCGCTGATAATACCACAGTCTCCCAGCTTGGTGGTTTCAACACGCTCATGTACTACTCTGCTACGCTGTTCTCCCTGGTCGGTTTCAACAAGCCCACCGCCGTTGCTATCGTTGTTGGTGCTACAAACTTCCTCTTCACATTCGTCAACTTGGTTGCTATAGACAAACTTGGCCGCCGCATCATTCTGTTAGTCACCGTGCTGGGCATGGTAAGATAGTCTCAAGTACTCAGAAAGGCCACGATACTGACATTTTCAGGCTCTGAGCATGGTCATAGCCGCCATCGCATTCCACTGGATCCCCATCTCTAAAGACCTCGTTCTCCAGGCCGATTCCGTCAACTGGGCTGGTATCGTCGTGCTCGTCACCATCATCTTCTACGTCGCCTTCTTCGCTACGAGTGTAGCGACCATCGGCTGGGTCGGAACAGAGCTTCTACCTCTGGAGGTTCGCGCGCTTGGCACGATGATGAATACAGTGACTTGCTGGGGCTGCAATCTCATCATCGCGTCGACCTTCCTCTCCATGATGAAGACCATGACCCCTAGCGGCGCGTTTGGCTTCTACGCAGGTATTTGCTTCTTTGGGTGGATCTTTGTCATTTTCTTCTACCCCGAGGTGAAGGGTCTTCCGCTTGAAGAGGTTAGGAAGGTCTTTGAGAATGGGTTCGATGTCAAGTTGGCCAAGCAGATGCAGCGCGATCTCAAGGCTGGCAGCCAGGCTTCTGTGGCGTCCAAGGCCTAAAGGAGGAATCTCGCGTGTTGCATAGCATGAAACTGTAGAGATGGTACTTTTCAGGATGTTTTCCATATATTTAATAGGTTATGTCCCGTTAGAGTTCAATACGGTCTCCGCTTGCAGTTTGCTTAACACTATTTTTCCGGTCACGAACGTGCCACTTCCATCTTTGGCTTTTGTCAACATCCTTGCAAATTGAAAGATTCAGTTAGAAACATGAGCGCCATGATTCAGTTCACCTATATTCTGCATTTCCGGTGGGGCTTGCTTAGTTCTTTGACCACTACGCTAAAGGGCGTAACATAACTTACAGTTACTTGTTCCTTCAGGTGAAGATATCTATGACCTAAATTATCGGTTCCAAGCTATCTCTATGAGTTCAGTCGACTCTGGTCTCATCTTCGATCATAAAGAGGTTAAAAGTCAACTTTGACGATTTGCTTTACTCAAGGCAAAGTGTGAACTAAGTACATGCTTAGAAAACTGAGCAGAGGCCAATAGAAACATCTTGTTCTCCTTCCTACTTGTGTCCTACTGGTGATGTACCCAACGTAACTTGTCAAGGAGAGAATCAAGGAGCCAAGGCTCAATGTTACTTTTTAAATTCATCACATCAAATTCGTTATTCGGGTAGAGGAGATTATGTACAGGTTGGGAGCATCGGTGCCACAATAGATAAATTATCTCAGTTCACGTCTGAGCCTGCCCTCTGAAATCCTGACAGGATATGCAGATGGAGCAACTTGCCTGGTATGGCCACTTAAAAATAGCTCAATATGTCAAAGTGGTGTGTCTGGAACAGGCAATTGTCCCCTAGGGTTAGTCTGACATTTGTTAGTGGACCCGGTGGATATGGCCAAGCGTATGAGGAAAATTGTCCCGAACTTCTAACAGAGATCAAGGTTCGAGAAGGGAGTCGACCCCGCTATCCAAGCTTTAGGTCCCCCATGGAATCTTAGGGCTGCTTCCCTTCTGAACTGGCAAGGAAATATTCAGATTTCGCGGGGTAAACGGACGTGGGGCAAATTTGCTGGGGGCGGAGAAAGTCGCCGAATGTGGCAACCTCTCGATCACGATTGTATTGAGCAAAGACAAATTCATTTATCGTGGCAGAAGCTACCATGTATAAGAAACCATATTGCCATCTTTAGCTATATATATCTACAAGTTTGCCTAAATAACAGTCTCTTCCTTTACCTTCTTCTCAGGAAGAGTCTTTTACTATTATCGAGACACTCAACAATGTCTGCTTCCGTGGCCTCCTTAGGCTCAGCGCCCTATGCAGCTGTTGTGGGTGTTGCTGTAATCATCTACTTCCTCATTTACCCTTTCATTGTCTACCTCAAGGACCCCAAAGGTACGATAACATTTCTAAAGAGGAAGCAGTCTTACTGACTCTAGCTAGGTCTTCGGCGCTTCCCTAACATGTCCCCATTTTCCGGATTGTCCAATCTTCCCTTCATGATCCTCGCTCATGGAGGTGCGCGGTCGACTCACCTCGCGAAATTACACAAGACGAAGCCCATTCTCAGAACGGGGCCAAACTCATTGTCCTTCGCCGGCGGTCAAGCCATCAAAGACATCTATGGTCATGGAACTCCCTGTATAAAGGACGAATCATACATCGTTGGAGCCGGAACGCACTTTCACCTAGCTGATGTCGTCGATAAACACGAGCATGCAAGAAAGCGAAAGGTCTTGTCATCTGCCTACGCACTTAAGAACCTCGAGGGCTGGGAGTACAAGGTCGCCGACAAGGTGCAACGAATGATCAATCATTTTGACAAGGTCTGCACAGATCCGTTGCCCAAGGGTGTCAGGTTTCCTGACCCCCAAGATGTCAATCTTGACTTCCGCGCCTGGTCCAACTTTTTCTCTCTCGACGCCATCGCCGACATTGGCTTGTCCGAAAAGCTTGGTCTTCTTGATCAAGGCCATGATCGTGTGGAAGCTCAGCAGACATGCGGTACGGTTTATAAGGCTAATTTACGCGAGTGCCTTTATCCCACTGCGCGCAAGCAATCCTATCTTCTTTGGACCTACGAACACTACAAGTTGCTCAATAAGATCTCCAACGTCATTCCTTTCTATCGAAAGATGTCAAAGTCAGCGAAGGGCTGGGATGATATTGTATTGCGACGAGCTCAGATACGCTTGGATCGATACCAGAAGGGTGAAAAGCTTGATGATTTTTTCCAGGCGCTCATGGAGGACAAGAACGGCAACTCGCATAAGCTCGAATGGGGCGAGGTTGTTGCTGAAATCAACATCATGATGAACGCCGGGAGCGTCACGACCGCGATTGCTTTGGCCAACATTCTTTATCAGTTGATACTCAACCCTAGGGTGATGGAGCTACTGCGACAAGAACTTGACTCTGTCCTAGAGCCCGATGAGGTCGTTGCGCCTTACGAAAAAGTCAAGCATCTTCCCTACCTTCGCGCCTGTCTCGATGAGTCACTTCGTCTCTGGCCTCCGACTCCTCAGAATCTTGGCCGTCAGACTCCTCCAGAAGGATTGACGATCATGGGGCAGTATATCCCGGGCAACACGTCTGTTGGAGTGTCTGCTCTCGTAGCACATCGCGACGAGAGCATTTATCCTGAGTCAGAGAAATTTATTCCGGAACGATTCTTGGGCGAAAAGGGAAAAGAACTGCAGTCCCACTTTATTACTTTCTCAGCTGGTGCTCGAGGTTGCATTGGGCGCAACATATCTTACCTCGAACAGGCTGTTTGTCTTGCTTCAATAGTTCACCGGTATGACTTTGCCCTACCAGCGGGCTTTGAACTAAAGAGGGAGGAGACGATGAACCACATCCTGGGGCCTATGCCTGTCAAAGTGTGGAAAAGGAATCTGGAAGAGTAAAAGCGACGGTTTGGGAGTGAGAATATAGCTTAGACATGAGTGTGAATTGCTTAGAGGACGAAAAACTATAATGATGACTACAGCTCAATCCAGACTGCAGCATGTCTGTGATAGCCTTCGGTACTGGCAAACACAGAAATGAGTAGTTTGACCTTTGCTATACTCCGAGCATCCCCGTTTAATTGAAGGGATTGCAGAAGTAGATAACGTTGACAGTCCAGCCATCCACAGTATACAACACCCATGGTTTTCCATTCGGGTTAGTACCCTTGTAACAGTTGTACGTGTGAAACCCGTTTGTTCCCGTACCAGCCCAAGCATTACCCTGCTTGCCGCCTGCATCCGCGAAGATGTTTGATGTAAAGGATACACCACTGCTGAAGGTGCCTAGATCCAGTTAATCGCTTCTTATGGTAGCCTATAGACTTAAGAAAACGTACCCTTTACTATTTGACCTTCCCAGATGATGTTGCTTCCATGAACGACGTCAACATAGTCATCAGGACGGGATCCTCCAGTGGCAGAATGCCCATCGGCATAATATGCTATACCGCTGGAAATTTCGTTGCCCTTGTAGGAGTTTACTAGGTAGACGCTATCGCGGGCAGCGACGGCGCCAGCGAGAGCGGAAGTAATGAAGGCGGTGATCTTCATGTTGATTGTTGAGTCGCGAGGCTTAGTTGGATGTTTTCGTTTCTACCGACAAAGACAGTATGTATTTATATACCAAAAGAACATATGTTTTCACAAACGATGCAATTGTAAACCAATAACAACTAGACCGTCAGTACAGAAAGCAATCTCCATTCTCCCTGCAACCATGCCCATTTAGTCTAGATGCCCGATTACCATGCTGACATCAGCGGCCTTCATTCAATGCGATGCTACTCAGTGCAGTACCTCAAAGTCAGCGGCCTTCACCGTATTGAGAAGCTACTACAATGGGCGTAAAGATCTTTTGCTATCAGTCCATGAGTCGTGGCATAACTACAGCTTTTGCGCTGTAAGCAATACGAGATCTAACGGATTAAGGTAGCATCTTACGATGGCTCGGACCGCTTTTTCGGAACATACGATGCCGGGCTGCCTAATCTGGTAGGGCTGACACTGTGATCGCTGCTAAGGTGCGTTTTCAGTACATTCTCGATTGTAAATCTAGGTATGTTTAACAGTTACAAACAGGCTGCTAGTTGCAGTGTTGAAATTCCTTTCGGTTTATAATAATATAACTAGCTAAAGGGTTTAAATTCTATTGTGAAGTAAAGTACAATCCTAACAAAACTCGCCGCCATCAACCCGGAAAATACTCCCCGAGCTATGAGTACTCTTAGGCCCCAGGAGCCACGCAATCTGCAAAGCGACCTCATCAGGTTGTTCGTACTTCCCCAACACAGAGGGGGGCGGAGGAGGTAGGTCACCAACTACGCTCTTCATCAACGGCCCGTGAGTCCCACCTGGCGACACGACGTTGATCCTTATACCATGAGATCCGTAATCATGGGCCGCACTCATAGTTAGTCCAATGACAGCGTGCTTAGATGTTACATATGGTGCACAACCTGGAGCGCCCTTGGAACCTAAGTTTGAGGCGATATTCTCTATGCTTCCGCCGGACCGCATGTGTCGCATCTCGGCACGCAGGGAGTGCATCATTCCTGTTATATTCACTTGTCAGCCCAATCCTATAGTGGAGGGTATGCGGTAGTAGGAAACTCTCGTACCGCCCATGACGAGGTTCTAATCGTCGTCCCCCAGAAGCGCTATTGGCTTCTGGCCATGAAACTTTCCAACTGTTCCAGCAACGGCAAGGAAAGATGGTTCTATGCTAGGCACTGCGCTACTTGGATCCGCGTTGAGTCGCAGCAAGCCGCCGTTAAGGATACCAACACCGGAAAGCCTTTAGGTCGAGCCCATGAGAGGTATGACGAAGAGGTGAGATACGTGAAGGAGAATCTACCTTTAGATCGACACGCCATTGTCCACGGAGACTTCAAATTTGACAACTTGGTTTGACTCAACTTGTACGACAGTAAAACATACGGGGTTCTGGCAGCTACCTGCTATAGATCCATCGTCCGGATGAGCCAAGAGTCATCGCGATCCTCGATTGGGAACTTTCCATCATTGGCCATCCACTAATGGACCTCGTCTTCTGCATCAGTCCATTCTTCACAGACTACACCAAGAGTAGAAAATTATCTCTTTCGTTCAAGGATTCCCCATGCAAGCCAGATAATCGAGCAAAGTCGGGTATTCCTGAGCCAAACGAACTTCTGGCCCGCTATGCAGAAATCGTGGAATTCGACATGTGACAAGATAGCCGGTTCACCACCTTCGAGGAGCCACTATTGCCCATGGTATCCAGACTAAGGCTATTATTGGACAGTCTAGTAGTAGTTTTAGCCACCTGTACTTCTCCAAGACAAGGCAGGGGATTGAGGCAGCTCTGCGCCGTATAGAGGCGTTGAGGGACCAGCAACCAGGAGATAGTAAGCTTTAAAAATTTAGCCAACCCTTTCCCAGATCAAGATTCTATGAAAAGAACCTGTAGTTACTCAAGACTTCTCGAATATCAAGTTACATAAGACAGGATAGATTGGAACAGGTGATGGGAAGACTATCCACAATTGATTGACAAATTCAGCAAATACCTCAGCAACACCTCGGCGACACCTTGGCAACATCTGAACATAACGGTTAAAGTCTAATTTACTAGTCTATATGACCCATATTTCCCCGTTACGTAGTCATAATCCCGATGGATAAACACAGAACAGCACAAACTAGTGAACTTGCCTCTACAACCTGTCTCATACTTCCACGAGACGGATAACTGCGCCTCATCTAGAACATTGAATTTCTCCAAATTCTAACTACTCTCTATCCAATGACGCTTCGATATGAACCCGAATTTTGGTCAGTCCTGGAGCCGCTGGTTCCCACACTGCCTAAGCGAGAACCGCTTTCCCTGGATAATATCAAGGCTGGAAGGGAGGCACGAGAAGATGACATGAGGGCTGCGTTTGAAAGCTTGGATACCTGTCCAGACGTGAATCAAAGATCTTATAACATTGAAACCCCCGATAGTTACACCATATCCGTTCTTGCGCTCACGCCAGGCGTTGCTCAAGACGATCCAGGGCCGTGTCTACTTCACTTCCATGGAGGTAGAATGATCCTAGGATCAGCCGAGATTCAAGCAAAACCGCTAGCACAATTGGTCAGCATGACAACAGTTCCTGTGTTCAGCGTCAACTATCGGCTAGCCCCAGAGTTCAAGGGAACTACTCCTGTACAGGACAGCTACACAGCTCTGCTCTGGCTACATAGCAAAGCACAGGAATTCAATATCAACCCAAGGAGAATCGGTGTGATGGGTGAGAGCGCAGGCGGGGGTATCGCGGCTGGTGTTGCGCTTATGGCTCGAGACAAAAGATTAAATCCGGGGCTGGCGAAACAGGTCCTAATCTATCCGATGATCGATGACTGCAACATAATTCCCAACAAAGCGATCGAACCTCTTGCAATTTGGAAGACCACGGATAACACCACAGGTTGGGCTGCGCTTCTAGGCGATGAAGCAGGGAAACCCGAGGCAGTTAGCATCTCCTATTATTCAGCTCCTGCTCGGGCTCCAAGTCTAGCTGGTCTTCCACCAATATTTATCGATGTTAGATGCCTTGATATCTTCTTACAGGAGAATATCAAATACGCTATAAGACTACTGGCCGAGAATATCCCAACCGAGCTACATGTGTATCCAGGCTTGCCTCATGGCTTCGAGTTGATCGCACCTAACATCACCGCTACAAAGAAGGCCGAAGAGAATCGTTACAGAGCTATACTAGGCATTTAAACTAGCGATATAAATAAATTTATAGTTCTGTTTTGGTTTGATCTTAGGCAGCATAAATTATGGTCTAGCCGGGCGGCATAAGCTGCACAGATAGTTTCTAAATGATAATAACGTATATTTAGCTCATAGGCAATTCGTCTTCAGACTCATAGACACAAGCTTGCTAAGTCTGACTGTTGTATCCCAAGACGTGTGGAATATCAGGAGTACCAGTGAGCTGATAGTCTTTCAATATGCTAGGGCTATTCCCATGGACCTCAGCTAGAGCAGCTCTCTCGGCAGTGTGTGAACAACTGTAGATTGCTCATGAAACTGGGAGTAATGTACGTAAATTGGTTGGGACATAGTGATTGCCAATCATGGCCGCTTCGCTTGTCTTGCGAGGAATCGCGGCTGGCACCGCTGGGTAGACACGCAGCCCCTCGTGCAATACTGCAAACCTGTACTCGAGCCTCTGCACGCTGAGAAGATCGATTTCCTCCTCGCTCTAGAAGCGTTCCTTTAGTTCTGCATATAGCTTCATCAGGATCGGTCCGTATATCACCAGTAGGTATATAGTGCCAGCCAGAGTGAACGTCTTCCCAAGCTTCGGGATAGCCGAAACTAAGTTCGTTGGGGGCAACTCGAACGATGTTGCCGTAGATTTGGTGCAGGCCGTATATCTTCTTATGTCCGGCGCCGGAAGTCCAGGCCAAGGGAAAGGGTGTCTGTGTCATGGACCATAGTATCGGGCCCGGGAATTTGCGAAGGGAATGAAAGAAGATATTGTATATTATCTTCCCGACGAGACACAGTACTAACTAGCGGCCACCGACTCATGTTAGCTGGGACGTCTGTGCAAAGCGGTATTTGGATGTCTGAGAACGTCGTACTCACACTGGCAAACAGAATGGTCATGACAGAGCTTGTGCTTCTTGACCCAACGAGAGAGGTTATCAAGCGAGACATGGCTTGTAAGAATATATCAGGCAATCACGCGTTGCAGTAGTAGGGAAGGCGGTTTTCAGGCAAGAGCTTATAGATCAAAATTGAATCTTATATAGACAGAGTATTAACTGAGTTGATGCCATGGCTTGATTCAAGTTATAGATTTTGTTTAATACTTGTTGATAATGAATTGAATTGAAAAAGCCGAGGAGGGGTCCACAATTACACCTCGGCAGTTTGGCAGTTTGGCAGAGGTTAGTTAGTGTTATCTAGATAAAGATATACATTTAGACCTATAGCCAATGGAAGCGGTTTAGAAATCTCATATAAACAAGCTTTTACTTAACTATATATCCATTTTATCTCTGAGTCTTTGAAGTAACTGGATAAAGACAACAAAGCTCTTTTTATCTTGACAGAGTATAAAGGCGAAAATTGCAGTTATTGGTGCCGGGTAGGCGATTGTGTAAGCAACCAATGAAATGCCCCTGTTAGCACGCGCCTGTCTGCAGGCATCGATCGTGACTAGCGGCTGGCTAATGGCCGGCGCTCTATCCGTAGAAGTTAATTTGTCAGCGATCTGAGATTAACTCCACATATAAACTCTAATCGCCGTATTTATACGACGCCCAGGACCCATGTGACGACGCAGTATCCTTTTGCAACGCAACACAGAAGCATAGTATGATTAGAAAGCGGAAAGGTCACAGAAAGTCCCGAGAGGGCTGTGTTCAATGTAAGGAAAAACACGCCAAGGTGAATATCCCCTCCCTCTGTTAGTCTGTACCAAAGGGAGATAACCCGCAGCTAACCTCTCTAGTGCAACGAGGTGCATCCGCGATGCCTTCAATGCGAGCGGGCCAACCTCGCGTGCAGCTTCTCATCCCCCACGCTGACCAAGCCACCACTGAACGAAGACAGCCTAGCTGATCTGGAGTTGCTGGAGCACTGGCACCGATACCCTGTGACGGGCGACATGACGGACTACGAGGCAGCTGCAATACAACCTTGTTCGCTTGGGCTTTTCTCACCACTACTTGCTGAATAGCATTCTGGGCCTCACCGCTCTTCAACTTTACAGCGAAGATCGATCTCGATCCAAATGGTACGTCAGAGCTGTTGTTCACCAACAGGCTGCAATTGCTCGAGCTAGACCACATTTTGAATCCTTGACTCAAGGGCATGAACAAGCTCTGCTCGGGTTTTCTGCTTTCATGTCAATGTATTCTGTAGCGGAACCAGTCTATCGCCCCAGCGGTATCTGCTCCGAAGCACCATTTGACCCGGTTGAGGAGCTGCTGAGAGCACTTCGCTTCAGTAGGTCTACAATCATGTTTGTACAGCAGAGCTTTCCACCCGCCGTCGTCTCGGGATCATGGCTCCTGACCAAGTTCGTCACTGATCACAGAACTACTGGGAACGACCTTGAAATACGATATCCACAGCTTGCATTACTACAGAGATGCATAGTTGGTCAACTTGAAGGGGTTCATAGGAAAGCATGCCTCCATGCGGTGAGAACACTCTTCCGTCGTATTGCAACGCTTTCGGACAACGTCGGCGATCCTGAGCCTGGAAAGATAGTTTGGGGTTGGGGACTAGAGGTCAGCCGGATCTTCCTGGATCTTTGCTCTGATCGTCACCCTGTGGCACTTGTTATTCTAGGTCACTTTGCTGTTTTAATGAATTATAACCGGGAGCATTGGTGTCTGAGTCCCTGGCCAGCTGGTTTGCTGAGCTACGTTAATGGGGTTCTGGGAATTGAGTGGCAGCATATTATGGAATGGCCAGGAAGTCTCGTCTTTGGTGGAGGCCTTAACATTAATACGCATATTATAGAACCTTTGTATTCTTCAATAGACATTGTTGGGTAGAATCACTTCACCTAACTCCTTCAACCGCACTAGGTATAGTCCAGAACATAAAACTTGCAGGGACTGGAGTATTCATTAGCGCCGTTGCCCCCACATAGCTCAACCGCGCTACCGTATAGATACGGTCAGTGGCCCACTATGTGTAGCCAACCACGAACACAAGTGGTCTCAGTCGCAGTTGTATTCTTCCCGAGAAACTCGTGATGGGTTTCGTTGAGATTCTGACAATCCAATGTGAATTGGTCAGCATTAGGCACAGAGGGGGCAATTAAGGATGGCATCGGTGTATCCTTTGACTATAAAACCATGTAATCAACCCACGTATTAACTGACCCATCAGCCAATAACTAGGTCTCGTCTCTTCACATATCTACAATCAACCACCAACTTATTGCATCTATCATGTCTTTGCCCAAAACCACAAAGGGCTGGGCCGTCGTGGGCCAGGGCAGCTTTGACAACCTCAACTTTGACACCCAACAGCCTCTCCCCGAGCTCTCCGACAACGAAGTGCTGGTCAAGTTCCATGCAGCTTCTCTCAACTTCCGCGACATCATGATTGCCCAGGTAAGTAAGCACTCGCTACCCTGATCAATTTGACTGACTCACTCAGGGCACTTATCCCTTCGATATCAAGGAAAACATCATCCCAGGCTCCGATGGTGCGGGAGAAGTCGTGGCTATCGGCAAAAAGGTCACCCGCTTTCAGAAAGGGTCCAACGTTACGACGTTGTTTATGCAAACGTACTTTGGCGGACCGCTAACCCCCAAGGCCTTGGGATCGGCGGTCGGTGGTTCTGTTGATGGCACCCCCCGGGAGTACGGTGTCTTCAACGAGAATGGACTCGTGGATATGCCAAGAAACCTCAGCTACTTGGAGGCTGCAACACTGCCCTGTAGCGCTCTTACTGCGTGGAATGCTCTCTACGGGCTGAAGGCAATCCTTCCCGGTGACTGGGTCTTGACACAAGGTACTGGTGGTGTCAGCATCTCTGCTCTGCAGTTCGCAAAGGCTGCAGGTGCTCGAGTCGTCGCCACGACGTCCTCTGCTGCCAAGGCCCAGAAGCTCAAAGAGCTAGGAGCTGATCATATTATCAACTACAAGGAAATTTCGAACTGGGGAGAGGAGGCCAAGAGGCTGACTGAAGGTGGCGTTGACCATGTCCTCGAGGTTGGGGGCGCGCATACTATCACGGAGAGTCTCAAAGCTGTTAATATCGGCGGGTCTGTCACCATCATCGGTTGGATTGCTGGGCCGGGAGAGACCGGGCCAAGCTTCCCTCAGATCCTGTCGAGCATGGCTGTCGTCAGGGGAATCGTGGTCGGGAGTCGAGATCAATTCGAAGCAATGGTACGTTCTGGAGCAGTCGTTTTCTTCACTGGCCCTTTCTCTACTTTCCAATACATGATTACTAACTTGAAAAGGTTCGCGCGATTGAGGCTTTTGACATCAAACCCGTTCTCGACAAACAGGTCTTCAAGCTTCTTGAGCTCAAGGAGTAAGTCAACCATATACCATCCAGACTTGGAAGCCAGGCTAACCAATCCCAGTGCTTACCAGTATCTGGTGGACCAGAAACATTTTAGCAAGGTTTTAATCAAGATTGAGTAGCAGATTTCGAACGAGATGTAAGTGGTTGAGAATATTATAGAAGTTCTTCAGGACTAGTTGTGACACTCAACAGGAGGCATATCAAGCTTCTTCAAGACCTTACTCAGTGAGGTATTTTCCATAGTCTCAATAGCAACCATCACATCCTCTGCGCTATGGATATCTGCAGTACCCATGTATAAATTTTGTTCAGCTTTTGCAAGTTCCCGGAACTGGTCTTCCATAAACTTGAGCGCTGCATCTCCGTCACTGCCGCCCGCGTATTGAGGAAACCATTTCGATAGCGGCGAATGAACAATCTTTTTTCGAAAAGCCGAGACATTTGACAAAACGACAAAGAATGGCGTCTGGGTAAACCACTTTGAGTTGACCAGCGAGTCAAAGAGAATGAGGTACTCGCGAAGCCTGTTTATAGTCTCATCTTCTAGCAGACTCTGGTCATAGATGGCCAGGTCACAGATGAACACAAGGCAGGCCGCGTCATCAACCAAAATGTGTATCCATTTTCGCCTTTGCGTTGACCGATCCGTGATTTGTAAAAGTCGCAGCGTGTGAGTTTCTCGATGGATGAGGGCCTCTTGGGCTACTCTCCCCAAACGGCGCTGGTCAAAGTGGAACCAGTCATGTTCGGTAGGAATGTACTCTGGCGCAAAGACTCGATTCAAAAGCGAACTGAGACTCCCACTTGCAGTGCAGGGGCAGGTAAGGAAATGCGGAAAGCGGGCATTCAAGAATCGACGCTCGATGTCTTCAAGATTATGGTCAAGCTGCTTAAGCGCGAACCGCAGTTCGTCGCCGCAATACAGCCTCACCATGCTTTCAACCGTTTCTTCATCTTCGTGTTCGCGTGAAAGAATCTCCTTGACACGGCCCAGGACTGGATGAGCCTTGATCCACTCTGGTATGCAAACATATTCATCGATAACATGCAAGCATTCCCGGCATATCGACGCGACAGAGCGCCTCGCCTCGACCCGGACATCTGCGCGTTCGTCGCTGGACAGTGGGATCTCAAAAAGTCGGGCTTGCTTCAGGAAAAAGCACATCTCGTGCTCGTCGCCGAAAAGGATGATCTTTAATTGTCGTTTGCTCTTCTGGGACTCGGCAGCGAGGTATCTGTCAATGGCACGGGTCCGCGCCTCGGCCTCGGCGGGATAGCTGGGCAATGGGAGTAAGCCCTCTTCTCCCGAACTTGGCGACTCTGGAGATATCATGGATTTCGAGGATGGTGGGCAAAGGCCCTCCCATCAACGTGCAGGCTTACTCTCGGCCCGGGTATGTTGGCTTCCGGCTTCTTGACCGGTATTTTGCTTTGGGCATTTGAGACTGTCCTCATCAACGCCGGAGGTATTTTTGTAATGACTATCCTTTTCGCAGTCCATGATGGCTTGAAGTGCCCAATATAACAGGTACTCGTGGAAGCACTGGAGGAAAACAGGATGAAGTGGACTGGCTGGGTTATGACCCCGCTGACTCGTTCGCTGCGGCCATTGCCTGATTGGGCTGAAGGGAAAGACAATGTCGTCGCTCGCCCAATGAGGTTGCCACAATGGTCTCAAGTCATAGTTATGGAATTAACACATATAGAAATGCAGCAACGATATGACTGTACTTGGTAATACAACTGAAGAATATATTCTTAATAGTTTAAACTCAGGTAAGGGACTTCTATCCTGTAATTACTATTATACCAGCGTTTCTCTAAATCCTTACTAACTTTAGCTCTTTAGCCTAAGAAGCCTAGATGCTCTCGATCATTATCTACCACTCTCCCCCATTCTAATAATAATCGAAACATATAAATCTGCATATCTTCAGGCCGTAACGCCTTCTGAGCCCAATCACGTCCCTGCTCCGCGATCTTTCGTGCATGCTCCTGCCCATCTTCTTTACCAGATAAATAGTTAAATAGTGCCCAAACGCCAGAACCCAACCGTACATCGAGAGGGATATAGTGCTGCCACGCAGTAAGTCGCTCATTGAACCATGCCTGAAAGATACCCGCTCGATAAACGAGGCTCCGGCTTTTCAAAAAGGGCAAGAATCGGCCACTAAACCCTGCTCCGTCCATGTCGATGAGATGCCGATACTTCCAATTATCTTCGAACGGTGTAATTGGGGCCGAGAGCCTCCATTCGCCCTCAGAATCGCTGATTTTGTCCTCAGGTGAAACGATGTGCATATCATTAGCCCACTTGTTGAATGTATGCTGTTCGGCAGCGCAATCGGCTTGATGGCACTTGTGAATGGTTCCTGAAAACGAAACATTGATGGCTAGAGTCTCTGCTTTGCCAGTCGCCTGTCGGTAGGCTTCATGTACGAACCTGGATCGTAGGAAACCCATCCACGAAGTGAAGGCTGCATATCCGTCTGAGCTCGACCCCCTCCAAAACAACGCCTCGGATTTGTCGCTCCAAGCGGGATCAAGGGTCTCGTTATAGAGACTTTTCTTCTCAAAGTTCCAGGGAGATGGGATCATAATATCAGAAAACCCTCCCACACGAGCTTGGCTGAATATGGGAAACAGTTTGTTCGTTCCCACCATAGCTGCTGGTGTATTGATGAAGCCATTGAGATACGCTATGTCTGGTTGATGGCATAGATCGTTTGCAAGACCAGCGTCGCCTACCAATGCTCCTTCGTCGGTGAATATTGAATGTGGAAGCATACAATCCACGCAAAGAGTACTCCAGTCCCACCAACGCTTTCTGCGAGCTAGAGATGATGGGGGACATGAAGGACTGACCAGATCATGGTAGATCTGCCAGCGGATATTATCCGTAAAGAAGGGCGACATGACCTCCGTTGGAAGCGGCTTGCTGAAATACGATGGCCATTGTGATCCATTCAAGCTTTTCGTCGTGCTATTCTGTATTCTCTGGCCCGGACGCATCATGTTAGCGATTGCTTCCTGCGCTACAGCTTTGTACGTGCGCATTTCCTCGAAAGGTATAGCCATTTGGCATTCGTCCGCGAGATTCATGGCAATATCCATATCTGGTAGCCACTTGACAAAAGGCTCCATCATTCGCTGCATCGAATCCATCATCCAGCGGTGAGATCCCGGTATATGTGGCGAGTAGTCGACCGTACCATTCCTTATGCGAAGCACACCGACACCCACTGACGAATACTCGGCCAAATGAGCCGTTCTATCCCGTATAGTTGCCGGTTCAAGACTCCAAAAGGGCAGTAGGTCATTGTGGATCTGGGTGAAATCGTCAATAATAGGCGACGCGTTGTCTATAGCAAATCTATGCCATTGATCAAAATTAGGTGGAGGCAGCATCCTATATCTTCTCTTGTATTCTTCGACGGCTTCTTCCAGCGTCTGACTCTCTGCAGCTTGCTCTTCCCATTGCATGAATCTTGCATTTGCGGCCATTGTTAAATCCTCAACAGCCCTACTCAAAGATATAGATGATGAATCGGATAGCAATCTTGCAATCAGGAATGGCAGCACATACATGCCAAGAAGCATCACTGCAATATTTCGATGGTTGGACGAAACCGTTGAAGATGGAAGTGCTCGTGCTTGGTGAAGCTCAAAGCAACACAAAGCCCAAAATAGGATGGCAACTACTAACTCGATACTCAACAGATCAGACGACCTAAGCGGTAATAAGACTTTGGGCCCTAGCATTGGAAGGTGATCTCCAAAAAGGCAAATTGGGCTGATGAGCAAGGCTAGAGTTGCTGGACGGACTGAGCGCGACAATGAAAATGCGCACAGCACAGCCACTGTTGTGAGTAGAGACTCGACAACTAGATCCACCAAGTCTTTCAGAGGCGGACAAAAGGTCCAAAAAAGATCTGAATCCTCTAGCAGAAAGGGAAACGCCAGTATAAACGTGACAACTGCCGAGGAAAAGAGCCCGAGAGCTACAAAAGTAGACATGTTTGTTCGTTCCTTGATGGTTTCGTCGTGAAGGCGCTGTATATGTATAAGAAGAAGAGCATCAATGACGCACGAAAGGACCTGGGCACCCAGAATCAGGGCCCTCAGTTGCCATATTGGAGGACATATAGCTCCTGTCCTCGTAGTATATTGATCCAGAGCCGATAAGGCAGCGAATCCCCAGAGAAAAGCGAAAAGGCCACGTAGAAACATGATTCCATGTTGTCCAGGGCTGTTAGCAACGATTGGCTTTAGAGATGTGTCGAAGCGGAAGATGTCATTACAGACAAATACTAGAAATGGCAGGAATGCCTACATCGCCGTCAGTTAATCAATTCCAATGTCTCTTGACTAGCATGTCTGGAACTACTCGCCTCAATCCCCAAGACACTGCATTGCGTCGTGCGAACAATAACCCAAAATAGTAGTATTCGTACTACAATGCACCCAACCATGAAGAAGAATAACGCAGGCAGAGAGCGTATAGTTGATACACATATTGTTATTAATTGTGAAAATCTCGTACGCAGACTGGTTGTTTTTGGTGAAAGGTAAAGAGGACCTATTAGCGGCCTTTCAGCACAGCGATCTGGGTCTGAGTATCGTGAGAAGCCTATTGAAAAGACCGCGGTTATGATAAGGACGAAAATTCCCAGATGGATAGGGCGTTCTGAAAAGTCTTAGTGAAAGTTTTGAAGTAAAATAATTTATCATCGCACCGTACGCCGCGGATGTGTGATATCTCGACGACAATATGAGTAAACTCGAGATGAAACTTCTGCATAGCTGATTAACACTAAGCTGCAACACTGCACTTCAGGGATAGAGCGGATCACACCCGAACGATATCGCCTGCATCGCTGAAACAGAACCACATATTGCGCGTGTGTTCATTCTTAATAGTATACAATGCATTGCGGAGGGAGCTCCGTGAGAGTTGGAAAAAAAAAAGATAAAGACGTTTTGCGAGGATACATTTCGTTTCTGCGGAGTTTGTCTCTTTGGCCGGAAATAACATACTGTAATTAATCTCTTATTTGATGCCTGAGGACGTTCGGAGACTTCCTAAAATAGATTACTGCAGATCCGTCACGTAAGATTAAGTATAAGGAGAGATTGGGACCAACAAATCCCTCGCGCGGCGGAAACCCTGAACGTGGGTGATCATCACAGTTATGCGTGTAGGGTACGTAATGAGAAGGCCCGTATTAGTAATATATTAGCCTAAAGACCATGTAAGCATGACCGACTAAAAATCCTCAGCATCCTCTATAACAGGTCCGATGAAATATTTATAGGTTTAATCAACCCTGTGTAAAATCGGGTTTCCGCTAGCAGCGTCCAAACCCAAGAGCGAGAATGCATAAGGTGTTGGTGAAACAAAAACTGCTAGTCTCACATAGTTAAGCAACAGCACCCTCGCATGTTTTCTTTCGCAATGATCCGCTTGGCCTTGATTGTCCGCTCCATCATGATCCATAACAGAATGGGAAGGACTCCTCCCGGTGTCGGAGCAATTGCTAGATCACTCTGATCAAAAAGAGCGTGGCTCACATCGCCAATGACGCCCTTTTCTGTAACATAGAAGCCAAGATCGACCAAGACGCTCACTTCCGGCTTGACCATTGATTCTTTGATGAAGCCGGGTCCACGATGCAGTTCCGAGATGATCATGGAAGCTCGTGGTGCCTGCACTTCCTCCTCAAGAGGTTCGTGTTTGTCCTGACATGTGTCATAAGATGGATCGAAGTCTTTAGACGCGCTCACGTAGGGGAACTCGCGCTTCATCTGGTTAATGAATTCTTTCGTGATGATATTTCCAAAACCGAGAATCTGGATTTTGGCCTGCTGTGCTGACTCAGACAGCTCATACCTGGCCAACAAGCGGATCAAGGCGTCTGCAGCAATATTGTCCGCTTGACCTTTGTCGAATTCTTCAATGTTCTTGATAGGGTTGATGTACCCCATGATTTTTGCTTCATTCAACTGCTTAGGTAACGGGCGCTGTATGAGAATGCCGTGGATTTGAGGGTCCATGTTCAGCTCTTTGACTTCGTTCATGACCTCTATTGTTGACGCGTCGACAGGCATCTCATACACCCAATAGTCCACGCCAGCCTGTTCCCCGAAAGGTTAGTTATGCTCTGCAAGGTAGAAGCGGGGAATATTTTGTGTGCCACGTCGCAGTTATTCTCCTCACTCTAAGCCATGGTAGGAATGGGAAAACTGTTGACTTACCCGCGCAGCAACGTGAGCCTTGATCTTGACATAGTCCACTGCATCAGGGCCCGTGTTGAAAAATACCACAGCCATGACAGGCTTGATGCCTCCTCTGTCGGCTTTCCGATGACACCACTGCTCAATGTCGTGTACGACCAGGTCTCCTGTGAGAAGGCGGGCCGAGCCGTACTGGTACGCCAAGGGTAGAGTCAGCAGCTCAGAGGCGACCATTGTAGCGCTTTGTCTGTTCGTTTTGTAAGCTGTGTAAATACGTCGCAGGCTCTAGGAAAGCTGTTGAACTTTTATGTCATTATTGTAGTGTGAGATGCGATATGGAGGGACAGGATATCTCGAGGTTGAACGGGAGACGAAGAGGTCGATGAGGCGGTGGAACGTGCACGTGCCATTTGAATGTCAGGGCCAATCAGGACATCATCTCTGAGACAACAGAAAACCCTCAGCTTTCTTTGACAATTTCCTTGGCCATCATTCGGTGCTGAGATGAAGCTAAATCGTGATAAACTGTTCAAAATTAATCTCAAGACTATATAGCGACAGTTTCAAAGCTATCGCTTCTGTGATGTTTGAGGGGAGAAAGTCGTAGTCTAGATGAACAAGACGTAACAGGCAAAGAAGAGCATTATTGGCTTTGTGTAATTAGAAACTAAGGGACAACTAAAGCAATTAAATCACATTTGGGTAGGCTACTTGATCGTTTTGGTCCTAGACCTTGCGGTTAACGTTCTCCTGCTCAAGGGTCGTGGGCATCTCGGTGCTAAAGACCTTGGACTTGACAGGCTCGTCAACAGTGACATCTGCAGCCTCGCCGTCAAAGATGACAGCAATCTCCTCCAAGGCTTTACCCTTTGTTTCAAGGAACCAGCCATAGGCGATGAAACTCTCGACAATCAGGACAGCAACGTAGACGAGATAGTACCGCCACCCAATGCTATCCAGTCCAACAGGGTTGACGTACTGATTGACAAAAACAGCACACTTCGTCGCAAGGACATACACGCCCATTCCCTTGGCGCGGATCGAGTACGGGAGAACCTCAACCGAGTATGCAACAGGGAGGGGCGAGAAAGCCATGCAGTAGAAGATCTCGTATACAAAGATAAGTGCCATCACTGCGACGCCAGCAGACTTGGCCTCTGTTGCAGCAAAGCGTTCTGATGCGATGGTCCATCCTGTAAAGACTAGCAACATTCCAATTGTAGAGATTCGGAAGAGAGGACGGCGACCGACGCGATCGACGAAGCAGGCGCTGGTGAGAGCGAGGGCCCAGTTCCAAATGTTGATAAGACCGTTGACTAGGGCTTGTGTCTTCTTGTTCGTGATTCCGACGCTGTCCATGACTCGAGATAGATCTGCAGAGTCACCATGTCAGCATAGATATTTGGTTTACCAAGGGCGAAATTGACTTACAGTAGGAGATCAGTCCGTTTCCAGACCATTGAGACATCAGACCCATGCAGATGACAAGGAACATTCTGTAACGGTTACCCTTGGTGCTGACCATAGACTTCCAAGTAGTTTGACCAGATACTGTAGATTGTCAGTAAAGAACGACAGAGCGTCAGCGAGCGACTTACACTTCTCTTGCTCAATTGCAGCTCGAATCTCTTCGTATTCCAGCTCTACTAGCTCCGTCTTGACACCTTCTCCATGGTACCTCGTAAGAGCTTCGAGGGCCTCTTCGCTGCGATCGTTCGAGATAAGCCACCGCGGGGACTCAGGGAGGAACCAGACTGTTGATAGCTGGATAAGACTGGGTGCCATTTGTAGCAGAGAAGGGATTCTCCATGACCAAGTGCTAGGGATTACTCGGGTGCCGTAGGTGATCCAAGCAGCGGCGATAGAGCCCAGGAACCAACTTGAAAAGTCAGCAAACATAAGTCATGAGGAGAGAAGACTCCCTTACCAGGTATTGCAGATAGCTGTAATGGTGACTCGATCCTTGGGGTGAGAAAGCTCACTAACCATGCTAGGAGACGCAGTCGTAGCAAAAGACAGCCCAAACCCCAGAATGAAACGGCTGATAACAAACATGGCAAAGTTGGTACTCTCACATTGGAGAATAGCACCTGCAATCATGATGATGCTTCCCGTAGTAATACCCCACCGTCTACCATATTTATCAGCGACAAAAGGCGCAACAGGCGTGGAACAGATGCTGCCAAGCGACATGATAGCGCTCATGAGTCCAAGCTGAGAGCCTCGTGGATTGTCAAAGAAATCATCCCAGTAGGAGACAGTCTGCAGGGAATTCATCATACTTCCATCATAACCAGATGTCGCGTATGATACAACACATGCGGGGAAGAGCAGGAAGTAAAGATGTCGCCGGGCAGCTGACTTGTACCAGGCTGGAGACTCTTTGGAGAGCTCAGATATGCGAGAGGGTTTGTAGGCTGCGTCGGTGGTGCCTTGTTGGCGGGCTTGCTTGGCTAGCAAGTCCTGCTTTGGGGCTGGGAGACGATTTCGAAGGTAATTCATAGCGAAGGATCAATCCGAAGGTAATACTGGTGATGCGTTGATGAAGGAGATAAGTGCAGATCACGGTGCATGGTTGGTTGTCTTATATATGTGTTTGTGATGTGATAAAAAAAACCGGAAGTCTTTTTGGCTATATTGCTGCCACCCTAGAGTGCACCTGGTTAGTATCCGAAAACTCGGGTGTCATTCACCCCATCAATTCGATAGCGTTGCAGCTAAACTTTGCGGGGTCGAGAGTAATTTTCTGGGGATCTCCGCATATTGATCGTTCCATATGTCGGGTCGAGCAACAACTCATCGGGGAAATTGTGAAGTCTTTGCATCACCAGAGAATTGCTCATAGTCATGAGTGAGGACCTGTGGAGAGAGGGGATCGAGATGGACCAATCATGGCGTCTCGGGGGAGCTAAATCATTGCCCCTACGAATTTTCACGACTCGTGTTCCACTTCGAGAATGTCGGGGTTAGATTTTAGCTGCCCCGAAGCGCTATGATTGGCTCGCGTCCGCTGCAGCTTGGTCTCGGGGCAAGGAATTGACTCCCCCGAACAGTATCTTGATGTCAACAGAAGTTGGCTTATCCTCGGCAATCCACTGCGTTCTCATGAGCTAATATCATTGGTATGATCATGAGATGTGCAAAGTGGAAATATTCCGAGGGAGTTTGTGCCATGGGGTATTTAGGACAAGTCCATACGCGCCCGTCTCTGCATCATTCACACTGTTATTGACCAATTCATCGGCTGCTGACCACCATCATGACTACCGGAATTCTCAAGACAGACTGCAATCGCATTGTCGACGCGAACGGCGATGCAGTACTCTTGCGCGGTGTAAGTTCCCATACCCATGCTGTGCTCGCTTTTATAATGTATTGCGATTAACACCGTCATCACAGACTGCCCTCGGTGGCTGGATGCTCATGGAGAACTTCATGAACGGCTTCCCCGGGCGAGAACACCAGATCCGAGCGGCGCTCCTCAAAGTGCTCGGCCAAGAGAAGCATGACTTCTTCTTCGACAAGTTCCTCGAGTATTTCTTCGGTGAAAAGGATGCTGAGTTCCTTGCTTCACTGAACTTCAATTGTCTGCGATTATGTCTCAATTACAGACACTTTGAAGATGACATGAACCCATTTGTCATCAAGGAAGAAGGCTTCAAACATGTTGACCGAGTCATCAATCTCGTAAGTCACCACGGATCTCTCTATCAGAAGCTGCTAACGTGAGTCGCAGTGCGCTAAATATGGCATCTATACCATCCTCGACCTTCACGCCCTACCTGGTGGACAGAATCAGGACTGGCACTGCGATAACCCGACTGGATACGCTGCCTTCTGGGACCACAAACACTTCCAAGACAGAGCGATCAATCTGTGGGAACATATCGCGCGGAGATATAAGGGAAATCCATGGGTTGCTGGTTACAATCCCATGAACGAGCCTGCTGATGTTGAGTGGACTCGCCTGTTGGCCTTCTACGACCGGATTGTGCCAGCAATCAGAAACATTGATCCTGGCCATATCTTGTTCTTGGAAGGCAACACGTAAGTACCACCTGCTTGAGTTGATCTTCTACAGACGTACTAATGACACCCCCGACACAGATTCAGCATGGACTTTACAGGCTTCGACAGGGTATGGGATAACTCCGTATACGCCATCCACGACTACTGCGGCTTTGGGTTCCCAAACCGGATTGGTAGGTTCCAAGGCACAAAAGAACAGGAGAGCTACATTCGTAGAATGTACGACCGCAAGGTGGAGTTTATGAAGAAGCACAACGTTCCAATCTGGAATGGTAAGTCCAGTTGCGATGGCTCATTTGATGACCTAGCTAACTTCTGTGTGCAGGGGAATTCGGTCCCATCTACGAGCGAAAAGAGTACAACCCAGACTGGGAAGTCCAGAACCAAGAACGATATAATATGCTGGATAGACAGATGGCTATTTACACTTCTGAGAGCATTGGTAGGTTACCTAGGATTCGCATCATCCCATTTCAGTGCTAAAGTATCTCAGCATGGTCGATCTGGGCATACAAAGACGTCAACGTAATGGGAATGACCCATGTCTCCCCAGACTCTCCCTGGCTCAAACTCCTCGGCCCCATCATCAAGAAGAAACGAGATCTCGCTGTCGACTCATGGGCCTACGACGACGCACATCTCCAAGACGGTCTCTTCGGTCCACTACACCAGTGGTTCGAAGATAACGTCCCTGCAAAATACTCCAAGAAGTATCCCTGGCAATGGCGCATGCACATGCATGTCTTTCGCGGTATTCGAGGAATTACCATGGCTGAGTATATGATCCCCGAGTGGGCGGATTACTTCAAGGATAAGAGCTTTGAGGAACTGGATGAACTAGCTGCGAGCTGGAAGTATGAGAATTGCATGCAGAGGGAGCAGTTGAATGAACTGCTGAAGACATATGCCCCTATGAAGGCTGGGGATAAGAGGTTGGAAGGGAAGGTTATTGCGTCAGAAGGTTCTCCAAGTGATGCAGCCTCGAAAGAGGCATCTGTCTCGGGTGTTGGTATTTTTGAGCTGTCGCCAGAGGAAAAGCTGAAAGCTGAGCTGAAGAAGCAACAACAACAACCGCAAGCTCAACCTGTGCCTGTCGCAGCATAAACTCGTTCTTATACATATTATACAGACCCAAAAACTGAACAATAGAGACAAATTGTACCTATATCCCTATGCAACTTGAACAAAATATCAGTATTGTCATTACAAGAACAGTAATTTAACTATCCCTCCTGCCTTGCTATTCGTTTTTGCCGTGCCCCATCGAGCCTCTCTAGTATCTCCATGTGCCATGAAAACTCTGCCACACTCTGGCTGAATCGAGCGAGGTTCCTCTTCCCAGCCAAAATCACATCCTCCACATCGTCAGGCAGTAGGTCCTTAAATATCGGAAAGATGGTTGCCACCATCAAGATAATGGTCATGGTGAAGGTACTTGTAAAGGAAAGCAAAGGTCAGTAATAGCCAAAGGAGTAGTGGTTGGGTTACTTACACCATGCCAGTAGGGAACAAACACGTCAGACTATTTACCGTCTGAACATCAAATACCTTGATGAACCCCGAACACCCATCCAAACAAGACTTGGATCGTTTCAGAACTGCCTCTTTGCAAGGATGAGACTCAAAATTATCGATGTTGAGGACAATGAATTCGATGAAAGGCCTGTGTATAATATATTGGCCTGCATAGTATCGCCCCTTGAGTCTCAAGATGTTCCATGAGTCATTGCCGACTGGTATGCCCTGAATACGCGCTGTTGGGGATTGAAGACTTGCAGGTGAACTTGTATCAGCACCTGTCATAGGGACATCTTGAGATGGATTGCTAAGGAGAAATTCGGGGAGATTGCGGTATATGGCAGAGTGATGCGACCAGAGATCTTCCGATATTCTGAGCAGCCAAGATGCGTAGTTGGATCGCCTCGTCCGGAACTGCTCCTTGTCATCGTAAACAACACTGTTGACAGTGTTCAGAAACCGTCTGATGGCTGAGTTTGTAGTGATCTGAAATGCGACAAGCTCTTCCTGACTTCTTATCGTGCTGGCTTCTGATGAATCTGGCACGGATGGCGAGATGGGGTGGCTTTCGGCATTGAAGGCTGGGTATGGAATTTTGTCTTCATATCGTGCTATACCAGACGGCGACACAATAGATATCTCGGATATGAAATCACATTCGTATATGAAGGATATCCAGTACAAACGACGGAAGCCATCAGAGACAGTCTCGCTCTTTGCTTGTAATCGGGCCATGGTCTCGCACTTGACAGCTGTTGCGTGTGCCCAGTGGAAAGCTTCTGCTACTGCACCCGAAGCACCCATGTAGATGCTAAATCGTCAGTCGTTTCCATGAGGCGTAGGATGATAACTCACCTTGTGAGCATACTGGCCTGAGCAGCCTCTAACGACATATCAGTCGAGATGTAACCCAGTATCAATCTTGCCTTGCACCATAATTCACTTCTCAGCTGATCCTCCAGATTATTCGAGCTGTTTGGGAATGTTTTATGGTTAGCTTCGAGGCATATGTCAGACTGTCCACTCGAACTCAACAATGCCAGGCAAAGAACCACAAGAAGCAGGCCATATCGCGGCATATCAACCATCGGTGTGTCATTCTCTCCGTAAAACTCCCTAGCTGTTACTATATCGAAGATCTTGAGAATATCGATCTTCAATAACAGAGGGAAGAAGATGTTGACTTTTGTAAAGTAGAGGTGGATCAAATCGCGCAGCCGTCCTACATTGTCATAAAGAGACGATCTGCAGTATGAGCTGTCGTAGAGCTTCCACGAGGAAGGAGGCTGTGACGTTGTCGACGGATGTTGGTTGTTCTGCTGCTCTTGGAAGAAGACTTCGGTTGCATCTGCATATCTCAGCAAGTCCTGTTCATCTGCGCCGTTCTCTGAGAGAAGGGTCTGAACCAAGCTCCATGAGAAAACGTGATTCGCGTTAGCTGTATGCGACAGCGGTATTTGAACTTCAAACACAGGCTCTCGGCCCTCAATGGTTGAGTCATGCTGTGGATCATGATGGCTCGTAGGTGAGGCTTCCGGCTGAACTCTCTGACTCTGCGATGCTGACTTCGACGATAGAATGCGATCCTCGAGAAGCTGCATCCGCTCCAGGAGGACCTGAGTGTTATAGTCAATCTTGGGTTGTTTCGCATCTCGATAGACGCAATCGACATTCTGAGAAGCACAGAGGCCGCATCTTGGCTGGACAGCGTCACAGCGCGTCTTGCGCATACGGCAGTTTACGCATGCTTGTATCACTCGTCTCCGATTGGGAAATTGATTGTATGACATTTTTGGAGGGAGATATTGATGGTGCGATATCGCAAGAGGCTGGACTGAGATGGTGGCGACGATTGAGTAGGCGGTCAGAACTGGCAGACACCGAGAATGGTTAGGTAGTGAGCAGTCTTGGGCTACTTACTGTAAGGGCATTTAATGTGCACAAGTCTTTTATGAATAAGTAGTCAATAGGGAGAAATTAATAAGTGCCATGAGTAACGCTATCTAACCTGATACCTCATCAAGTCTCTCCTCCTATCTACCTGCAGACTAGTTTAGTCTTACTGATCTGAGCTGGCGGATATAGCTTGTTATAGACTGAAAGACAAAGATCCTTAAGGTGACCCTTTGCAGATTCGCCTGATCACTGTTGCCCAGACGACTCTAGGCTAACCCTTATATGCAACCTACTGTCTCAAGGAGTTTTAACCTCTATTTATTAAACTGCCCTTCCTCAGTGGAGTTCCCGCGCGGTAAGCATTTCAGGAGGCCGAATTACCGCGCGGCTGATTTGTCATAACACCTCTTCTTGCTACACTCAATTTTCCTGGCCCATTGGCGCCAATCCATTTCATGAAGAAGCTGCGCCGTACATGTTTAATATCTGGAAGGAGACTATCTCTACTACACCGTCTCATCTCAGATCTTATGACTGACATATATGGCGAACAGAGCTCTACTGCGTAGCGGGTGACCGATTTTGCTTATACTGTTTCGCAACATCACTAGCCAAGCCTCTATAATTAAGCCGACTCTGATATGTGATTGCCCCACCTGAATCTCGTAAGCATTAACAATCAGAGACACTTGACTCTCTGTCTAGATTGAGTATGTGCCCATATATATATATATATATATATATCATCGCCTGGTCAAGTCTTATACCAATTATTGAAGTCGCTGAACAAGACTATCCAGCCTACTAAAAAGTTATAAATTATTGACACAGAAATTAATCACCAACACACCATTCTCACTTCAGCCACCTATCGACCATGCCGGAACTAAGAACGATCAGTAAAATCTTCACCGCCATCGAACAGGCTGAAGGCGCTGGAGCTAGAGTGCGACGCTCCATTGGCAGCCGACAACAGCGCAACTTCTCACCATTCCTCATGCTTGACTTCATGAAGGGCGGCAATGGCGCAGGTTTCCCCGATCATCCCCACCGAGGACAAGAAACAGTCACCTACATCCTCAAGGGCGCCATTGAGCATGAGGACTTTGCTGGAAACAGGGGCATTTTGAATGCTGGAGACTTGCAGTTTATGACTGCGGGCAGAGGCATTATGCATTCCGAGCAGCCCGTCGAGGGCTCTGATGGAGGTGACAGCATGGGCCTACAGCTTTGGGTCGACCTCCCAAAACATCTCAAGATGTGTGAGCCCAGATATCGAGATCTGAGAGCCAGTGAGATCCCAAGCGCGCATCTAGACGATGGCAAGGTTCTGGTCAAGGTTATATCAGGCAAGGTCGGCGACGTCGATAGCGTCAAAGACTTGTCATATACCCCAGTGTGGTATCTAGACGTCGAGATTCAACCAGGTGGCAAACTGGTCCAACCTCTACCTAAGGATTGGAATGCCTTCGCTTTTGTATTTGAAGGTTCAGCCGATTTCGCGTCTCTAAGCGGAGCATTGACAAGGGTGGATCAGCATGGTACGGTGCTATATAAGCCAGGAGGAGATGCCGTTTCTGTCCAGGTTGCTGAGAACCAGGGTTTCAGCGCTCGCCTTCTCTTAATTGCCGGCCAAATCCTCGACCAGCCAATCGTTCAGCAAGGGCCATTTGTATCAACTAGTGCTGATGGTATTCGTCAGGCTTTCGAAGACTTCTACGAGGGTAAAAATGGATTTGAGAGAGCAAGGGGATGGCAGAGTGATAATACGAAGCGCAGGATGAGTATGTAAGAGAACCTAGCGTCCGACGAGATCTTGGCGAGGGCTGCGACGAGACATAACACTCTATCCTTACGATGAATAAATATCACTGTCCAAACTATTACAAGTAACCTTTTCTCTGTCCAACAGTTTGAAGTCTTGAAAGAATAGTATTACACAAGTATCAGAATCAGTGATCTAGAGTTATATGGGGATAACAAAAACATGAGCCGCTGACTATCAGCTTCCACTGAACTTGTCAAAAGAATTCAATTTCTTGCCAAGCCGTCAGACGCAAGGCGGTTCCTGCTCCAACGCGTATCCTTTATCACACCGTTCAAACTCGCGCGCATAATTCTCCTCCTCACAGCCTTGCAACCCCTCAAGTTCTCGCTGGAAATAAAGTGCGCAGCTAGACCCGACACATACGCCGCTGCCGCACTCGTGCCAGAACTATAACGAGATCCATTACCAACTGAGCTCGAGACAGTAGGGACACGAATACTCGGAGCGAATATATTAACCTGGAGGCCGTAGTTGGAGAACGGAGCACGGCGGTTATCGAGGCCACTCGCTGCGACTGTGATGGCAGTACTAGCTGAGGCAGGGGAATAGGTAGAAGCAGGCTTACCCTGATTACCCGCCGAAACAATGACCGTGATACCAGCCTTCGTAGCTTTCTTCACGGCACTATTAATCATGGCGTTGTACTTCCAGGCGATAGATATGTTCATGACGCTCCTTTCCGCGACGCCCTTCGCAATGGCGTCGTTGATAGCCCATTCAACAGCCTGGGGGAGCCGCTCTGCTTTGCCTTTACCCATTTTATGCACCACCTTGGCCGAAATTATGGTGCAATTCTTAGCCAGACCATACGTAGTCCCTCCAATAATTCCTGCCATAATAGTGCCATGCCCAACTTCATCGTAATCTGGTGACCCTGGGACGAAGTTCGCTCCGTTCAAAGCCCGGCCAGAGAATTCAGTGTGTGAGAAATTTATGCCAGAATCTATCAGGTATACATATGCGCCAGATATCTCGGTTTCATCATCGTGGCATCGGAGTGAACCGTCGTTTGTGGCATGGCCTGGGGATATTCGTTCGAGATTCCATGGAGTATTGAGCTGAGGTTCGGGTTCATGCGTTACTTCAGGGCGACGAGCGATGGTGTCCGAGGTGGCGGGTCGATGTATTGGACATAGGATTTTTCGCGATGCCCGTAAACTACTGTGTGTCAATATGTATCCCAACACTGGACTCAGGTAGGACTTACCATCTCCGTGTCAGTGTTGTAATACCATATTCTTCTGTCATGATGGGTCTCCTGCTTCTCGATTTTAAACGGTACAGTGGGCTGCTGCATAATAATAGAACCTTAGGGGAAGGTTGCGATAGCTTCTTATATACAAGAAGTTTCCACGAGGTTAGGATTTGAGTTCTTACAAAGTTGCAGCGAGCAAAGTGAATATATTCTTAAATGGCTTATGCCATTCGTTTAACTCTAAGAAGCAAATGCTGTATGGCGCAAAATATGGACATGGTGTGGCGTAGAGTTATTGACTTTGATATGTAAACCTTGTCAGATGTCCTGGCTACAGAAAGCAGAGAAAGAAGTTCCAGAATAACATTTAACTTGAAGCTCAATCTTCACGTAGTCGACACCATGAAGCTTATAGATCTGTTGTCCTTGTGATTATGACCTAGGGTTTTCAGACACTTCGCATATAAAAAGTTACAAGCAAAACTTTATCTTCTTAGCTGTGTTGTCTCACATGAACTCTATAATTGAGCTTGGGCCATTGACGAGATTCAGCAAGATCATGAGAGTCATAAGTAAATAATGCCCGCTAGAGCTCACACGCATCACAAGTCGCATCCAAGGCTGGAGCGCACATTCATCAGTATCTTAATTGGCATTGACTACAGCTCTTACAAGGCCCAAGATTTCCGAACCGACGTCAGAGGACATTGATGATGCTGCCCGTGAGGAGACTAGGTCTCCAATGTAGACTAAAGCGTGACTAGTCCCCAAGCCGTAGCATCAGACCCATCGGAGTTCCTCCGCACAACAGCATACCCCAAAACAGCTCAACGCTCAGCGCCTATAAAGGATCCCAACAGCATCTTGCGATCGCTATCTTCAGTCAGGCTCTACATAATCTTGATCGAAATGAACTTTTACCCACCTCCTCCCGTGATCAAAGCAGAGATTCATCTGCGCATCCCGGACGACAAGCGCTGCTTGGGTCAAGAGTCAGAATGGCGCGGGGGCTTTGCGGGGTCATTCCAGCACATCTTCCTTGAGGGACCCGTTGTCGACAGCGCTGGGAATCTCTATGTCGTGGATGTTCCTTATGGTCGCATCCTCAAGATTGATACCGACAAAAATGTTAGCGTTGCGTGCACTTGGGATGGTGAGCCAAATGGGCTAGTTGGGACTGCTGATGGGGATTTGTTGGTTGCGGACTATAAGCAGGTAATCACAACTTACGTCTGAGTTTATGAGTGATGCTGATTACAGTAGGGTATACTCTCTTTCAATCCAGAAACAGGAAAGATCGGTCCAAAGTTGACGAGGAAGAATCTCGAGCGATTCAAGGGGCCTAATGACTTGATCGTTGACTCCAAGGGCAATCTTTACTTCACAGACCAAGGCCAAACGGGCATGACAGATCCAACAGGCCGCGTCTACCGTTTATCCCCAGACGGAAGACTCGACACACTCCTTGACAACGGCCCTTCACCAAATGGCCTCGTCCTCTCACGAGACGAGCGCTTCCTCTACGTCGCCATGACACGCGCAAACCAAGTCTGGCGCCTACCCCTACACGCAGACGGCACAACCTCCAAAGCCGGTGTGTTCTTCCAGTCTTTTGGCAATGCTGGTCCTGATGGTCTGGCCCTTGATGAAGAAGGCAATTTGTTCATCTGTCATCCAAGTCTTGGTTCAATCTTTGTGGTGGATACGCATGGGATACCCAAGGCTAGGATTGTTAGCGGATCACCGGGGATTAATTTGACGAATTGCTGTTTTGGAGGTCCAGAGCATAAGACTTTGTTTATTACTGATAGTTTGGAGGGCAATATTCAGAAGGTGGAGTGGCATTGTCGGGGAGCTGTCGCTGCGCCGGCGCTGAAGCAAAGCAAAGAGTAATAATAACGATAGACTTGGACCATGAACTACATATTATCTTCCTTACCAAACACCGCGGTATGCTTGATCAGTTATATCCCGTTTCGTAAGTCAAGAGATACTGGGAAGCGTATGACTGCATATCACATTCTCGTCCCGTTGTCCATTCTCAAGACGTGACAATGGCTCTTGAGCCTATGCCGGGAGGCCCATAGTAGCTCGAAGCCAATCTGCGCCGTTCAATTATCACTCTGTGCGGCAGTTCCAACAACATCATGGCCGCAATCATCGGTGTCACTTCACCTAAGACTTGATGACCCGATTCTTACCAAGCATCAGCTCAACTCATTCTGTCCGCCGCGTTTTTCCCGGGTCCTTTGCCGTGGCGTTCCCCAATGCAACACCATCACTGACTCGTGACGAGGGGTACCCCATCTCCGTCAGCAACTTACCCAAATCTACGCTCCGAAGCCTCCTCCGGGTGCAGCCCGACAACACTAGGACATGCTCCGACGACAACACTTTGACTCCACGCTAAACAAGGGGCCCACTCCGAGGTCTGGGGAAGCTTTGAATCTCGGGGGAACCAAGATCATCCCCGCCTTTTTTTCTCCAGGACGTGAGCGTTGCATTTTTATCTCCACGCTTCGGTAATCCCCGTTGACTTTCTGGGGAAGGAATTTCAGCGAGACTGGGTAGGATATATTGCACCCCCTTTCTCCCAAGGACGATCCTGTTCCCTCAGCTTCAAGCTCTCGTCCTCCTCCCATCTTCACCAGTTACAACAGTCACAGTTCACAATGGCGAGACCAAATATGATCAAGGCCACTAAACGGGCCATCAAAGACAGTCCGAAGGAGATCTTTAACTGGTATCTCCTCATGTGTACCTGCATCTGGAGTTTCTCTGGTGTCGCCAAGGGTTTCGACGAAGGTTAGTCCAGTCTCACAACCATCTACCGCCAACTCCCACTAATTACTTGGCAGGAAACATCGCCTCCCTCGTCATCATGGAGGTGTTCAAAGAGCGTTTCGGAATCGATAACCAGACCGATCATCAATATGCCAACACAAAAGGCTGGATCGTGGCTATTGCTACGGCTGGTGCTGTCTTTGGATGTTTGGGTTGTGTTTGGCTTACCCAGCGACTTGGCCGAACGCGTACCTTTCAGTTCTTCACTGTTGTTTACATGGCTGGTATTTTTGGTCAAACGTTTAGTAGTGGGAATATTGGTGCCCTTTATGCCACTCGTGTCATTTCGGGTATTGGTATTGGTGCGACGACTGTCCTGCCTTCGGTCTATATCGCAGAGGTATGACTCCCTTTTCTCACTCTGTAACATCTCCAACTAACGTGTATCTCTATTCAGATTTCGCCGCAACCTATTCGTGGTCTCTTGACCCTCCAGTACACCTGCTGTCAACAACTCGGCGTCGTCTTCGGCTTCTTCTTCAACTACGGCGTCACCAAATACCACGCCGGCACAAACTTGCAATGGCAGCTCCCAACCGCACTTCAGCTCATCCCCGCTCTCATCTGGGGTGTCGGCACGTTCTTCACTCCAGAGACTCCCCGCTTCTTGCTCAGTCAGAACAAGAGAACAGAGGCACTTGCTACGCTGTCTCGCTTCCGAGGACTTCCAGAAGATCACCCTTATGTGCAATCTGAGTTTCAGGGTATTGAGAGCCAGTTGAATCATGAGATCGAGATCGTTTCTGGTGCCAATACTTGGGACTTGATTAAGGAGACATTCACGGATCTGTCTAACCGACGACGCTTTATTCTCATGTTCGCCTGCCATGTCTTTGGGCAGTGGTCCGGTGCCAACGCTATCACTCAGTACAGCCCTACTATCTTTGGGTACTTGGGTATTGAGGGTACCGAAGCTCGCTTCTTGGCTACTGGCTGCTACGCAATCTTGAAGTTTGTGTCCGTTCTCATCTTCTCCGTATTTGTCATCGACTTCATCGGCCGACGTCGCTCTCTCATGACTGGCATCACCATGCAGATCTTTACTCTAGCTTTTGTCGGTGCTTACCTCAAGGTCACCAATGGCTGGACTCCCGAGAAGATTGAGGCAAGCTCATCTGCCATGGCAGCTAGTCGCGCAGCTATCGCGGCCATCTACATCCACGCCATCGCTTGGTCCATCGGCTGGTTCTCCATTCCTTATCTCGTCTCAGCCGAAGTCTTTCCCCTCAGAATTCGTTCCATCAACGTTTCCATTCTCATGGCCGTTCATTGGGCCATGTACTTTGGCTGCTCACGTGCCATGCCTTCTCTCTTGGCAGCGACTCAGCGTTATGGAGCTTTTATGTTTTTTCTTAGTATCTGCGCTATTTCTCTGGTTTATGTTTACTTTGCGATGCCCGAGACCTCTGGTCGGTCTTTGGAGAGCATGGATAAGCTGTTTGAGAGGCCTTGGTACACCGTGCACAAGATTGCCTACCCTACTGCTGATGATTTGAAGCCTGCGGTACGCGAGATCCTGGAACCTGAGATGAAGGATCAGGAATCGGTGGTGTCAAAACATGTTGAGAACAGATATTAAGTGCTCGAGCAAGAGAAGATATAATATAGGGTGGCTATGGTCAAACTTTTAAGTTGATGTTCTTGTAAATAATCCTTTAGCTGCAACAAAAAGTCAGTGCCTCAAAACGCGTCAAACGTGACCTATTCCTATTTTGGTGAACAATTTGCGGGGCGAAGCACGTGATATCTCCTCTCTATCACCGTAGCCTCTTTATTATTGGAGCATTTATATCAAGCTGATCCCCATGATTTTGTCCTCCAACAACCCCAGCTTAGGTTCTAGCCAATCACAAATGGAACAGGATGTCGCGTCTACCAAGACTTCCAGCGTGTCAATCATGCGCCCAGAAGAAGACCAAGGTCAGACTTGGGACATACTCTATCTTCAATTGACGTGCTGACAGGAGTGACTCAGTGTGACAACAATAGGCCTAGTTGCTCTCTATGTACACGCAATGGGCTGGAATGTCTCGTCTCGTGCATTGACTTTGACAATCATGGCCAGTTATCGAGAGCGTAGGTCTCCGACAATGCCTTTTCTCAATCGTTCTGACGGTAGTCACCCATAGTAAGATCGATGAGCTGGAAAGAAAAGAGCAAGAATTGTCCATTAGGCTTCAAGAACTCGAGTCAATCGTGGTCGCTAACCCAAGTACGGTGGATACCTCCAGTCCAGATGACAGACATACCGTGAGATCCATCGCAGCGTCTTCACCCGTGGCACGCGAAGGAGCAAGCCTGAGGTATGTTTCATGGCGATAACATACCAGACACCGACTGACATATGATGATAGCTTCATCGCGCATCTATTCTCTGACGCGAACTGGAGAAAGTCACATGCCACTCTGCTAAGAACATTGGCTGATGCACCCGGCACCGATGAAGTCTCGATAGCCCCTTGCTCTCTACCATCTGCAGTAGAGACACAGATGTTATTCGAGAAATAGTCAGTCACAATCTTCTTGTCTCTACCCATCTACTAACAAGTTTGCAGCTTGAGCTGGGCACACATACAGAACCCGTTCCTTCTCCGCAGAAGCATCTGGGCCCTTCATCAGCGTCTCTTCAATGGCCAAGGCACATCCACCAAAGCCTCAAGCCACGACCTCTTCCGAGCCTTCATGATATGCGCCATCGGGGCAGTTCTGCCATACCGCAACAAGCTTCACCATCGCCACCCAGAAGCATACTACAATGCAGCTCTACAGCACCTCGACGGCGACTTTCTGACTCGGGGACTGGATTCTGTTCAAGATTTGTTGCTTATATGTAGATTCGGCATCTACCACCCAATAGGTACTTCGATCTGGGACGTCGTTCGACTCTGCGGGCGTCTCTGCATCGAACTTGGTCTTCACAACGGGACTGATATCCGAGGCGATTTACTACAAACACAGCTCAGAAGGAGAATATTCTGGCAGTTTTATCTCATCGATCGCTACAGTTCAACGACTTTGGATCGTCCATTCTTGATCGATGATGCAGATATTGAGACAAAGTTTCCAGTTGAAGTCAGCGACGAGGAACTCGAAGCAGCCAGCCGCGACGTCCAAAGCCTCGATTCCTTGAACTTCACTCGCGAGCCTAACGTGCAGAATGAAATGACTATCTTCTTCGTCTCTGTGCGGCTGAGGCAGATATCATCACATATACAGACCGAGTTCTCCAAGCTGAGGCGCAAGATCTCTAATACAAGGTCGAAGCACTTACTCGCTGGTCATGTCCATGTTGTGATGACGAAGCTGTTGAAAGAGCTGAAAGACTGGAGAAGCAGCAACCCTATAATACAGGAACCGAGCTGTCTGTACGAAACACAAGAGTGGTACGACTCGCTCATCGCCCGTGAGAGACTATCTGTCCTCCGTCGCGCAATTGACCTAGTCCCAAAGGTCAACGGCTCTCCACCAAAAGAGATCCTGATTGTCTTTCTCAGATCTGCGCTTGAGACTATTGAGAGATATCACATCATATGTCAGAAACCAGGTATGGTGACGCACACACGAAGCTACTTTCATATGCTCTTCACGGCTGCGTTGTCGGTCATGTACTGCATATCCGTATCCAAGAAGCTTAGCCAGGAGGACATGCGCGCATCTCATCAAGGTCTACTGCTTTGTCAAGAGTTATTGAACAGTGTTGCCCGACAACTCCCAGACGCAAAGAGCTATGTAGCCGTCTTTGAAGCCCTACACCGCGATGTGTCGCAACGCCTGTGGCCGAATGTGCGAGATATCTCTGTTAATATCCCAGTTGATCCAGCGATGGGCTTCTCAAACGACATCAGCGCCTTCAATGGTCAAAGTTTCTCTCCAGACCTGGGTACCAGTACTGTACCCAATTCCTTGGGAAACATGCCAGACTTTTCAACGAATCGCCAGTTCTTTGATCAGGGTTTGCAGTCACGCTCTAGTCTAATAGACCCAGTGAGCCAGTTTGGTGTTCCAGGACAAGATGGGAACGATATGTCTGAGGAGTATCAAGATGGGTCGTCGGTAAATTGGGCGCTGTTGAACTATGATTCACTGTGGAATATGGAGTCTGCACTGGGCCAGTATGTTTATGGAGATCCTACGAATCCCAGTGTTTGGGATGGCTTTGAGTTCTAAGCAATTAAAGATAGTGAACTATGAACTATTCATCGTGTATTTGGTGAAAGATCTATAACTAACAACTAACTTCTGCGATCTCATGGGTTGTTTAGCGCAAACTCCAACAAATATCTCGCCGCCGCCATTCCTGTCTGCATCTGCGTTTCCGCCGTCGCAGCTCCGATATGTGGCGTGCTAACAGCACCAGCCTCCCATAGCGAGTGGTATCTCTCATAACTAGGTGGTTCCTCTTCGTGACAGTCAAGACCAGCACCCCAGATGAGACCTTCAGACAATGCGCGCTTGAGATCTGCCTCATTGACAATACCTCCGCGAGCAGTGTTGATGACAATAGCTGTTCGCTTCATCCTCTTCATCTCAGAGTAACTAATAAGATCTCTTGTTTGTGGGGTAAGGGGCATGTGAACGGTGATGACGTCTGAAGACTCCAGAACCTCTTCAACAGAGCTCGCTCGCTGATGAGGAATATCCGCCCACGCATCAGCGGGGAGGAAGGGATCATAGGCAATGACATCGGCTTCAAAAGCACCTCTGAAGATACTAGCGACGCATTTGCCGATGTTGCCCATTCCGAGAATGCCGATTGTCTTGCGATGCAGAATTAAGCCAGAGCATTTCTCCTTGGGTACAAGAATACCAGAAGACTGCTTGGCGACGATAGATCCAACCTGACGAGCAGAGGCAGTAGCTAGTGTTAAGACAAGCTCAGCGACTGCTCTTGCGTTGACACCAGGAGTGTTGAAGATCTTGATACCACGTGCAGCGCAGGCATCAGCATCGATTTTGTCAATACCGACGCCTTGCTTGCCGATGGCGATCAAGTTGGGACAAGCCTTGACATCCTCTGCAGTCAAGCGAGAGGATCTCATGAGGAGGTAGCGTGCTTCTTGCCTCCACTGGCTGTGCTTGGGGTTGTCTGGTGTGATGGCGTTGAAGTTCTCTTGGCAGTATGCCATAACTTGAGGATGGAATGTGTCCATGACATAGACTGTTGGCTTTCCAGAAGAGAGACTCTCTGGTGGAGTGTCTGTTACAGCGCTTGGTGCCATGGTGAATGAGATGGAGTATTGAGATGCTGGTGTTGTGAGGTGGAGTTTGGTGTTTAGAGAATAAGAGGCTCAAGTCTTGCACTTTTATGCATCTCGCTCGAGGCGAGTCTTACGGGCCTGTGACTCCCGCGGGATTCAACCGGTGAATCATTTCTCTTTCTGTTCCGTTTTACGGCATCCGTTATCCGTTGGCATCATTCCGATGTCAGATGGGCAGTGTCCGATGCCTTTTCGGGGTTGTATGCGGCCCCGCTCCGCACCCCACGATCTTCTCGGCTCCAACAATCGGCTTCGGTCCTAGAATTGGATGGAGGCAATTGATGGGGGAACGAGACCGGACGCGGAGAAGGACTTATCCAATGTTTAACTCTCCAGGTCCAAATATGACTCTTTGTGATCTTGGAGAGTTGTATATTAATATGCTTGAGAAACCACCTTGACCGCTTCTATCCTCATCAATCACCAGCATCTCCAATCCCAAATATCCACTATCACCTACTCGGCTACTCCAATACACCATACCAACCCATTCTATCACCCCAATCTACCCTCACAATGGCTGCACCTATTCCCCACCCCATGCGAGAGAAGCTTCTCCGCGATGAAGTCGCCTACACAATGAGCATCAAGCTCGTCAAGTCCATCGAAATCGCCGGCATGGCCAAGACAGCCGGCTACGATGGCATCCTCGTAGACATGGAGCACTCCTCCTTTGATCTCGAGACAACAAACCAACTCTGCGTCGCCGCTCTCTACGCCGGCATCTCCCCCATCGTCCGCGCCCCCAGCAAAGATCCCTTTTTCGTCTCAAGGATTCTCGACGGCGGCGCTCTCGGCATCATCGTTCCTCACATTCGCTCTGTGCAAGATGCTCAGGATGTCGTCAACGCAGCCAAGTTCCAACCCATTGGTCACCGTTCCTCCACAAATGGTCTTCCGCATCATCAGTTTCGCTCTATTCCCGCCAAGATCTCCAATCCCGTCACTAATGCGGCTACCATGGTCATCCCCATGATTGAGACCCTTGAGGCGCTGGAGCTAGTCGATGAGATTGCCGCCCTTCCAGGCGTTGACTCTCTTCTCATTGGTACAAATGACTTGACTGCCGAGATGGGCATTCCCGGAGATTACGAGAACCCTCGTGTTACTGAAGCTTACGAGCGCACTATTGCTGCGTGTAAGAAGCATGGAAAGTGGCTGGGTGTTGGTGGTCTCCATGCTCGTCTTGATCTAGTGGAGAAGTTTTGCAAGATGGGAGCTCGTTGGGTCATGGCTGCGACTGATGGACCTCTGCTTCTTGGTGCGGCTACTAAGAGAGGTACTGAGATGGCTGCGTTGAATACTTCGGTGATCAAGTCGCAACAGGCGAATGGTCACTCAGTGGAGAAGAAGGCTACTAATGGTGTTATCAACGGTACGACGAATGGGGCTGTGACGAATGGGAATGGCATCACAAATGGGGCCACTAATGGTGTCCCAGTTGCGGCATAAGCAATGAATTCCTATTTTATACGCAAAATAGTTTTTAGATAGTAATTTTCTCATTTTCCAAGGTCCAATTCCAGTGCAATTTCTCCGCAACATGCCCCAGTGACCTTGTGCCTCGGGGGGCAAGAAAACAGCAAACCTTAGTGTGGGGTGCCAAAATAAACTCATCACAATCTATCATAAGCTTGGACTATATTACCTATGTCTCTTTGTCACTTAGGATTATGGTCCTGTGTTTTCTTTCCTCCCCTAGCTTGTCCAGACCAAGTTAGACCACTTAAAATACGGATCACACGTGACTAGGACCAAGTCCGATAAATCCGGGGTCATCTCCATCTTCCCCCTCCGACGACCAAACGCGTCCCTCGGGCTCACTCCGTCTCGTATCTCTCTCCGCCTCCAGATCAATCAAAGAAACATGCAACATGGCAACTGATTGGCGCGAACTATCCCGCGTCTCGCTACCAAGCCCTGCACGGGCCAGTAGCCCCAGTTCGTCACAGTCCCAGCCTCCGCAGAAGAATAGTCTTGCCTGTGAACGGTGCTTCAGGCGGAAGCAGAAGGTGATGCCTGTCCCTATCGTGTACCTTGGGGTTATTACTAATGTGTCTTAGTGCGATAGGTTGCGCCCGGCGTGTACTTCGTGTGCAGATCTTGGCGTTGAGTGCATTGCTAGGTCTCAGCAGTTTGACTTTAATGATGAAAATACTACTCTGACGCATGCGAGAGTCAATGGGTATGTGACGATATCGCGTTCATAGTTTATGTATCACTTACCGATGTTTTTAGTTACGTCGAGTCTCTAAGACGCCGTATTGCTGAACTTGAAGAAAAGATCAAGGCTGCTGAGCAGAAACATGTTCAAGCCAGACATACCTCCTTTGGCACAGTAGATGTCGTCTTGCCCATCAATGGCAAACGCCGACGGTCAAATTATGGATCTGTTTCATCCGAACCTGTGAATGAACAGACCGCTGCCAATGGCGAGGAGCAGTCAAGTGTCCAAGACACCATGAGCGCCATTGGCCTCTTGTCCAACAAGGCCATGGCCGAGTCTCGAACAAACACGGGTGATAAGCCACATAAACTCGCCATCATTGAATCAATATCGGCAGCTCTGGCTGTAGATGGCCGAGACCCTTCCAAGGCATCATCATCGTCGCAACCGGCGTATGTGATGGATGACCAGCTCATTCCCCTCACACGCAACTTAACGCTCAGTCCCTTCCACCGGTTTCTGGACTGGAGCGTCTGGCTCCCTCATATTGACGAGAACCGCTTATATGAGCAATATGAGGCTGTTCTGGAGACGAGTGATCAAGGCATTGATCTAGCTAGAACTGCACTGCCTCGTTTCAACACGTACCTGGCTGTAGCAATAGGCATCAGCATGTCTCCCGATGCTGGTCGCCTATCCTCACTGGCTAGCAATCTCCACACTGCAGCTGTGAAGCTATTACCCTTCATTCTTCACTCTCAAGAGCCTCTCGACACCCTGCACTGCATGCTTCTGCTTGCAGTCTTCTCCATGTTTAGTGCATTAGGTGGATCGACGTGGCACCTCATGGGCTTCATCATGACGAATTGCATAGCTGCAGGCTTGCATAAAACTGCACCGCCAAGGAATACGTCGGATTCTGAAGCCACTTATCGAGTTGAGTGGCTATTCTGGAGCGTGTACCTTTGGGACCGGTATGTTCAGTGCCAGAGTTGGATGCATAGCACTAACCCAATCTTATAGATCTTTGGCCTCGGTTATGGGTAGACCATTCACTATTACTGAGGTCGACATCTCAGTTACAGTAAGATGCCCAATGAGACGATATGAGCGTTACTGATGATAAATGAGGTGCCAGAAATAACAGGAGATGAAACTGCCTCAGGGTCGGTAAGAAATAAGCTCGCTCTGAGCAAGCATCTTATTACCCATGCACAACTTATCTCAGATGTACTTGGAAGTCATAGTTCCAGCCCACTGTTTTCCTACAGTAACCTCTGCTTCTGGCGAGAGTTCCCCCCACAAACCGGAGGAACTACTACCCCAACGGGTCCTCATTTCGATTACCTGGACCAACTAGCATGTCGGGCTCTGATCCTAATGGTCCAACCCAAAGACCCGAGTCTGACAAGCTCCGAAGCCGACGCTGAGAGTGACAGCGAAGTAGAAGCTGATACGATTAGTTGCTGCAAGGCACTCATCGAGAGACTCTATAACAGGTCGGGCAGTGGCACCACGGTATCTTTCCTAGACGCATATGATATCTTGGCAGCTGCTGTGGCGTACATCTGCCTCGTTCAGCGCGCACCACAGCCGAACCAAACTGGCTTGACACAGACATTCGAAGTAGTCAGTAAAGCATCTATACTGCTAACACAGTGCTCATCCAAGTTCTCCGCCTTGAGCATCTTCCAGCAATTCCTCCTAACACTGTCCACCAAGATGATGGAAGGACAGGGCAGTCTACAGGTAAGTTGACTTTCCCCAAAGTAGATATGCTTAAAATATAGTTAACACTCGCAGAATTACCAGGACTTGATACCCCCCGAAATCCCAAGTCATCTACGTCGTATAGTGCAACGCTATTCCTCATCAGGGACAATCAGCAACTCGCTTTGATCACCCAGCCCCCCGGGCCAAGGCCGTCGGTACCGAGTCATGAAGTTTCATTGGCGGGTGGTAGCCGACGGGTTGAGTCCGAACGCTAGCCCCCGCGAACGTCGCACTCTATCTTGGAAGGTTATTCCACAAACGCGGGGATGCGGGGGTGACCGCGGTAGTGAGCTCGGATGGAAGAGCGAAAACACAACAATATCTTGGCATTCTTGGAAGAAGGTATCCAGCTTGGGGGAATGGTTGGGATATATAAAAGTGTATGATACCCGTGGTTTTTGTAATGATCAGCAGCAGTCTCTCGCCCATTCTCCTACCATCTTTGTGTTCTTCTATCTCTTGACTGATTAAGTCTATCACTCTGCCATCATGACGGGCTCCGTGCACTCAAAACCTGGGTCTTTTGACATCAAAAGAGATGTCGAGTACGAGGAGGTCGCTCCTGTGCGAGATGAGATCCTCGAGCGCTATCCGCTCATCAAGGACAAGACTCCCGAGGAGAGAGCTGCCATTGAGAAATCTCTCGTTCGCAAACTCGACTGGAAGTTCCTCCCCATGGTCACAGCCATGCTGCTAATGAAGTCAGTCATTCCATCTCCCTCAAGACTCCTCTTACTAACTGACACAGCTATCTTGATCGAATCAACGTCTCCAACGCTCGACTCGCTGGCATGCAAGAAGATCTCCATATGACAGATACAATCTGGTCTCTCGGCATCTCCATGTTCTACGTGGGCTACATCCTCTCCCAGATTCCCGCCAACGTCATCCTCGCCAAGGGAACCCCTCGAATCCTCCTCCCCGGCTGCATGCTTGTCTGGTCTTGCGTGACCATCTGTATGCCTGCTGTCACTGCAGGATGGGGCTTTTGTCTCTGCCGTTTCCTCATTGGCTTTACTGAAGGGCCATTTGTGCCTGCTGTGTCCCTCATGACTTCTTCCTGGTACACCAAGCACGAGTCACCTATGAGGATGGGTATCTGGCATGCGGGAAATACTATCTCACAGGCGCTTTCGGGTCTTTTGGCTGCTGGTATCTTGACCAACATGGAGGGCCTTGCAAACCTACGAGCTTGGAAATGGTTCTTACTTCTCGAAGGTATTTCTCAAGGTGTCGCAATTTAATTCATATAGCTAACAGTTCGTCCAGGTGCTGTCAGTATCTTAGTGGCTCTCGTGAGCTTCTGGTTCATCCCCAACTTCCCTGACTCGACGGGTACATACTTCATCACCGAAGAAGAGGCAGCTATGGCTCAATATCGTCAGACGGTGTCAGCTGGTGGCATTGCTGAAGATGATGCTGGAGGCTACTGGGATGGTTTCTGGATGTGCATGAAGGAGCCATTTGCCCATCTCTTCGCTGCCATCCACTTCTTCTTGATCATCGCACAGTCTTACAAGGACTTCTTCCCTTCCGTAAGCAACTCCTACTCCTCATCTTCACATGTACTAACAATTATCCAAGATCGTCGCTACCCTCGGATTCTCCGGTACCACTACCTACCTCATTCAGGCTCCTCCACCTATCATCGCCTTCCTTGTGATGATGGGCGTCTCGTGGTCTTCCGGTCGACGACTGGAACACGGATATCACATCATCGTCCCTATCCTTCTTACCTTGATCGGCTGCGCTGTCATGATCACCACCCTCAACGTTGGCGCCCGGTACTTCTGTATGATCCTGCTCGTGGTTGGTCCATTCGTCGGCCTCAACGTGAGTTCTCCCACCCATCTCATTATCCACAAAAAGATGATTCGCTTACTTGTTCTTAGCTCCAAATCTCTTGGGAGACAACTGTTGTACCTCGCCCCCGTACGAAGCGTGCTGCCCTCATTGCCTACGCCAACTGTGTTTCGTCTGTTTCCCACTGGTTTACACCATACTTCTTCCTCCGCAACCAGGAGCCTTACTATCAGACTGGAGGCGGTGCTATCATTACAGGCTGTGGCCTCACTGTGGTTTTCGTTCTCATCACAAAATGGTACGTGGCCAAGAAAAACAAGGCCCTGAAAACCGCGGAGGATGCAGCTGGTGAGCCCGAGGGATGGAGATTTGCTGGCTAGTGGATGGCTAGAAACAACGAGTCGAGATACTAGCAGATACACTCTCGAGCAAGATCTTTAGGAGTATGTAGAGCTATTTGTTAACTGTATTTTCTATCCTCGCGTAAAGTTATTTAGTCTTGGATTGCTATTGGATACAGTTGCAGCTCATCGTTGCCTTACAAGTTACAGCCACTCGTCCGTCCTAAGAACCATTCTTGTCATCTTCCTTCGCTTCTGAGTGGTTAGAACCAGAGTCAGAGGCGGAGTCAGAATCGGTGTTAGAGTATGTGTCAGATGAGCCAGAAGCGGTTGTTGCTGAAACATCATGTTCGCCCTCCTCATACTCTTCCTCGCCTTTTTGTGTAAAGTCGGCATGCGCCGGGTGTAGGATATCAGCGTGCTGATAGCACTTATCACAAAAGCACAACCATTTGCAAGTCTCACAGCCCCAATACAACCCGTAGATGGCCTACAGCTCAAGATTAGCAGACACCGGAGAAGATCACTAAGTACTAACCGATAGACAATAATCACAGCAGGCACCCTCCTGTTGAACTCCCCTCTTGGCCGCAGTCTTGACCTTTTTCTCTGTTTCTTCGGCTGTGTCCTCGTTGGTGTCCTTGTTGATCGGCACGCCACTACCGAGCAACGATATAATGTCTGGCTCGCTTCTGTGATAGTGAGCAATGCTGACCGGAGTCCATGTCTCTTCGCCCTGGTTGACTATCGCATCTGTCTTGGCCCCATGCTCAATCAGAAGCCTCACAACATCAGCACTGAGCGATGGCTCCCCCGCATTTTCTGGCTTGAGGAGTGTTAAGCCATTACGAGGAGCCCAGCAAATAGGTGTCCAACCATCAATATCCGGAACATCGATATCCAACTTGTCCCCCACAAGCGAGATGATCTTCTTCACAACTTGGAGTCTACCTGTCTGGGCAGCCCAGTGTAGCGGCGTACGCCCTAGTTTGTCTTTGGCATATATGTCGCCCCCTCGCTCCAGAATATCCTCGAAGTTGTGCAAGCCATTGCATGCCGCCAGATGTATCGGCATGCGGCCCATGTCGTCCGCGAGATCAACGCTCGCGTGTTCTTGGTCAAGGATAAGCTTGATGACTGAAGGCAGGCTCCCGAAAGCGGCAGAATTAATCGCATACCCCCAGACACCAGCTTTGATTGTAACATCTGCGTGTGCGCTCTCATGTCCCGACAAGAGATAGCGGACCATATTTTCGTGTTCCAGCGCGTCAAACGGACTTTGAGCAAGAAATAACGCTTGTAAAGGCGTACCCAGAAAGTCTTCGGTTGCATTCACGTTTGCGCCGTGCTCAACCAGGAATTTGATGATATCGAATTGACCTGCTCTGCAGGCTTGATGCAGAGGAGAACCGTGATGCGGGGATAGTGAATTAACATTAGCTCCGCGCTTCACGATATATTTCACCTTTTCAAAATCACAGTCTGCGTATACTTGGAGCGGTGTTGGTCTCTCTCCCTCCCCAATCTCAATGTTCGCTCCAGCATTGACCAGCCGCTTGAGGTCATTGATATCAAGATCACTATAGTGAAGGACTCCTATTCCATTGTTTGCTGTCGCGTTTAGGTCGATCGTCGAAGGGAATTCCAATATAGTCGAGAGAGTTTTGCCAAATATCGCAAGGTGAACGATCGACTTTCCCGTCTCTTTGTCTCGTCGACTCATGTCCGCCCCAGCTTCAGCCAGCATTCGAACTATGCCACCATGGCCTTGATGTGCAGCGCACATAAGGGGAGTCCAGCCTTTGACCCAATCATTGAGAGGATCTTCAACTCCCAAGCCATACTCAAGATCAACGGACGCTCCGTATTCCAGAAGGAGCTCCGCAGTCTCCGTGTAACCAAAGCATGCGACGTATGTTAGAGGAGTAAACCCTTCATCGAAGCCAATGTCAGGATTTGCGCCTTTCTCGAGTAATGGGCGAACTAGATCAGGATAGTGAAGCGCGGAGCAGAGAGGTGCCCGGTTGTCTTTAAAGGTCAAGTTCGGATCAGCACCTGCTTCAAGGAGCATCTGGACTGCATTCCCATAATTCACCATTACTGCATATTGTAGCGGTGTCCGCAGCTCATCATTGGCAAGGTTGACATCAACTCCATGGTCTATCAGCATTGTCAAAGCTACATCTCTGTGAATGTACTCGTCGGCTGGTTTGTTTGTGGCTGAGCGTATCAGAGTGGTGAGTGAAGTGTCTCCCTCGAGGTCCTTACAGTTGACGTCCAGTTTGAGCTCTAAAAGTCTGCTCAACATACCGAGACTCGCTTCTGTCAGCTCGGACCCGACGCTTGTGACTAGAAGAGGCTTCTTGAGAGCCTGACTTTGAGGATCAGCACCAGCTTTAAGAAGCATGTCGAGGATATCGATACGGCTGTGAGTAACTGCCCAATGCAGCGGCGTTCCAGACGGTCCAGGAATGTTTGGGTTGGCGCCGTTGTCTAGAAGTAGCCTAATGCATTTCATGAAGCCGTCGTCGGTGGCCGCATGCAAGGGCGTCCATTGATCGCCACTGGTGTGAGAATCTGATATGCCCTTGTTCGGGTCTGCGCCTTTCTCCAACAGGAGTTTCACCGTGTCATGGTTGCCTCCAAGAGCGGCTAGATACAAGGGAGTGAAGTTTGATTCAGACGGACAATCAATATTGACCTGTGACTCCTCCAGAATGGCTTTGACGGTCTCGGTGTGGCCCTCGAGGGCAGCCTTGTGAAGCGGGTTTCTTCCAGATATACTCGTGTACTCCATACTGGCGCCATTCTGCAGCAATACACGAACCGTATTGGTATACCCATGACACGCTGCCTGATATAGAGGTGATGCCTGTATAGATGTCTCGTTTCTCCAGTCAACATCTGGATCTGCGGGACATCCCAGACTGAGTACCCTTTCGGCAAAACCCTCTAGGCCGAGGTTGGCAGCCCGATATATCAAGACAGGCGGCCACTCGAAGTTGTCAGGTATCTTCCCCTTGGCTTCTATCTTGTCTAGCAGAGCATTCATCAGCTCCTCACTGCCAAAAGAGCTCGCCGCCTTGAGAACCTCCCATGTCTCGTCTGGCGAAAAGTCGTATTCGCCAAGAAGATCCTCGACTACTTTTTTCTGTCCTTTGCTTGCGGCTTCGATAAGACCTCGTAACACATCATCACTACCTAGCGGCTCTACCACATTAGGGAGTCCGAGTCCAGCAAATATTGGGAACAGAGACTGGAAGCAAGGAGAGCGTCTAGTTGCAGGATTCGCCAAACACCACTGGGCTTTGGCCAGGGTCTGAACCACGTCCTTCTTCGATGACAGGGCAGATAGGTCTGGAAGAGGAGAGCTGAGAGAGTAGTGGTGTGCCCATGCCTGGATAGCATATGAGGCAAGGTTCGTGCGGTCTGGGAAAGGTGGTGTCTCGAAGGTTGTTGCGTCTGTAACCGCAAAGGTCTCCCTGACGTAGTCCTGAACAGCATCTCTAGATAGGTATTCCAGGCACATGTTTTGTATGAGGTTGTGAGCTTTTCCTTTGACCTTGTTCCACAGATAATCCTTATTTTCGGCATTTTGAGTTGAAGGATCACCATTGACCATGATCTGATGGAAGCATGGGTGCCTAAACCTGACCTCGTTGTGATCCACCTCAAGAATACCAGCAAAGTCATTCTCAACCTTCTTAATAAGCCGGTCGACAGCCATGAAGCTGGGAGAGGCTTTAGTGCATTCCCTTTCCTCTGAGAACGAAATAATAGTGGCAAGTTCCCAAATCGTGAGTGGTCTGACAGCGTATAAGAGCCAGGAGAGAAGACACTCGAGAGAGGTTTGGTCGGGGCACTTCTTGAGCACAGTATGCAGCACAGATTCCATAATCTTATCGCTATCATCTTGTTGACTAAGATCCAACGATCCGAGAACTGTATCAGTCGATATCTCATCTGGCCACTCGTCACGGACTCTCAACTGCTCAAACAGAATGTGGCGTACTGGAGGGTCCAGCTTCTCAGTAAATTGAAGCTCGTCCCGTATCTGCGCATCTCTAAAATTTAGATCTCCTCTTACGCTTATCATCTCTTGGATGTCGCTTTCGAAAGTGTCCACAGCGAGATCTCCCGATTCCAGGGAAGACATATCAATAGGGACGCAAAATGGGCCCGAAAGCTCCTCCATCAGGGCACCTGGCTCATGACTGGTCACAACGATCTTCCAAGGAGTCTCGTCATTGTAATACTTGTCGGTAACGTGGTCCAGGAACCTTTTGCGTGAGCCCTTCGAGCACTCATCAAAGTGATTGATAACAATCATTGTCTGCTCGACTTCTGCTGAGATCCTGAACATCTCAAAGAACTGTATCAGGTCTGTTTCAGTCCAACCTTTCTCATTCTCGATCTGGCTGCACAGTCGATTGATAGCAGGCCCAAGTCTTGGGTGATGGTTGCAGATCTGAGCCAAGAAGGTAGCGATCATGTCCCGAATACTATCAGCACGGACGTCGAATCTGTCGAAAGAGAAGTAGAGGACGTTTGCCCGTCGTTTCACCCTCGTGGCTTCGTCCTCAAGGGTATAGAACACGCTTTCGGCTACATCCCTTACGCGGTAGCTGCCGTGAAGATAGAGTATTTGAGGACAAGGAGTTTTCAGCCAGGATTTATAAGCTGGTAGATCGGCCAATAGGTTGGGCTCAACCTTGTTTCGAAGTGGATAGATTGGAGACGCCAGAGCAAGAAGCTTTCTCTCTTGAGCATATTGACGTGGTCCGATTGACTCTTTCGGCTCCCGAACATCTAATAAGAAGAATTAGTTAAACTCATAAATGATGATCGAATCGTTTGAGCGTACCTGGCTCTATCTTGGCAAGATACTGAGTGAGAGGTGAATAGTCCGTCCCAGCTGGCGCTGTCAATGTTAACTCCAACGGCAAACCCAGCGTCGCACAGTAAGCGTCAAGACCCTATTGCAAGTCAGCTTAGGCTATGCAGGGATTACATCTGATCTCGAACCACTGACCCCACTGCTATTCTCTCCATAAGAGTGCAGATTTATGATCCAACTTCGCAGCGCGATATGGGAAGTTACGAAGAGACCATTCACTTGGACGATGGCTTTAGTAAGTCCTGATATTGATGCTGCCGAAGGTTGTGACTTCCCAGAAGCCTGAGTGTAGTTTTCATACAGAAAACTCGCCAGCCTCGTTTCCAGGTCGGCAGTGTTTCTCTGGCGATGCGGACAGCCGTTGAAGACCTGCAGTGTGTCAGGCCGAGTAAGCTGTGTAATGGATAGGATTCACTCACCAAAACTCGGGCCATCTCTGATATTTCTTGCCAGGAGCTCCTGTCGAGGGAAGCTGTGATGAGAGCCTAAGCTTGGTCAGTCTTAGTTACGCAACTCTCAGCATGCCTTGTCTAAAAGTATCAGAACTTACATCTTTGACGATAGTACCTCCGATATCATGGCTGATGAAGTATATCAGACGTTTCTGTATAGATATCTATGTCAACCTGGACCCCTTATTAGGATGGTCAGCTAACCCTTACCTTCATCTCGGCGGAACGCCTTGACCGTAACCCACCGAGCAATCTCAGTGCAACTCGCTGAATTGCTTCTCGAGATCTATGACCAGAGAAAAGTTCAGAAGAGTCATACTCGAAACGAAATACTCGGCAACTATTTTGAGGACTCTTGGGATTCTCCCAGCCTTCGTCGGCGAATTTCGTGACCCTGGCTGAGCTTCCAGATCCAGCGCTCGGCCCGAAGTCTTTGTCGGTCCAATTGCCGTAGACTCCAGGTATAACAACGAAACTGTAAATCATCAGCGCCAGAGTCCTGCTTCCAATGTGACACTTACTCTATAAGTCGAGCTTCTGTCGCCTGGTCACATGTATCACTGTCTAATGGTGAGTCTTGTCATACAAGGTGCAAGGATTCATCCTTTGTCTCTGTTTCTGTCGGCTTTATATGACCCAGGTTCTGCGCGCCATCTTCAACATTTCCATCACTCTCTTCCTCTTTTTCCTTTGCGTTCTCAGTACTGTCAATTTGCTTGACGTCTTTCTCATCTTGATGCTGCACAGATGGACGTCGAGACGGCGCCTCATCGCCCGAGGACAACCCGGAAGCAGACCCCGACTCAGACCCCGACTCAGACATGTCAGATTTGGCAGTGTTTCTTAGAGAAGTTGACCAAGGTTCCAAGAATGCCTCCTTGACTTTCATCCGCCTTCCACATAGAAAGAATCCTGGTCAGCGAAATCTGTCTTGTCCTGCGGCTCCGTGCTAACCGGAATGTGGAGACTCACCGTAACTATGGTCGACATGGGTAGGGCTTGAATTGATTAACATAGTACTTGGTGTAGGTATATTAGCCGCCGATAGTGCAACGGTACACACAATACAAAGCATTCGTGGTTACGATGGAAGTCAATTCCAAGGATCAGGCGAATAAAATCCCTCACGGCACTCGGGCCCGTGCGTGCATATTTCTACTGCCCTAAACTACTATGATCTGCCGAGGCTTGTCAAGCTGAATTCTCCCCAGCCTTCTTCAGAGGCCTCGGGGGGCAATAAAACACCGAACCTTAACACGGGGTGCCAAAATAAACTTGTTAAAAGTTATCCTAAGTTTAGACTATATTACCTAAGTATTTTTGTCATTTAGGATCGAGGTTCTATGTTTTCTTTCCTCCCCTAGAGAGGCTTATCAAACTCGATCTCCACAAACTCATCCAAGTCTAAAGATCCTAAATTCTCAATATCGTAAGCCTTGCGAAGCTTGTTCGTTGGCGGCAGAGTCGGATCAAACAGGATAGGATCATCACGAGGCGTAGACCCAACCAATCCTGCCACTTCTGTTTTCCAATCCCCGCTAGCAGCGATATTGACTTTGCACTCAAATTCCTCCTCCTCGTCACTTTCCCTGTCAAGCAGAATCGCAAAGCGCATAAATCTCGGTGTGCCCGAAGCTACTAACTTGTTCTCGAAAAGGATCCACTGAGCACCCACTTGCTTGCCGTAGTCATTGCAGAGAAAACCGCCAGATACTCTAGCAGCGTCGTTTCTTGTTTGGCTGACCGTCTTCTCCCATTTTGCCGAGCTCTCGACGCTGACGAACTGACTAGCTCCAGCTGATAGTCCATAGCCGGTGGTTTTGGACTCTTCGGCAGATGTTGCTAACAAAGAGACACTTCCATGGGGTGCCATTTTTGCTACCCGAGGAGCCGCGTTCCCTGGACTGCTGCTCTTGAACTCGAACTTGACTTGAGCTTCACGGATACGCCGGGATTTCTTAGTTGTGTCGAGATGAAGATCATAAACGAGCAAGGTCGCGTTGTTTCCATCATGCGACAAGTAGCCATGGATGATTTCGCGTGAAAAACACTGGACTTGAGTTATTCCTTGCCGCTCAGTAATTGTCGATCGTTGGAAGGGTGCTGCTGGGTCATTGCGCGTATGGAACTCGTTGTTCTTTCCTGCGGATATGTTGAGACCGATGCTGACCGATGTTGCCTCTAACTGGGCATCTGCCTCGAGGAACTCGGTGTTCTCATCGCTGTTATCGTCGTGGTCTCTGTCACTATCGTTCATATTCGTACAAGGCCGTCATCTGATGCTTGATAAACCTCGGCAGAGTGGGTTCCGTTCTGTGTTTTATGCCCATTTTTGACAGTGAGTCTCGTGGCCAGTAAATCTTCAAACTCTATTCTCGATACTAGCCGCATATGCTGACCGCATTGCCAGGTCCAAAGATCTTTTGCTACAACTATCCCTACAGGGCTGTACAATCCCTGACAGTTTAGATGGGACCCGATATGACGTGGCCCCTGCAAGGCGGAACCTAGAGGCCCTATCGCAAGCACCAGATTCAACCCTGGAGACTAGGGTGGGGTGTCGATTTCAGAGTCCATGGATTCTGCCTGAGTCAAAGCGTGACATACCGAGGATCGAATTATCTGCCTGCTTGGTATCGTCTATGACGGTAGGAAAAGGCCTGAGCAGTACTCTGGTCCTATGAACAATAAGCAGGATATCCAAGATGTCTTCAGCCCGGAAAATGAGCACGGCAATCCAGTGTTACAAACCCCACGATGCAGAGCCAGGTTATGACCTTGTCGAAGTTGAAGCAGACGTAGCGTCCAAAGCTGGTGATGTCTCTAGCGACGGCAGTGACAGTGAGGATGAAGATGGAGATGAGGAGGGGGAGAAAGTCACAGTGAAGGACATGCTCGCTCAAGTCCTCAAAGATATTCGCAATGGAGAACTCGACCTCACCAACAGCAAGAAACTCGCCGACTTTACCACTCATCGGGGACCAGATCTCGCCCGCAAGACTGGAGACAACGACCAGCCGACGGCTCTCCACATCATAGCCAAGGAAGACAAAAAGTCTCTTCCTAATCTAGATGAGAAGATGGAGCCACTCATCACATTTCTCTGTCAGCAGAAAGGTTACCTCGAGATCAAAGACCGGTCAGAGCGCACATCACTGTTCCTCGCAATCGAGCAGCGAAAGAAGTCACTGGTGCAGTGGATGTGCGAGGCTCATCCTGACATAAGCAGCATCATCTCCATCGTAGGAAGCAAGGGCATGAACTGTCTTCACATAGGCATTCACAAGAGGATCAAGTTCCTTGATCTGCTTATAGATAAAGCAAACCCTGAGGATCTGGCAGCAAAAGACGACAAGGGAAATACGCCACTTCATCTTGCTGTTGACTATGAGAACTGCAAGAGAGACCAGCTACAGTATATCAGGATGATGCTGGACAAGGGCGATCGGGCGATATTTAACAGCACGAACGGCGACTTCAATAAGGCGAATCTCTCTCCTTATAGATGCCACAAGGAAAGTGTCAAAAAGGGTCGTAAGAAGCAAGCAGACGAAGCAGAGAAGCCTGGCAAAGAGGCAGGATCTGTTCCAAATCGAGGCATCTCGTCGTCTGTACCGTCTATCTTAGCGCCTGACAGCTCCATGGGACCCGAGGTGCGAGATAGCGTACAAGTCGATCACCGAGGCAAGTATGGGGGCAGCATCACTATCCAGTCTTCTGTGCCCATCGTCTCACCAGCTCCAAGTGTTGTTTTAGATGCTGGAGATGGCAGCAAGAAGAAAGCAACTGGCGACTCTGGTAGGACCAAGCCCAAGAAGGGCAAAAAGAGTGGCAGCAAGTCAGATCCAGTGGATGAGACCATTGTGAAAGGAGTTGAACGATTGCTCAAGCTGCACTATTTGAGATCCCGGGACTGTACTGATGCCATGGAGATCTTGTATGGAAAGAATACCCCCTCAGGTAAGTTTAACCTTTCGTCTGAATACGGCTTTTGGATCGAATTATCCTTTGACATATTGTAGACAAGGAGCTTAGCTTTGACCTTTCTGGCATGGTGCATCCGGATGAAAGTCTCACTCAAAAGGCACTCGCTAATCTTCTACGCAACATAAATTTTGAGGACACTCTCCAATACGTTTGGATCCCCAGAATCACCGTCGAGGAACCTCAGCCAAGTAAGTCGAGGACCTTGGCGCGCAAACAAGTCGAGCCCGTACCCGATGGGGCTGGGAGGTCAGACTTGGGGCACATCTTCAACCAGCTCCGCAGCAAGGGCGTCGAGACTGTCCTACGTGTCTTTGTTCATGACTCTGATCCTGACTCCCCATCGCACAGTGACGAGGCCATTGAGAAGGCGCTCCAAGGTCTTGGCGTTGAGGTTTGGGACTGGAATAAGACAGACTTGTGCACCGAAGTCATCCTCACCGCGGCACCCCAGGCACGAGAGGTCCATCTCTATTGGAGCGGTAATAATGCTGTACTCAGAGGCTGGAGCGAGGCCGGAGGGTTGGCAAGGCTACCCGAACTGGGGCTCGTCAAACTTCATATCCAGCAGGTGAGTCTTGCATAGTTATCAACATGTGGACATATACTAACAACAGAAGGGCCTTGAGTCATCCGCCCGAACTGAACACAACGTCAGCGAGTTCCAGGCCAGGATGAAGAAGCTCTGTCCCAATATCGAAGTCGAATTGGAGTGGCCAAACACGCACCGAAGACGGACTGACAAGACTCCCGCTCGTGCTGAAGAGGTCCCAGAGCACACTACCAAGCACGAGTGGATCCAGTGCATGACAGACTTCAGAAAGCTGATCTTTGAAGCCGAGGCAAATTATTCCATGGCCCCTGGAACGAAGGTCAGCGAGATGATCGAACCAATCCAGATTGCGATCATCGATGATGGAGTTGACATGAAGGATCTTGATTACCATTTTACAGGTGGCAGAAGCTTTTGCGTGCGCTCTGAACATCGAGGTCTTCTCGATCCATATTACATGTCTCGAACTGGTCACGGAACTATCATGGCGAAGAATATCCACCTCATGTGTCCGCATGCATCTCTCTTCATACTAAGACTGGAGGATACTCCTTCTGAAGATGGGACCAAAATGAACATCACCGCTCGAAGTGCCGCAAAGGTATATAACCCATCACATAACAGGTAACAATAACTAACGTCAGTAGGCCATCCGCGCAGCAATAGTCCAAGGGGTCCAGATCATTTCCATGTCATGGACCATTGATCCACCCAAAGACGACAGAGAACGACAAGACCTCGAAAACGCCGTCGTCGAGGCCGCCAACGCCAACATTCTCATGTTCTGCTCAGCAAGAGACAAAGGAGCTCACAACGCCCCAACATACCCGTCCAAAGCAACTACCAAGATCTTCACCATCGGCGCCGCAAACTCCTCAGGCGCAAGTGTAGACTACGTCGGCAACGCCTCTGAGCTCAGCTACACCTTTCCCGGCGACAAAGTCGAAGTCGACAGCGGTCCAAACAGAAGAACTCCCCCGGAGATTGTGGACGGGTCATCTGTGGCGACTGCACTAGCAGCTGGACTCGCAGCCTTGATTCTGTATTGTATCCAGGTTAGGATATTCCTGGCCAAGGATTCTGAGAAGCAGAAAGCTAGGGAGGGTTATAGAAAGGTGAAACAGCATGACTGGATGGTAAAGGCGTTTGACGCTATTGAGACGACAAAGGAGAGTAATCACAAGTTTCTCAAGGTCTGGGAGATGTTTGGGAAATGTGTTGAGCAGAAAGATCAAAAACCTCACGGAGAATGGCTTCAGTTGGTGGCTGACGTTGGAACGAGGTTGTGTGTTAAGATTTACTAAGTTCATCACATTGACTCACAAAATCCAGTACATGATATCCCAATGAAATCAATCTGCTCCGCCCTCTCGCCTTTAAGTGGTTCTAACGCTTAATTATCCCGATTAGGCAGGTCTAAATACTGCGGCTCTCATGCCGATCCCCTCATACTAGCCCGAAATTGGACCAGGTTTTCTTCATTAGGTTGGAAGACACAGCTCAAAGTCATCAATGCCGTATGACTCAATGCCAAGTATAGTTTAGCTTAGTTTCATGTTGACATGTGCCATGCGCGCCTTAGTGAAGACATCCAAGTGCTTTAAATGATTGGTCAGCAGCCATACGATCGAGACCTGTAAACACTCCATCCTCAATTACTTATCACCTCAGACGCCTTCATCACAGTATTCTTCCCCTTTGAATCCTTTCTCTTCTTTATAGCCAACCTTTTTCGAAATGCCGACCTATCAAGAAATTGCAGCTGCATCAGTGCAGTCGCGAAACCGCATTCGTCATCATATCTACCAAACACCTCTCATCCCTGCCAAGAAGGTCGGCCGCGATCTCAAGGCAAATGTGCTCTTCAAAGCCGAAAACTTTCAGCTCACAGGATCTTTCAAAGTCCGAGGTGCCATGTCCAGACTGTCAGCAGCAGGGCAAGGTCGATTAATCACTGCCTCATCCGGTAATCACGGTATCGGCTGCGCTTTAGCATCGCGGACTTTATCTAGGGACCTGACTGTTGTCCTTCCTGAGATTGTCGTCCCTGCAAAGTTCAGTGCGATCAAGTCATATGGCGTCGATGTGATTCTTCACGGCACTGAGAATGGTCTCGCCGAGCAGCATGCCCAGAAGCTTGCGGCCTCGGGTGATTATACTTACGTATCGCCATACAACAATCCTGATATCATTGCTGGCCAGGGTACCATTGGCCTTGAACTACTTGAGCAGTGCGATCATATCGATAACATTTTTATCTCGATGGGTGGTGGTGGTCTTATCAGTGGCATCGGATCCGTCCTCAAAGCAAACAACCCACGCATCAAAGTCTACGGTGTTTCAGCGATCAACTCGAAAGCTCTAGCTGCGTCGATGGCTGCAGGTCATGTCGTTGAAACAGAGCATCTTCCCACTTTGGCCGATGCTGTTGCCGGTGGCATGGATGAGGACAGTATAACACTTGGACTGGCAAATGCAGTCGTTGATGACCTCGTTGACTGTGATGAAGACGAGATTAAGGAGGCGTTGAAGGAGCTTGCTTGGTCTGAGAGCATGATTGTTGAAGGTTCTGCAGCCTTGGCTCTTGCTGGCTTCAACAAGGTCGCTTCAAAGCTAGCCGGGCAAACCAGTGTCATACTTCTCTGCGGGTCGAATTATGATCAAGCCACGATTAGTAAGATAATCTCTTCACCATAAACAATATCCCACTTTTATCTCAGCCTGTTATTTGAGTTTTCGTCTTCCGTTGATGTTCTCTTGAGACTATTGGATGATCAGTAAAACGAGTAAATATATAGATACGTAAGTGTCTCCTGACATTTCTCTCCTTGGTCAAGATCATCCTGGCCGAGACATCTTAATATAACTTTCTATTAGGATTAAACTCCTATAATTAATAAGACTTAGCTTGGTTATCTTCTTATAGTAAGTTTAAAGCTCGTAAGTGTAAATAGCCCTGTATCAAAGCAGTTAAACGCGCAAGGCAGCAGGAAACCATTGGATGACAGAGAGAGCTAGACTGAATAAGGAAATTTAGATGGGAGCAGTAGTCCTATCTGGCCTGTAACAAGGGTGGTGTGGGACAAGTACGTCGGCAATCCTTGAGAAACCCTCTGGTTGGCGACCTATACGCAGGTAAGCAAGGTTTATTTTATCAAGGCAACTTCAAACTTTATTTACTCCTCTGTAAACCTAGTCGTAATTGGAGTGGATAGAGAAAGTCCAGTATCTCAATCGTATAGGAGCCCCCTTTGAGATCGTTAGACAATTATTTAAGGCACGCCGGCAGGCGCCCTGGCACAAGCAAGTCAGCTATTAATACTATGATACTGAAAAGGACACCATTTACCCTCTATCTTAGACCAACCGATGATATTGCCTGACCACGTGGACACAGCGCCTAAAATCAAGAGCCCTTCAGTCTAAGAAACATAAAATATGAGCACCTTCTCCCCTGTCAAGGTCACCGGCATGCCCGGCTATCAGCGCCATTGGCTAATCATGGCCCTCTTCTTTGGTACCTCATCTCTGGTCCAATGGAGCAACTACACCATGTTCAAACAGGATGGCATTACCTTCCTTGAGGGCACCATCTTATTCTGCACCTTCATTTGCACTTTTCAGCCCATTGTCGGTTCTTGGAGTGCCGTCATCGGCCTGTTGGTGATGGGTTTTGGCAATGCAGAGAATTCCGTCTATCCTTACTTTGACGCCAAAGGACCCCTCCCAGAGCTCATGTCTAAAACAGCCCTCGTTATCTTCATGCGCAATGAGGACCCAAGCTCAATATTCAATCGCGTCCTCGAGATGCACAAGAGCTTATCTCAGATACGACGCCTTCAACACTTCAGGTTCGTCTTGTTGAGTGATACGACCCTTCCGGAGGTGATGTGCATGGAAGAAGAAGGCTTCGCGCGCCTCAAAGACAATATCGGCGGCACAGGCACTTATCAAATCCCCTTTTACCGCCGCCGCAGTAACAACATTGGCTACAAGGGTGGGAACATGTATGACTACGCCGAGAATCACAGCAAAGCCGACGATTTCTTTGTCCCACTCGATTCGGATAGCGTCATGTCTGGAGACGTGCTGGTTCGTATAGTATCCAGCATGGAGAAGTGCCCTCAGATCGGCATACTCCAGACTGCGTTGACTGGCACGCCAGCAGTGAGTGCTTTTGCACGTCTCATGCAATTCGGCAACCGCTATTATCTCCCCGTCAACTGCCTCGGTCTCAGCTGGTGGTCCAACGACTGTGCGCTTTTCTGGGGTCATAACGCAATCATTCGCACCGCCGCTTTCCGGGACCATTGCAAGCTGCCGGTCCTCTCCGGAGACCCGCCCCGTGGAGGTCATATTATGAGCCACGATATCGTGGAGGCCATGTTCATGCAACGCGCTGGCTACGAGTGCCGACTACTGCCTATTCCAACCGAGAGCTACGAAGCTTTTCCGCCGACTTTGATTGAAGCCATGAATAGGCATAATCGATGGTCTCAGGGAGACATGCAGTATATCTTCCTACTCAAGGAGCCAGGGCTCAGTCTCATTAATCGCTTCCAGGTGTGTCGGATTCTTGCCAAGTGTCTGAGCCCAATGGCTTGGTTTATCATGACTTTAGCTTTCAATATCAGATTGCGAGGAAGAAGCCCTGGTACATCCGGAGTTGGCGTCACTGTTTTCTCGCAATGGCTCTTTTTTAAACTCTTGCCCAAGACTGCCGCTCTCCTCACTGTTGTTGCCAATCCATCCGAAATCAGGCGTTATGGTGGCATCTCCCGCTTTGTGACCTCCGTCGTCCTAGAGTATGCCATCACGTCAATTATCTCAACAGCGGTTACCATCAGCACGACCTGGTTTCTCTGTGGCTTGCTTCGGGGCATATCTATCAAATGGGACGCCCAAAATCGCGATCGCCTTGGCCTTAGCTGGCGTCATACTTTTCAAGTCTTTTGGATAGAGAACCTAATCGGCCTCGGAGTTATCTGGCTTATGGTCACCCAAGATACATCACATAGGCTTCTTTCCTTGACTATCAGCCTCTTTTTCCTCGTTCCAATTACAGTTCTTACTGCGTCGCCGCGTCTGAGTTATCTTATTACCCGCCTGCGCCTATTCACAACCCCCGATGAGAATCCAGTATCGCCAGTGCTGTCCCGACTAGTAGCACCAGGAATCGCTACTAAATATATAGATAAAGGAAAGATAATAGGGAAAGCTATATAATATTTTAATGCTCTAGGCATGTTGAGTTACAGATATACATTCCAAGCTAGCCCTATTTTAATGCGTCGTTTGAAAAGCCTAACTGGCTCTATAAATATTCAATATATATTAATTCAGCTCGTTCTTCTAAGGTCGCTAAGTGAGTCCTGGAATCACGTCCTCCCCTTTGAGCTCATCCTGAAGAATGGCAAAGAACTGCGAAGTACTATATTCTTTAATAGAGACTTATAGAACGATAAGGTCAGCGACTTACTATTGATAAAAGTATTATGGAACGCGGTTGGGCCTTTTAGACGTAATTCCTAGCACTATGTGTGCTTTACTTTCAGAGTGGCAACTGACTTGGGAATGCAATAGAGGAGGCGCACTCTAAGCTTTTCCCACTGGTGGCTACTCCGTATTGAGGATAACTATAAAAAGAATGTATATTAGCATATGATCAGACCGATGAATACATTGAGTTCAGAGGAGTTTTGCAGTCGCTTAGCCTGATCTGATAGCTGCGCTGTCTGTGTCGGCTGCGTCGACTTGTAATGCAGAACATGCAACTAAAGCGCTTCACTAAAACTGACCCTGTGGCGCGCACAGTAGAGGCCACATAAGACAGAGTTAATAGAGCCATGATTCCATTACAGATTGGGGGGAGTGGAGCTCCTTTTATACATAGAGCCTCTGATCCTTGCCAGGAAGCTAGACTGGTCAGGGCTACCCATCTCCTAGTAAAACCTTTTCCTTTTATCAGTATTTATCAATAGATAAACAGATAGATGCCTAGACTAGCCAGGGTGCCTAAGACTCCGCTAACCCTAGTGCCGTTATAGTTCACACACCTTTATAGGTGTGGTCTATATTATAAGGTTAAGCAAGGCTTTCTTGTCTATAACACTAGGCTATATGAACTAACCCACATGAAAGTTAATTATACTCTCTCCTCATTCAGGGACTGAGAACACGCCGCATATAATTGTATACCGATCTGCCCCAGCCTCAATCATATACAGGAACGGCCTATCAAATACTAGGACCTCCTCTTTAATCGCTTTAGGACGTTTCCGGGGAATTAAGATAGCAGTTATCGCTGCCGCTTCAGTTCCCTCCTCATCAACCCTAACAAAAGTTTCATGAATCATGGCTGTGATCTCAGTGGGTCCTGACCCCATTGCAGGATAGTTGCCCTTGATCGGAAATCCAAGTCTTTCCAGCTCGTTGAGCAGCGAGATCTTACTTCTGCTGTTGAACTTTGGAAATCCGAACTTACTCAATTTACCACGACGGAACGCAAGACTTCCTGGCTGCTTCATAGAAAGTTCTTCGAGGAGGGATCCAACTGTGACTCCAGGTTCAGGCAGCCATGCGACCAAGGCTGACGGTGAAGAGTCTGATCCTGTAGTATACGAAAGCCGAACCGCTGTGTAATTGCTGCTGGATTCTATTTCAACATCTGTATTGTAAAGAAACATCATCTCTGTTTCGCGAACGATCCCATTCTCTAGGTGAAAGGAATATCTTGGAACTGTATTCGCCGGATCAAACTTGGTCTTCCATGCGGCTCTAAAGGCCGTAGCGTTGGCAAGAACGACATGGGAATTGCGCAAGGTCCGGGAGCTGAGGAAGCCATTGATTTGGCCTCGCGTGTTATGGAGTTGATATCCTTTGCCGAATCTGGAAGGGATAGAAAATGCTGCGAATGTGCTTGGAATGACTCCAGATACTTCTTGTACATAGGAGCAAGTGCAACGGACTGATCAACGAACACGGCGTTGGCTAGTGATATAAGGTCCTGTCGAGCCAGAGGCGCGAGGCTCGTGTATAGAGTCGAGACATCTGCCTCCAAGGATTCAGTAACATCCAGCTTCTGATGCAATTGCGATTGGCGATGAGGGTCTGCTGCCCCGGCTAGCATAGCAAGGGCTATGATAACTGATATTGGCGATACAACCGCTGCATCGGCTTGGCCAGCGACCAGCCGTAATAAGGACCACCCTACGTTTCGAGCGGCCTGGGCGATAGAGGTTTGAGAAGCCAGTTCCTCTTTTCGTGGCGCTTCTGCTCCCATGACTGCCGAGTATGCTTGCCCACTTCTGAAGATGGACTTAGCAATTGCCGCGGCTTCCGTCGAATCCGTGAAGCTGCAAGGGGTATATTTGTAGATGATGGGGTCTCAGACTTTTCGGCGCGGCGCCTTGAGCGACAAGGCGTATGTATAGCAAGGTTAAGATATCAAACGCTGGTAATAGCGATGAGACACTTTGACTCGTTTAAAGATGCGGTAAGTTATCTTCATATTATATGGAAGAATTACGCTAGCTAAGTACTCCGCCAGGCCCTATCTAACAGCTCATAACTGAGAACTATTTTGACTGCCTAATAGGAAGGCACAGTACTGTATTCTGCCCTGCACTCTTGAGCTATTCCTTTCTTAGTACGTACTTGCTCAGCAGGGACCTGTAGGCTAACTAACTATTCTAGGTATAACTAAGCGAGGGCTGAGTCTTAAGCGGCAATCTTCCGGGGGTGGAGGGTGGCAATTAGCTTATACCTAGACTTACCGGTAGTTGGGGCGGCTGTGTTAACAAGTTATATAAGTATAGTAGTCAATCCTAAAGCACAAGACTGGGCTCAGCTATTTCTTCCCTGGGCAGACGGCGCTGAAAACGCCGTGCTGTATATGATGTCTTCTTTAGTGAACCTGTTAGAGGTACTTAGAGTGCTCTGCAGTAGTTGCTCTACTGAATCAGAACCCCTATTAATTTCATTTCGAATCATGTGCAAAGCAGTAGTAATGGCGGCCTATTATTCTTGCTTACACCTCTTCTCTTCTTTGGCTGATTGTAGCTCTTGTTATAGTTAGCGGAGCTGCATGCTGTCTCTAGACCGGTTGACTGATCTTCACTTGCTCCTCTGTAATAACACGATCCAAATCCGGACATCCAGCATCTACTTTAGCCTGTGCCCCATGAATGGTTGCATCATCGTGAGTTTGCATCTTCCAGGACATCGAGCTTGGCTTTCCTGGTGTTAAGAATCTTAGCCTTATCCTCCAGCGCTGCCTCAATGAAACCTTCAAAACCCTGGCCAAGACAAAGCTTAGTATGTAACTGATATGGATAGTCATGCTTAAATCTCTGAACCGGCTAATGGATAATGCGAAGCAAGCGGATTTTGTAGCGCGACGCGAGAGCGAGACGCGCAAGGTCTCTCGCGTGTTTTAATTAATAAATGACGTATCTATCTGGGATAGAGCTGTCTCGCCTTGCCGCAAAAACGGCGCGAATTTATCCGATATGGACCTGGCTTAGGTTGGCTGGTGGATAAAGTCTGAAGAGATCGACGTCATGATAACTCCTTTAGGTATCCCGTGCGTATTTATTCTTTCTGCTGCCTCAGGCCGCAAATCTAAGGACGCTGGTGTAGGGTATTTTTACGACTCACTTTAAATCCAATATCTAATATCTCTTTACTGCGCAGACTGGTAGAATTAATATAACTAATAGCAATTTAAATACTATTTTTTTATTTACTAGTTTTTATCATTACGCTCTTGTATATAAGAATTTTAATCATTATTGTATTCAGGATTTACATCTTCACTCTCGGTTCTGCTCTGAGCTGGTCTCCAAACCCTCTGCCTCGGAATCTGTTAGTTTGACGTCTTAGCAAGGGTCTTTAATAGAGAAGGGTCTCAAAGTTGCATAATTATCCAAGTCCGGCAACACAAAGCGCAGATCAAGGTATAGGACCGAATACCCAAAGACATTGCATGTCGTTGCCCCGGATTTGCAGGATCAAAACCAAGGCACGCGAGACCACCCAATTTTTTCCACGGGGCCCCGACACTTTACCTGAACGAGTTCCAATGGAGCGCTCTGCTCCGCTGGACATCTTGGCTACTAAGCTTCTTTTTACCTCCCGTCTTACCAGCGCATTTCTTTAATCTCACGTGTTGATCCTGCTTACTGGGTCCAGCGTATGAGGGCAGATGACTGTTGGGGCCAGGAATGCAGACATGGCCGTGTTTCAGAGATTTTGAGGCCATTTCCGGTATTCCCGACACCACCCGATGCACGTTGAAGAGAAAATGGTAAGAGTGGAGACGCGTTGGTCGCTACGCAACAGGATTTGATCAGGAAATTGGGTTGAGCGAAACATGGAATGACCCTGGTCTCTTGTAGATGTTGTTAGGTATTTCTTACATAAATCTATTTACCATGATATGATTTTGAACACAAAGGAACACTCGGGAATGATGATGACCAGACCATTCTCTCGAGACCGGTGTTGATACCTTGATTGAGCCGCAATTTGGCTAGTGTTGTTTGGGTTAGCGAGCATGGCTGGAAGCATCTCGACTATCGTGAAATGCTCCGATGACCAGGGTGGACTTTGAGAGTCATCGTCATAGAACGTTGAAGCCGTTCGTTGACTTTTTACTGCACCAATGATCGCGATGGTGCTGCAACTTTGAGCAACACAAACAACGACGATCGCTTAACTTTATTTACAACGTTAACGGGCTGATCTCAACTCAATTTGACTGGTGACAGAAATGGCCTACAACGCTTCGACATTCACCTACGCCGGACGGCTACCCAGTCAATTGATTCGAGTCTCAAGCCAGCGAGGGTAGCATTGACCATGCAAGCCATAAAGATCCCTCAATTGCATTGCCCGAGATACCCGAGCCTCATCTTCGCCGACAAAATTTTCACTCAACTAATAAACCTCAATTAGGCATCCGTATTCTTTGCCCTCTGTCCCACTTAGCACCAACTCCTCCTCATTCACATGGTTCGCCAACGCCCGTTTTCCCCAAAAAGCTCAGACCAAATTCCTGATCTAAAAAACAGGCAGTGAAATAAACATATCGATGATTGGATCAAGCGCTCAAGTGGAGAAATTCAAAGGATGGGCCAAGACTTTGCGGTTGTTTTCCCCCATGGCACAACATGTGGGGTAAGCGGGGAGGAGAGAGGAATAAGCTTGGTTTTCAGGAGGAGAAGGGGGAAAAGAATTCTGGTGCCTAAAACCACTTTTTTATTCCTCTTCTCCGCATGAGATGAAAGCTGGGGGATATCTCTAATCTCAGTGATGAGGTCGATATGCCTCATAACAACAGGGCAATCTGACAAAGATCCTACAAACAGACAGCGATTGATCACTCCGGAGACAAGGCAATGATCTTCAATTACAAGCAGCAAACAAGCATAAGCAAGCAAAAAGTCCTGCACTGGTCCCACTCTCATGCTCTCCTCCAATGAGCTCCTCTTCTCCGCGTTGATCCCACGGGGTAGCACACCTCCAAGACGCTCTTGGCGCGAGGTGATATCATGCCGGCCAAGACTGTTAACCTGCTGCCTGGGCTTGGCAGCTCGGGTTGCCAAGTTTGACCCCAGAGGGTTGCCAACTGCCGTGCTTTAAATTTAAGCTTATATATCACAACAGCCTCAGGTTATGAAGATCTCTTGTTGTTCTTGTTTCCGCAGTGTCTCTCTTCTTCTCTTTCTCACTGTTGATTACTGGACTGCAAACATGGATGACAAGGATATCTCACCTGGCCATGGTGGCTCGTCTTATGATGACAAGACCGTCACGCCTCCGCCTGAGAAGGGCGGTGCTGAGATTCTAGAGCATGCTTCTCAAGGTCGTCGTCAATCCGTCGCTCTCAACATTGTCCAGAACCCTCTACAGGTACATCCCCTCACATCTCCCCTCAATATCTTCAGTTACTCACCAAGAACATAGAGCAAAACAAAGGATCAAGTCGTCGCTGATGCTCGCGCCTTCGCCGAGTCAAATGGCATGTCCGAGCACGTCGACCTCTTCGGCCGAGCCGCTCTCATCGCCCGTGACCCCGATAGCTTCGAATCAGCTGATCTTCTCGATGACGAACGCGCTGCTCTGATCTACGAGAGAGACCATAAATGGCATGGATCCAAGATGCTGTGGTATTCGATTGGTCTTTGCGCTGTTGGTGCTGCTACGCAGGGTTGGGATCAGACAGGTGCCAATGGCGCTAATCTCTCGTTCCCCAAGGAGTTTGGTATTGATGGGACTGGACGCGATGAGTGGATTGTTGGTATCATCAACTCTATCATCTTCCTTACTGCTGGTCTGATGTAAGCTTCAAACCTCCCTCATCATGCGTTGATTCTGTCTGACATTGGTCTTTAGTGGTGCTTTCATTGTCGACCCTCTTAACCACTACTTTGGCCGACGTGGAGAGATCTTCATTACAGCTTGTTGCTTGGTTGCTACCCCCATCGCCTCAGGTTTCGCTAAGAATTGGCAAGAGCTGTTTGCTATCCGTTTCATCATGGGAATCGGTATTGGTGCCAAGAATGCTACCGTGCCTATCTATTCCGCTGAGATGGCTCCTGCTCGAATTCGAGGTGCCCTCGTCATGTTCTGGCAGCTTTGGGTCGTCATTGGTAAGACGCCCCCCATAACCTGTCAATCGAATCTCCATACTAACTACAGCAGGTATCTTCCTCGGTTTTTGCGCCAATGTCATCGTCAAAGACATCGGCGACATCGCCTGGCGTCTCGAACTAGGCTCCGCCTTCATCCCCGCCTTCTTCCTCGCCGCCGGCATCTACTTCTGTCCCGAATCTCCCCGTTGGCTCATGAAGCACGGCCGCATCGCCGATGGCTTCGTCTCCATGTCCAAGCTTCGCGCTCACCTTATCATCGGCGCTCGCGATTACTACTACTCCTACATCATCTACCACGAGGAGCTTCGCGAGAACGCTGGCGCTGGTTACTTTCGCCGTCTTTGGGACTGCTTCGCTGTTCCTAGGATTCGACGTGCCAACTACGGTGCTAGCACTGTCATGTTGGCCCAGCAGATGTGCGGTATCAATATCATCTCTTTCTACAGCTCCAGTATTTTCCGAGAGGCTGGGTATAGCCACGACGAGGCTCTGTATGCTTCTTTGGGATATGGTGCTATCCAGGTTGTCTTCACCATTCCTACTCTCTTCCTGATAGATACCAAGGGACGACGATTCTTGACACTGGCTACTTTCCCCTTCATGTGCATCTTCTTGCTAGCTGGTGGTCTCTCTCTTCTCAACGACAGCGACAACCGAGCTGCCAACATTGGCCCCGTCGTCCTCTTCGTCTACCTGTTCACAATCGCCTACTGTCTCGGTGAAGGACCTGTCGCCTTCCAGTATTCAGCTGAAGTCTTCCCCACCATCCAGCGAGAGCAGGGTATGGCTTGGGCTGTCTGCATCAACAACACCTTCGCCGGTGTTCTCGGCTTGACCTTCCCTCGTATGAAGACTGTCATGACACCTACTGGAGCCTTCGGCTTCTATGCTGGACTCAACCTCATTGCTTGGGGTATGATCTTCTGCTTTGTTCGTGAGACTAAGCAGATGACTCTCGAGGAATTGGATCGTAAGTTTTCCCCACTTTAACTTCGATGAGGCGCATTTACTAACACGCGACACAGAGGTCTTTTCCGTTCCTACAAAGAGCTTCTTGTCTCATGAGACGAAGGTCTGGCTGCCTTATATCTTCAAGCGCTACGTCCTTCGCAAGGACATTCAGCGTCCTCCTCCCATTATTGAGAAGGGCGAGAAGACACTCGCATAATTGGTGGATTAATTTGGATCGCTGTCGTGTATATAAGGAGCAAGCATGCTGAGTCAGGCGGTGTACAATCCATAGTGCAATCGAATCATGAAGTAACATCACATCGCTAAACCGAACCAGCATGATCGTAAAGTCCGTTCCTGGATAACCGTTTAACCGCGATCATGGCCAGTGGGGAGACACAACTGCAACCCTGTAATTTACAAAGCCTCCAGCCTGGCACCTCATTAGTCGACGACGTGGAGTTGGCTTCTCAAGAGGACATCCCTGCGGATTTTGAGTTCAAGCTGAGCCTCGCCATGAGTCGCGGATATAGCAGAACCACGTCATGCCACTGTTCTCTTTAGGAAGGCCGAGTACGAAAATGACGACTAAGCAGAGTCGGCGGGATGACGCCCATCCCGCTGCCGCTCCGAACCGCGCGCGTCGATAATCAATCGCCGACGTGATTGGAGGAGTTGCGGAAACAATAGGGATCTCGTAATCCTGGTGCTCATATAAGCCATCATGCAAGATCGGCATTGACAAAACTCTATCCTCGATTTGGCCGGGAACACCCTCACGGTATTTCCGAGCCAGATTGAGTTATGTAACGTACCTAGGCTAAATACAAAATCTCGTATATTCTGCTTCTCGTATAAATACCCAGAGCCCATCTCTATCAATTCGTGAATCTCCAAGAGCACCATCTTCGCCAGCAACACTGTTTCCTATTCCCAATATGAAGCACTCTTTGTTTTCGCTCGCCTTCCTGGCAAGCTCCGCCATGGGCTATGATCAACTCCTCGGCTTTAATGAGAAGGCACAAGTTGAAACCAGAAGCCTCGACGAGATCCACAAAGCTGCCTTGAAAGAGGGAGGCACTGTTACCTGCTGGCACGGAGGAGATGCGCCCAACCAGCGAGCCAGTCTTAAACAAGCCTTTGAGAAACGCTTCCCCGGCATGACGCTCAACGTCACTGTCGATCTGTCCAAGTACCATGACGCCAGAATAGATCAGCAGCTCGCCGCCGGTGGAAAATCGGTCTACGTCGACAGCGTGATCCTGCAGACGTTGCACGACTATCCCCGCTGGGCTCAGGAGGGCGCGCTGCTCAACTACGCCCCCAAGGGCTTTGACCAGATCGAGCATGCTTTCAAGGACAGCACGGCGTATTGGTATGGTGTGTACGTCTTGTTCTGGGCTAACGCCTGGAACACTGACAAGCTGCCTGGCATCAAGGCGCCGACCGAGTATGCCGATTTCCTTCGGCCCGAATTCAAGAACAAGCTTGCTCTGACCTACCCCAACGACGATGACGCTGTTCTCTATGCCTTTTATCTCATGTAAGTTCGCCGTACATCTTTCTCTTGACCAGTGCTAATGAGCACGTAGTATGCAGCAGAACGGCGCATCTTGGTTCGAGGACCTACTCAAGCAGAACCCTCGCTGGGTCCGCGGTACAGCAACCCCAGGCAACATCATCCGCTCAGAGAACGCCACCGAGGCTGCATACTTCGCCGTCGGCGGACGCTTCGGTGAGTCCAAGCCTCTAAAGTTCGCCCATCCCAAGCAGGGAAAATACGTATCCTGGCCGCAGACCGCCGCTATCCTCAAGGACGCTCCTCACCCCGAGGGAGCCAAGCTTCTTCACAACTACATTCTCAGCGAGGAGTTCCAGTCTACTATGGGACTTTGGTCTGTCCGTCGCGATGTTGCCACTCCAACTGGTTTCCCTCCTCTTCGCAACGAGACTGCTACCAACCCGACCGAGTTTGCGCGATTCATGAAGGATAGAGTTTTGGTCGAGAGACTTCGATTCTGGTTTGAGGCTCGTATTGGTACCGCACAGGGTGTCGACCCTATCTACAATCCTATCAACCAGTGATAGATGAGGATTCTGGTAGTGCCGAGTCGCCTTTTTCTTCCATTCTCGTTACGTAGCTAGGAGAACGTTTCGTGTACATACTATTCAAGTCAGCTGGGTGAACTCTCAGTCTGGATTCAATTACATATTTTCTCAAAAACAGACATTTCGCACTTTTGGACAAGTAGGAATGGCCAATTGAGTGCAGCAGCAAGTATGGGGATGAGGTGATCGATACAAGTCAATTGTAGCCTTGGCCGAGTGTCATTCCAGAGAGTGCGACCCGATCTTTGGCTTCCAACGGGAGCATCGAAATCATTCTGTCGCGCTGCGTATCTTGACTAATAGGACATCTTCCCCATCCAAAGTTGGTAATGATTCCAAACACCAATCGAGCTCGCATGCCTTTCCAATCCGGGCAAGATACAGCCCATCTGCGACGTTTCATTCCTGCACAGCCCTCTCTCCCTCAAAAGTTGCGACAGGTCAATGACATCGCGACAGAGGAACATGACACAACAAACGTTCTGAAGCTTGGGGTAGCAGTTGTGGCGCTTTGACGTCGATGGAACAGCATATTCTTCAGAGTTAAACTATAAGCGTCTAATTCTTAACTTAATAGTTAAAAAGCTGAATGTGTCAAAGCCCAAAAAGTGGCGGTGAAACGCTGTCAAAACGGGGCGCCAAGTGGCTGTTTCAGCATCGTGAGACTCCTTGAGTGGAGTTGACTTGGTTTTGGTGGAGAGAATGCCGAGATCTGCCGGCTCGGCACTCGGCCGAGAAGATTGAGTGCACATGGATGAGCTTCTAGGAAATAAACTCAATTGTGTACAAGAAATTAGAATAACGCATGAATTGTTTATAAACTATTGAGTGCGTTTGCATAAACAGAACGCTTGACCACTGCTTACATCTACTAAAAACAGCACATCAGTCTTTAAGAACTGGAGAGAATCCAGCAGCGTAACCTTGACATCAGCAAAAAATTTACTGCAATTACCAGAAGAAAATAGAGGACATTAACACTTCGGCCTCGCCGAATATACTTCTCCTTTGGCCTTGGCCTTTTGTTCGGGGAAAGCTGCGCCTACCTGGTACTCTTCGTTTCCGGTTTCATCACCAAGAACACAAACCTATTAGCGCCGATCAAAAGAACATTCCCTCGCAAACAATTCCATTAAAACTCTTCCCTAAAAGCGCGTTAGGCCCAGGGTACATCTCTATTAATAATACGCGGCGGCCGACAAGAGTTGAATCACGAGTTCAAACATCTTGGTGTTTAGAAGATGAAATAACCTGACAAACCAATCGCATTCACCAAAAAAGCCAAGAATCGTTAGAGCCGAGAGTTTCACGTGTCAAGTCTTTCTGCGTGCAAAGCTAGATCTGGAGGGGGTCTGAGCGAAACATGAAACACCAAGAATTTTGAAACATGGGTCAAGACTTGAGACTGCGTGAAGTGAGTGACTGAGAAGGGAAAATATGTGGCTGTAAGAGGCGTTGAGACAAATGGAAACGATGACCTGAAGCTGAGGTTGGGGTTTCTCCTGATGCGATTTGATGATCGCTGATGATCAGCGCTGGGAGGCCATGACGAGCCGACAACCGAAGAGTTTAGCATCAAACATGATAACTGATCACAGAGACGAAAATCAGTATATAAGAGTCAGATCATTCGATATCTTGGAAAATAAACCATCAGCATCTCAATCATCTTCTCTTCACTTCACTTCCTTTCTAAGAAAGTCTAAGTTAGCCCTGGCGGCTCAGTTTCAGCATCACAAACTTTAATAATCATTTTTTTGATCTATACAACCTTCAAAATGCATTCTCTTGCTATCGTCTCCGCCTTCTTTGCCGTGGCTTCTGCTCATGGAGTTGTTCTTTCTGTTGAGGGAGCTAATGGAGTCACCATGCCTGGTCTCAGCAGTAAGTTGCCAACAAATTTGACAGTATAAAACGGATTCGCTAACATGAAACAGTTGCTGATGGAACTCCTCGCGATTGCTCAAGCAACCGATGCGGTTCTCAAGCCGACACCTCCATCATTCGTGATCGTGAGATCCGCAGTGGAGAAGCCAGCGCTCTGGGCAGGACCCAGGGCAATGGCCCTGTTGATGCTTCCGTCATGATCTCCAGCTTCTTGGGTAGCGGAAACGCTAATAATGTTCCTACCAACAACGGCACTGAGAGTGCTGCTGGTGTTGAGGATGACTTGTCCAACTTGCCCAAGGGTAACAACCAGGGCAACAACAACAACCGCAGGCGCCAGTTGGGTAACCTCTTGGGCGGTCTCTTTGGTGGTGGCCGTGGAGGCGGTGGTGAGAAGACTGAGACAGCTGAGGAGACCAGCGTTGCCGCCTCTGCTGGAGAGGGAGCCACCAAGGGCTTGCCTACAGCCTCTGACAACGGCGAAGTCACCATGACCTACAGACAGGTAAGTCCCATCCACCCTATCTAAGTGCCTTGACTAACTCCCTCAGATCAACCAAGACGGCGCCGGTCCAATGACAGCTGAAATCGACGCTACATCCGGCGGCACCGACCCCGACGCCTTCCAGACCGCAGAGGTGACCCAAGATGTTCCTGGAATCGGCATCCAGGGTCTCTCCCTCGCCACCAACACCGACTTCCCCCTCAAGGTCCAGATGCCCCAGGGCATGACCTGCGAAGGATCCGTCGGAGGCGCCAACAACGTTTGCATCGTTCGTGTTCGCAACGGCGCTGCTGCTGGTCCTTTCGGTGGATCTGGTGCTTTCACTCAGTCTGCTACTGCTAGAAAGCGTGCTATTGCTTTCCGCCTTAAGAAGCGCATGGAAATTGTTCGCTTCTAAGTGGTTGGCGGATATGTATTAGGGACTGGAAGTTGAGAAGATGATTGCAGATAGTTAGGGACATGTCTCTTAGCAAGACATCTATCATTACTCCTCTACCACAGGGCACATTACAATACTCTATTTTATGTGCTTGTTGGCCGACTATATAAAATATATGCTTCATCATCTTAATCTCATTGGATTCTAAACGCAAGTTATTTACCTCCTTACGCTGCCGAGACGGCTATTGCAGAGCGCGAAATACGAAACAGATGAATCTTTTCCATATTGCCAGATACTTCTTAAAGCTTGGTATGACCCGACATCCATGCGGCCAGCTCAGTACTGGGTACCATTTGAGCCAGACTATCAAGCACTTGGCAGGACTTCAGTAACGAACTTTTTTTCGGTTTAGTTAACCAGTATGCATAGCTACCGCAGAGGATACCATCCTCCGCTATCGGAATCTAGATAAGGCTTTGCACCGTGCTTTGCTTACGCGGAAGAAGAGACGTAAAACTCGTCACACGGACAATGGGTAGCATTTTGATACATGGCTTGTGCTTCATCCGATTCCAAGCTGCACTTGTGATAATGCAGAGGACGTTACACAATACTAAGTAGGCCCAATTAGAAGAATTTACATCGCATCAGCTGACTGATAAGACTGTTACCTAAGGCCCAAACATCGAATTGTAATTGCTTGACATACACAGCTGGTTCTCTGCCTCAACGCCACTTATTGGTATCCAATAAGACAATTAGAATAAGCGCCTGACAGGTTGAAAATAAGACAGCGTATTACATATTAACAGATGCATTAACATGCACTCTTACCTGATATGTGACAACTGGTTAATGCGTCCCAGAATAAGGCTGACTTGGCGGGGCAGTTTTCTCTTTATATTGTGAGTTTAAAAGAAGGTACCCTTACAGATATCAAATTCCTTTCGTCCCAGACTATTTACGCCCTCCTAAAGAACTTAATTATTCACCTCACTATTTGCCAAGAATACGTAATTAGAGCAAGATTAGAAATGTCTTCTAAGCATACAAGGCCATTGCAGATTCATGTCGAGGAAGTCTTTAACATGCAGGCAATGGCTTCGATCTCAGCAGACAAACAGATAAATGAAGAAGCCTCTGAATCTCACAAGCTGAACCCAGCTGCTATCAATATATCGCTACATCCAATACTCAACACCTATCGATCAGAAGTACAAAAGGTACTCCAGAAAGAAGAAAACTTCTTACCAAACTCTCGAGTAAACATGTTAACTGTTTCGGGGCCCAAAAGCGAACCAAGTATTTCCAGGCCTCTACACTGAATAATTGCCGGTTACTGACATATACACTAGCTTATCGTATCGACCAGGACGATCCCCAAGTCAACGCGATAATTGATGTATGTATCTGCTGTGAAATATCACGCATTTGTGCTGACCAGTCAAGTCCCTTAAGCCAGGCACCGACTATCCGACCCTCATGGCTTTGTATGTTATATCGCCAGTGATATGATCATATTTATGTTGTTGTTGTTCTAACACGATTGAATTCGCTCGTCCAGATGCATCAAACTTGAGACGAACCCCTGCGCAACATTTCATTACACGCCATCTGTTTCAAAAGCTCTCCTCAGTCGCCTCTTCAATGACTACGACATCCACAGTAACTTCTTGCTTGATCTCGTTGGGCGCTCGAACTATTGGTCAGCTGTATCCCAAGTAAAATCTGACCCTGTTAATGGCCAGGAGATATATGGTAAGTTGAGCAAGTGAATAGCAGTGCATGTCTGATTTGAAGCTTTGGGTAGAGTTCCATTGTCAGCAGCCACGATGGCATCAACGCAGCTGGTACGACAAAGACGAAATGGCAATACACCGCAATAAACCACCTTGTTCTGTCTACATGGCACATTCTACCGCTACGAACACGACAGTATACCTAGTCGTCGCTCCAGACGATGGCATCTCGGATGCTTTTATCTCGCGGGGCCAATGCAGTCGCAGGATGTCCTATATCGTGTCTCATGGCAGCGTATAAGAAAAATGAGAAAAATGGTATCACGGAATGCACCCAAGTTCTAGAGCTTCTTCTCGACAAGGGTGTTGATATCAACAGAAAGTGTGCTGAGCATGGGAGCGCTCTGAATGAGGCAATCAATGTATGGCTCCGCGAGGGAACGCGTAGCTTTTTCGACTTGGTTGTGAGGCGCAACCCTGACATTGAGTTGGACGACGGGCGAGAGGGCACCCCGCTCCAAGCGGCATGTGGCTACTCTTATGCGCCTCGGAGGAAAGAAGCAGTTTCGGCCCTGCTGCGCCTTGGGGTTGACCCAAATGTCCAGGGAGGGCAGTACGGTAACGCACTTCAAAAGGCATGTTACCAAACCGATTACGAGTCTGGTGTGGTTGATGTCCTTCTCAATAATGGTGCGGAGATCAATTGGAAAGGAGGCTGCTATGGAACAGCCTTACATGCAGCCTGTGTGAGATCGACGCCGGAACCAGAATTGGTTAACATGCTACTCAGTAGAGGTGCTGACGTGCATATACACGGCGGGGAGTATGGCAGTGTCTTACAAGCGGTCACTTCCGTACCTACCTCTTTTCCTAAAGAAACTGCACTTATTGTGCAAAAGCTGATCGATAGTGGCGCCGATGTCAATGCGCCAGGTGGCAAATTCGGAAGCGCGCTACAAGCCGCAGCTTGTTCGCCGGCCCCCAAGTCGGACGCTGAAAGTGTGGAAGAACTACTACTCAGGAGAGGCGCAGATGTCAGCATGCAGGGAGGGATGTATGGCACGGCACTACAAGGCGCTTGCGCAGGAGGCAACATCAGACCAGTCCGCTTGCTACTTTCCTACGGTGCTGAGATTAACATCGAAGGAGGACGGTATGGAACAGCGCTCCAAGCGGCGTGCGCAAATGAATATTACTACCCTAAACAAAACTACGATCTGGCACGCCTACTGATAAACCATGGTGCCGATATCCATGTTCAAAGCGGGCAGTTTGGGAGTGCCTGGCATGCTGCGGCTGCAATGCAAGACATTGGCAACCAAGCCTACGACACATTGAAGCTACTGCTCGACAACGGTGTTGATGTGAATCACTGCCATAGTCAACACGGTACTGCTCTGCAGGCTGCACTCGAGCATACGAAACGTAACGTCGAAACTAGGATCCTGCTTCTTTTCGAAAATGGCGCTGATGTTAATCTCGGAGCCGGTCTCCACGGGTTTCCATTGCAATCAGCATGCCTAGCGCCTACAGATGACCCAAACCGCCTGAACACCCATGGCCTCGCCTACCTACTCGACAACTGCGCTGACGTCAATGTCAATCAGACAGGCGGTCTGTTTGGTACGGCTTTACAGGCAGCAGCATACACAGGCAAGACAGAAGGTGTTAACATGCTGCTTGAGAAGGGCGCGGATGTTAACCTTCGCGGCGGAAAATATAAGAGTGCACTAAATGCGGCTGCAGTCAAGGGATATTGGGATATCGTCGAGATACTATTAAAGGCTGGGGCCAAGGCAGATTGCTACCTGCTCTCTGAAGTTGATGAGGAATGGCTAGAAGGAGTTGGTAAGGAAGATGGACATAGTGCCGTGGAGCGGTACAGGAACTTTTGGGATAAGGTTAGGTTGTATGAGGATGAGTATGCAGAAGGAAAAGCGATCTAGTTATATCTGATATGAAAGAATCTATTCCATTTAAAGATTCGGTTGTAAATGCAATATGGGAAAAAACATAAATAGATAAAGGCGAAGTACTATGCTACTTGGCTAAGCTTCATCCAAGAGCTTATCAATAGCACTCATGACGCTGTACAGGCTCTTGGCTCGCTGGGCATCTTCAACCAACTTCTTGAACTCCTCGGCTCCATTACCCTTCCCATCATATCCCCACTCTAATCCATACTTCTCCACATTGCTATCAAAAGAATAACGACCTCTATCCCTGCACAAGCCACAAAAGATCTCCTTGAACTCATCTGCAAAATGCATACGCGGAAATGCATTAGAAATCTCTTTAAACTCTTCTTCGGTTATCACGCCCTCCAAGTTAGGCAGGTCCTCCGGCAGACCGAGGAGGTGCAAGTTTGGTCCAAGAAGGTCCCCATGGACACCAAAGTGAACAAGCGCGACTTCGGGTTCTTTCCACGGTGCGATGGTCTCCATTGTATGAAGTGCAATGGCATCCCAGGCGATCTGCATACGACGAGAACCTTCTTCCCAGTCACCGTCCTTCTCAGACGTTGCGTTGATGAACTCGCGAGAGAGGTTCGCACTATCAACCTCGAATCGTCTCGTGTTCGTGACGAGCTCCTTCGTCTTGGACCAAGCGAGGTCGTGTAGAAGACAGCTCACGACGACGAGTTCGATGTCAAGGGAGGCACCGAGTTTAGCAAACTTGGGGATTTTCTTCTGGAGAAGGAGGCAGAAAGCTGCACTCCGGAGGACGTGGTTCAAGACACCTGGGGTCGCGTACTTTTTCGCATGTTGGTATGAGGATAATACAAGGGGGGTTGTAGGAAATTGTATTCCTGTTAGGGGAAAAGAAGGGAATGGGTTAATAGCTGGTGATGCCATGATTGTTAATGTTAATCGTAAAGATATTATAGAATGTAGTTTGATAGTTTGGGTTCTAATGTAGTTGTGGTGATGTTTTTGATATTGGTTTGGCCTATGGCCTTATATAAAAGAATGCTTAATAGAAATTGTAATAAATCGACTTCTGCTACAGTTATTATCAGTAAGCTGCTAATGAATTAGAGGACAAAATGTGACAAAGAAAACAGAAAACGCAAGAAGCTCTCCATGCTGGCTCGGGCGAGTTATGTATAATTACCGACATCAGAGATGCTGTAGGGTGACATTGTGAGTGTTGCCGTGTCGCAACACGGTTGTGGCAGCGAATAAAGCCACAGGCTTTTACAGCCACCTGCGTCACAGCTTCAGTTACCGCTTATGTTCAGTAATCATGACTTTCAGCTTGCAACAATAGTATTCCATATAAGGAGGCTCCTGTCTCGGTTGGTTTGCTGAGTTAATATCCGACTCAGTTCGGAACATATTCATGCTTACGAATATCAACCACTAGCATCAATCTGGACTAGTTAACCTGCGTCCTCTTGATTTATCATGGAAACACTAATGAATTAAGAACAAAAGAGTATCCGAGTATTCTCGGGGAGAACGACTGCAACCATCCTCTGTCGAGCGGATTACTGATGTCATTACCACTCAAGGGAGACTTCGATTTGTAAAAGCTATTGCAGCCTGTTCTTAAGGAGCCAGGTCATTTTGCAGTATTATTGGCAAAAGATAGAGAAGTGGTCTTGTATGAGATATATAACAGCGATCAGATCTCTTGTTCGAAATTTTATTCTTATCATTATTGACATTCTAATCTCACAAAATACCATAAGCCAATTACCTGAAGTAATTACCTCGGCACTTTTCCAAGCAATCAAGATGTCCAAGACCGTTGCTGATCTGATTGCGGCCCACGAGTATGTCTTTCGCGATATCCTATTCTTACCTAAAGCCATCTGACAAGATAATAGTCCTCAGGGTTTCGCACCATTCCCAACAATCGCCGACGTTAACAAGGTTACCAAGCCTCGTCTTACTATCGTCGGTATGCGACCTTGCACTAGATTGTTCCGTTCCGGAATATTTACTAACGAGGTATGACAGTTGCTTGCGTTGATCCCCGATGTAGCGTCGACAAGTTCATTGACTTCAATCTCGGAGTCCCAGAAGGTGAAAGTAGGCAAGAACAACACAAGATAATCACCGTTGAGGAACTAATCACATCCAGTGGTAATGGTCTCGCGTAACGCGGGCGGAAACATCCGCTTCGCCGTCCGCGACATTCTTCTTCTAGATACCCGATTCGTGATCGACGAGCTTGTTATTGTTCATCATACCGATTGTGGCTCAACCATGTTCACCAACGAGTGGATGCGTGACACTATCAAAGCGCGAGTTGGTGAGAGTCATGGGGAGGAGATTGACAAGATTGACTGGGGCGCCAATACTGAGTAAGCGTTGAAGTCTAGATGCAATGAATTCTCAGTTGCTAATGGCTGATTACAGCATGGCGGATAGTGTTAGGGGTGATCTCGAGTGGCTTCGTAAGAATGAGGTTATTAGGGACGAACTCAAGAGTACGACTCGTGGGTTTCTCTTCGATATCAAGACTGGAGAGGCTAAGGAGATCAAACTTGCTTAGGTATGCCCGGAGACACGTTCGACGTCGCCGGGTCGGGTTCGATGAAGACCCCGAGGCCCCGGCAATAAAGATGATCTGATGTATGTACTGCTTTTAAGTTTTTGCCATGTAGAATAGCTGTCCGTTATAGAGTTAAATAGGAAAGTTACCGCGCATAATCCCTGCCGCGAACATCCCAGTATGTCAAAGCCAAAGCTTAGTATTTTACTTATACGATGGATCGCCCTACTTCTGTGATAAAAGTCTCCGAAGGCGGCTCAACATGACCCCGAACAGAGCAAGGCCACGACGGTTTGTCACTTGCAGAAATTTTAGTTTGAGACGTGTTCAATGACAGGACAGACTGGCACAGATTGATTTAGACAGGTAATTAAGCGTCGACTTCAAATGTTGCTATCGTCTCTTCTTTGGGCCTCCTCGCAACATAAATCCATATCTAGATCAGCTAGCTACTCCTTGTAAGGCCCAATAGAGTTGAGATTTGTGGCTGTGAGCTTATTCCAGCAGAGAGAACCTAGTAAGGCCCAATAGATTCCGGCAGTGGGACATGATCAAAGTGTCCAGCTATTCCCATCATCCAGATGTCGGCTGGATGATCTGGCTGAGCGCCCATGTAAAGCCAGGTATGAGGAAAGCCAGGGTCAAAAGGAATCGCCGCCTCAATCTCCTTAATATCCTCCTTGCTAAGGTCAAGCTTGAGAGCCTCAATGTTGCCCTTGAGGTGCTCAATCTTACGACCGCCAATAACCGGGAACGTGTATGGATATTTCTTCATAACGTAGGCGAGTGCAAGGCTTGTAGGAATCATACCCTTCCTCTCGGTAATAGCAGCAAGGGCTTTGCCAATCGCAATCTCATTTTGTACGGTCACGCCAACAGATGCATTCCTCCCAGGATCATTCCTGCGCTGCTCGTCGGTCTTGAAGTTGCCGCGACCGAGAGCTCCCCATGGCGCTAGCGCCATCCCCTCCTCTCGAGCCATAGGGATAATATCCCGCTCGAAGTCGCGAACGGCAGCGGACCAGAGACCTTGATAGACGGCGATGCCCCGCGAGCCATGATCTCGGGCATACTGATTGGCTTTGCTGACGACCCAGGCGGGCGCATCGCTGATGCCGAGGTAAATAACCTTGCGGGCTTCAACAAGCTGATTGAAGCTCTGCATAACTTCAGGGATAGAAGTATGGTAGTCCCAGTAGTGGACGTAAAGAATGTCGATGTAGTCCGTCTGGAGACCCTTCAAGCTACGTTCGACACAGACTCGCAGGGTCTTGGCGTTATTACCGGTAGTGTTGGCAGTAATCTCACTGCTGGCGAATCGGCCGCGGTCACTCAGTGAGTACTTGGTAGCGATCACTGGATATGTCAGTGTAAAATCCGATACACGCAACAGATCTGGCTTACCCATCTGGTCTCGCACGCCGCGCTTTTTCATCCAGTCACCGACCGAATCTTCAGACTAGCCATCCTGATATTGGTTGGCAGTATCAAGAAAGTTGCCTCCCTGCTCATAGAAGTAGTCTAAAATGCCTTCAGTGGTGGGTTTGTCGCAGCTACCCAAGAGACCCGCCCTGAAGTGTCACCATCAGTATTAACTCGTTCGCGAACCTCACGATATTGGCGGTATCTTCTCACCAGTTATCTCCAAAGTTGCTAGTACCCAGACAGATCGGGCTGACGTGAACAGCTGCATTGGGAGATAAGGGTCGGTAACGGTTGAGGGGACCTTTAGGGGGAGGAGCCATAAATCCATCCGCCATGTTGACAGTTGATGGAGGTAAGAAGAGGAGAATCTGTAAGGAAGAGAATGTGTTTAGAGCGCTGATGAGTAACTGGTAGTTCGTGCGGAAGGGAAAGACATTGACAGGAGAATCTACCACTCTCTTATAATAACACAATTATAGAACGAATGGAATCATATCACTCTTACCAGTAACCCTTAACTCCGAACGATCCTTGGGATATACGTCCAAGATGCATCAGGCGATATTGACTAGCCTTGCAATTCTGTGATACAGAGTTTAGCCTAAGCATTGTCCTGTTAGCCACTGCTTACCAATTATCTATCATATAGTTACAGTAAAAGTCATCTTAAGAGTATTATCTTAAGTTAATAAACTTACTTCTAATAAATAGCTTACCTTATATATATTTTATATACTTTAAGTTAATTATCTTTATAAATAAGTAATAGTACTTATTTATATATTTTTAAAATTAATTATTAAATTATTTAACTTTTTAATTAAAAATAAAATTTTAAGTAATTATATAGGTAATAAGTATTTTACCTATAGTTATATATTTATTAGTATCCTTTATTTTTATAGCCTAGAGGCTAAAGCTTCGTTTAAAACCTAAACCTTACCGCAGTCCTGTTAGCCATGACATTATTGAGCTTGGATAAGTGGTCCACGATCTATGAA